TCAGGATATACTGTTAGCGCCAGGATATATGGATATCCAGGCCGCTAGACCGTAGCGCCGGAAGTTCAGTGTGCAGAGGGGGGATGTATCGGACTCCGACAGGCTGAATCGAGCTTGACACATTCAGTGAGAGCATATAACATATGTTACTAGACTTTTATGAGTCTTCTTGGTGCGGCACAGCGGTCTAGTCTACGCACATTATTTAAAAGTCAGCTGTGTCGGACACGAATTGTAAGAGATTATCGGGTCAAATGTAAGCCTTCGCTTATAGGACCCTAGAAACCCCAACAGCTCTCACGGCGTTCGTCGCTGAAGTTCGTCCCAGCTGGCACACCTCCCAGTGATCTTTGCGATTGTTTCTACTTTCACCACCTGAACGGAGACGAACACGAGTTGTTCGAACAATATCCTTTTCCACGCCCCAGACTGCCACGGAATGGACAGCAAACGTGTCATCCAAAATCGCGGACAGCCTCCTCGCGACTGTTGCACACTGGCACAGACGTTGTTTTGCTTGCGTACTCCACAATATACAATCGTGCCAATTTCGCCTCCAGCGAATGCGTGCAGAATCGGAGTATGCTCTGTCGAGATCAATTACTGTATAGAAACCACCATCTCACGGACAAGGTACGACATATCCCGCTGTCATATGGACCGCTGCTCATGTTCTCTTAGTATCATTCCGTCGGCCTACGACACAGGCGACTATTGAGTCTGCAGGAGGACACGGTCATCGATAGAACCCACGTAGCCGTCGTGAAACAAGTCTATGTTACAGTCATAACTCAACCATATTCTAGTGACACGCTGTCTCCAATACCAGGGACACCGTCACCGAGTGGTTACTGCAAGTATTTTTAGCCATGGTAGAATCGAGTCTATCGTTGGACTCCTTACAAATATTATCAACAGAAGTGCCGCCCGGCAGCATGCGAAGTACCACAGCAAGTTTTGCTGAGCAAAGGAGCAAAAGCGCCACGCCCACTGCTGTCCCTAGCTTCCACGCCTGCGCTACCAGGCAAACAATCACAGCAATCATCGGGCCTTTCCTGCGGGGCGGCATGTAGAAGATGATGCCCAGAGTGAAAATTGTGAATGCGATTATATCGCTTCGCAATGGTGGGTTAGAAAATTGCTGAACGGCACCCGCCACAAGTCCGATGAATGTGCTCGTCTGTAACATACAGAGGAACAATCAGTATGAGTACGTATCAGATTTTCTCACGCACCATATTGATGTCTCCCTCAATGGCCTTTAGTTTTGCCGCTCTTATCTATCATCCAGGTCTAGCGATCCGTCATCGCGTGCTCAAGAACGCTGTACGCACTGCTCTCCCACTATACTGGAGGCACTTCTCCGTCCATCCACATCCGACCCCCCGTGCTTCCTGCTCGTCGCTTGTGTCCGCCGCAACGACATTCCCTTCGTGATGTCCCCTTCCAATGACAATTTCCGACAACACCGTTTCTACTGCGACGGCCTCGTTGCTCGTAGCTTCGATTATGAGCGCCCCTACAACTGTGCTTGTAACCTCGGCACGTCCTGGATCCACGAATACATGACTCGCTGCGTCGACCTCTCGGGCTTCTCGTTCATGGCTTTGATCTGCGATATAGACACCGCACCCGCCATGCTCCACAACAATACCCGCCGTCGCTGTCGTAGAGTTGTCCATCACCGTAGTATTAGATGGCTCGATCTTGCATGGTATATTAGCGACCTTCCCAGCGCGTTTCACACCTGCAGAGGCATAGGTCCTCACCTTGCTCGCTACTCCGGCTTCCTCGTCGACGTTGTCGGCTATGGTAGCGGTGTGGTCGCGAGCTCGTTCCTCCAACGGCAGCTTTGACCCCTTGCTTGTCAATCGCGCCTTCCCGTTGTGAGTCTCGTCGCCCGTGGCTGTACGCTCTGACTGCCCTTCAGCTTGTGCTTCACAGCACGGCTGTACTGCTATGACTTTCACGGAATTGTCCATGACAGTGAGGAAGTGCGGTAGTCGATGCTTGGTAGTGGCTTCCTCGTGGTAGGTCGAGGGTGTTGCAGCAGGTACGTTGTTTTGCGTCGGCTTTGCTGCATCCAACTACACTTTGGCGCGTGCCCGCTGAGCGGCTGCTTGACGGCAACGATGCTGGGATCGCGCTTAACCCGGTGCCTCCGCAAGTATCTCACAGCGAGAACGAAACGAAACGGCCTACTACGCATGCCGAGTCGAACTGCAGCCGTATCTGCAAGATTCCGCTATTTTGGAGTTTTCTGTTCTTCCTTGGACGCAGCTGGTGTCTTACGCGGCGAATCGTCACAACTTGGCTCAGAATATCTGCGAGGGCTAACCGCTCGCTGTGTCACTCCTCGCCCAATGTGAACTCTCTGCTCTCATGATCGGGAGGCCTCGCCTTCTTCCATCCAACTGGTTCTCTTCCACCCCTTCCATACTCACTCAACCTTTCACTCGCTCGTGAGGACTAGACTACAGCTTGACATATCCTTCATCTATCTCATCACCACCCCCGGGTTGTTCGTATTTGCCTGAGGTCAGGTATCGGATGCATTGCCACCATCCGTGTTTCGAGAATCGCGACGCTTCAGATTAGTGTTGCACATGCGTTATGTAGTTACAGCATGCGCGAGTCGTCGATCGTTCGGCGCGTAGCTACTTGTGATCTAGGAATATGACATTAGCATGCATTCCATGTCTCGAACGGGTCACCAACATTAGTTCAGGAACCCAGCTGGTACAGCCCTCATTCGTTCGTTCGTAGACTCGAAGTTCAGTTTCAAAAGTTGACGACGGTGAATAGTGTGCAGCGCTGTTAGACGCAGGTGTATACGGGTTGCACGTGAGTGATATTGCGGCACTGGCCAGTACTACACCGCCAATCGGCGCTCAGCTGGCCACGATCTGGACCAAAAATATGGAGCCCGTCCCAACACCACATCTATATCGGGTCACAGCCAGATCAGATCCAGACGGCGGCGACGTCTGGCCACCACATCTTCCCCAGACAATAATGTCCGTCTACTACAGCAAAACCAATATTGATAGACCTCCCTCGCAAAAAGTACAGATAGGCGGCATGGAGCATAGCGGCGCTCGGCACCTCGGGGGTGACGTACCCTCATCCCCCAGAGATCTCAGTGTTGTTCACGGCAGCCATAAATAGTCGTAACCCACGCCGATGTCTCGATATTCGTCTATGGGTCGAGGTCTACATCGTCGCTCTCTACTTCTGCAAACAAAGGTAGACAGCGACAAACCCTGCGATACCAGTAGCTTCCTTAATCTGGCCATTAGTCATGGAGTCAGACATGTATTATACACCAAATTCTTTCTGAGGAGGGATATATCGCCCATCCTAACAATGACGGCGAGAGGACGAGAGGATTACACCGAGCGTCTACCTCACGATCCTCAGTAGCCCATCGGCCGCTCGTCGACGTATCTGCACCACTGCCGACCCCTGCCGCGAGCTTCTGCCCCACTTTGCCGATGTGTATACTTTGCGAGGGGAGGTCTATCAATATTGGTTTTGCTGTAGGTCGTCTCCAGTTTCATCTCCAGCTCTCCTCCAGCTATGCGCGTCAATAGGTGGGGCTTGACGTCGCTTTCTCCACAATACAAAACACAAGATCACTCAGTGCTCTGCACATCGTCTTCCTTCGTCTTCACTACCACACCACGCAACTCTGTTACTTGCGCATTCAAAGGTTATCTTCATCGCTGACATGGGACATGACTCCGAATAGGTATGTCTCATAATCGTGCACGTAGATTAAACCTCGGCAGACACACTCGAGGTCCTGACCTTTGTCAAGTGCATTCATTGCACTGGCAGGCGTCGTAGTCATGGACCTGAGGTGAGCACGTCTCCATCCAAGATCATCCCGATGGCTGAGGGGTGCGTGGTTAATAGCAGGAGGCCAGAGATACTCAGCGAGCACACCTTCTGCCCATACTGTCGCAAGCTGAGCCCCGAGGGCCTGTCGCTCTTTTCCGAGATACACTCACACATCTGCATTCAGGTCTTCACACGACGTAACTACTTTGCGTGTCCAGTTCATTTCTTCGTGAATACGCCCGTTGATAATGTGAGCTGCTTGCTTGAAGCGTGCGAGTAACTGTGTGCGATGGTTATAGCTGGAAAACCTCGACAACCCTGCCGATCTTGACTGTGATGGACCTGGTGAGGTCGGATTACACTTATCTGTGTCGACAATTTTATTGCCTGCTAGCTGATGTTTCATACTCTCCTGTGCAGAAAGCGCGAGCTCTCGTGGTTCGCAGCCCATATATAGGTGTGTCACGTAGCGCATCGACAGCATCCTCGAAAGCAGGGTTGTACAGGCAGTTGGCGACAGCGCTGCTGGCCCAGGGCCGCTGAAAGGAACTAATGTATATATCGTATATCTTATTGCTGTCGACCATGGGCATCACTACCGAGATTTGAAATGAAATTGATTGTATTTGGGTGTGCGCTATGTACGATGGATGTGGGCTACGAGCGCGCTGTCTGCCGGCAGATCAGTGAGACGCACTTGAGAACCAAACTACAAGCAAATGAATATTATGTCTTCACACATATGTGATCCGTATAGCGACGAGGGACGCACCATCTCGTAAACAGCTGGAATCCAGGCAGAACGAACAATGGAGTAGAGCTGTGGAGTGAGGTGGTCACCAGATGACGCCGCCAGTCGTATGCCAGGCCGTCTGGCCTGGGACTGGACCCATAGGCGATGCGCTTAAGCTTTTCAGCTGTACCCATGTGGATACCAGCTGACAGCGACGGACTGGCCAGAGGTCCGCCTCCATGTGGCCACCAGCTGGGCGCCGATTGGCAGTGTACTACTAGTAGCAGTCGCGACGCGACGCGTTTATAGTGACCACGTGCGTTCTTGTCCGTTGTTAGCGCCTTCGCGTCTTCAACGCGAACAACATCGCACATTGAACGCAAGCAGACTCTCCGCTTCCTCCATTCCCCCTTTGCAATCACACACGACAGGACGCACACTTAACAAGATCTATTTCAAATGGCCATCTTCAGAGCCTATGCGTCGAGCAGTGAAGACGAAGACGACATCGAGTTTGTGGCGAGTGCCTCCGGACACTCCAGCGACGACGACCGCCGCGTGGAGAGCGAAATAGACGCAGGACACAGTCAATCCGAGGAGGAATCTGAAGAGGAAGAAGAGGAAGTCCATCAGACGGATGCTAGTCAGGCCTCCGAAAGTGGGCCAGATGGAGAGGAGCCCGCCGCTAATATCAATCTACGTCCAAAATCGTCAGTACAATTTGATCCCGCCGTCAAGTCCCCGTCCAGGCGGAGAAGCGTCGCGAATGACACGACTATTATTCCTCGGGCGAGAGAGCTTGGTGTAGACTCGCAGAAAGTGCACGTCATGCAAACGGCTCTGTTTCGCGTTCCCGAAGAGGAGGCTGCACTCAGAACAGTAGGCCAGCCAACGGCCGAGGACCGTCGGAGATCGCGCCTGCTTTTGGGGCTGAGTCGCAAGCATAGTAGGGACTCCGATGGAGAAGGGTTGCGTGCAGACCCGGGTCAGGTGTGTGCCCACGCTCTGTTTACGGTCGGGCTCGCAGCCAATTCCTTCTAGCGAGTTTCGTTTGGGCAGGATATCGAACCTATCCCTGTCAGGCCGTCTAGGAAATACGCTCGCGTGGAGAGCTCGGCCTCTGCGGTTACCGGCAACGAAGGCTTATTCGCAGATGCTGGCCTTGCACTCGGACGCTCATTCCGAGTTGGTTGGGGACCCGGCGGGAAATTAATCCATCTTGGCGCTCTATGTGGCCCATATACTTCAAAGTACGTACCTCTCCACTGGTATGTGCGCGTATGTAATGTCCACACAGGACGACAACAGCGAACAGTTCTATTGTTCATAAGTCGGTCATGCCACTTGTGGCCATTGCGACTGACGATGCGTCAACACGAGCCTCAAACCTGCTGTCGCACCATCTCAAGAATACACCAATCGAAAAAGACGCAGACGGTGTACCATTCGCGGATCCTTCGCGCCATCTGTCGTTCAAGTCATGCGTGGCACAATTCCCGGCCACAGATCGGTCCTTCGAGACAAGCCTCTTCCGCCTGGGACATGCGCTTTTTGACCCTATCGATCTCCGTCTAGCAGACTCTGTCAGCCCGGATGTACGCAACTGCGTCCTTTCACTACGGCGTAAGGCGGCCCTCTCGCGGTGGCTACAAGAAGCAATCGCAACCTCGGTTGATGCGGAGTTGCGCGACAACCCTGGAGCAGACTGGACTACCACGGTGTTTACACTGCTAACTGGCAACCAGGTAGAGAAGGCATGCGAAGTGGCGATGGATAGCGGCAGCGTCAAGCTAGCGTCGCTAATAGCGCAATACCCTGGCGATGATGAGTTCAGAGGAGATCTGCGGACACAATTAGCGCTGTGGCGCGAGCAGCGTATCGACGCACACATTGACGAGCCCACGCGAAAAATCTACGCCCTTCTTGCTGGCATTGTGGACACATTAGAGGGCTCTAAAGGCAAGGGCCGTGAACACTGTCCTGATGTCAAAATCGCACAGGACCTCAGCTGGAAGAGGGCCTTCGGACTGCATCTGTGGTTCTGCGAGCCTCTGGAATCTACAATAGCCGAAGTGTTCGAATCATACAACGGCCAATGGACAGATGACTCGTCAGGTGTTTCTCCTCCCATTCCCTGGTACAGAGAGAAGCCTCGCGCTGAGTCTGAGAAACCACCATGGACCCTGCCGACCTCTGCCGAACCACCAGACGCGCTCTATTCCCTTATCCAGCTCTACGCCGACCCCGCCTGCTCCCTCTCCACGATTTTGAAATGCCTTTCCTTCAGCGAATCACCCGTCGATTACCGCCTGCCGTGGCATCTGTACATCATTCTTTCCCGGTGTTTGGGTGTGCGTGATTTCCCTGACCGAGAGACCCCTTCCGTGAAGGGAGATGCTGCCGCCGAGATGAGTCCCGGAGCTGAAGGGCATAGCCCCAGTGCCGACTTGTTGGCCAACAGCTATGCGCTGCAGTTGGAGCAGGCAGGTTTGATACAAGAGGCGGCCTTCGTGCTTCTACATATCGAGGGATCTGCAGGGTGCGTTGAGTGATGATTGACAGCATTCATCACGTCTGACGTCTGTGTTTAGGAGAGTGAAGGCGATCAGGGAGCTTCTATGCCGTTCTGCACCTCAACTTGATGACTGGATGACCAGTGGGCTTGTTGGCAGTCTGAAATTACCCATGGCTTGGGTCAACGAAGCAAAGGTGATCGTCGACTTTATCTTCTCGACCAACGGTTCTGATACGTGTTTCTTGCAGGCGATATATGCCTTAGACCGCGGCAAAATCTTCGATGCCTACGAATTGTATATCATGGCAGGGCTGCACAGCGCCGCCCACGATCTCGCGGTGCTCGAATTAGCTCCTGATGCCGTGATGCGCAAAGACGTAGAATTACTCAAAGAACTCTTGGGCAGATTCAAGGTGCACCCTGTTGATGGGTGGCACACACGCGGGAAGGTCGGTGCCGCTGCCATCGCCCGCTATATTCTTCTCACTGGTTGTCACTAGGTCTTGATGGATTACGCCCACGCCGTGACGCGTCTACAAGAGCTATACCAGCGCACAGAAGAGAGCGGTGTTTCGGATGACGAGGCGGTGGAGCTGGAGCACCTGGGGCGGAGTGTACCCAAACTCATCGCGATGCTGCCGGATGTACTCCGCGATCGCTCAGACGCCCGCCATAACGCTGCGGTAACAGAAATGACTACCCAATTGACCAAACATCTCGATCGGGTGAAGCCGCTTGCTATTGTACGTGTTTTGTTGATGGTCGAGCACATCGCCGAAAAGCTGATTTGGTCCGCTTGTTCGATCATCGACGTAGCATCAGTCGTCCATGCGCCCGTCCCTACTGAGCGGCGGCGCGCGTCTACACAATATACAGGCCACCGCCTATGAAAGGTTCCTGCTAGCCGTAGAAGTCGCAGTCGCTTAATTCCCCGACTATTTACACAGCCACTCGGAGTCTGTGCCCGGAAGTGTCTCGTGTTCCCCATGTGCTATAGGATTTCCGATCATTACCAACCTTTCGTATCCCCTCTCGAGTTAATTCCGCCAACAGGCAAGGCACAATTGATCAGAAACCCCGTGCTTCTGCTGAGCACAGTATTCGCGGGATGGCGCCCACAACGGTTAAGCAGCCGGCGTTTCCCCTTCAATCGCTCAGGGAGAATAATACAGCAGAAGGTGGGTCCATCGTCGTGTGTTGAGGATCGGGTGCTCCGATCCTCCATCAATGAAGTCCGGCGGCCTCGATGAGCATCGGCTCTAGGCAGGACCGCTGCAACACATGCCGAAGATCCTCAAATCTGCTTAAGCTGCTTCAGGACAGTCCCGGCCCTCGGCTCTTCTGGAATGCGAGAGACCCCGCAGATGTAACCCGATATGTTGCTAGGTGAGACAGGGGTTTCAGAGCACTTCGAAGATGTAACTGTGGAGAGGTACCTGTCTGATGGCGTCCCCGCGCAGCGTGCGCGCGCAGATGAGTCATCAGTCGTCCGTAACAGACATCAGGATATTATGCATCAGGCACAGACGGCTCTGGATGTCGACACCGTACCCCAGATAGAAACATGCTATCTTCCCCTTGGAAAGGCCGGCGGGTAGCAGAGTGCAAAATTATACATTCCATCTAGTGCTAGCAAGGTGTAATATAGATACAGTGGGTGTGCGTACAATAGATAATAGGTGCTGCAGCGATAGCGATGGGGTTACAAGAAATTGTCGAAGATGCTGAGAGCGTGACGGTTGGATGCGGGAGGGAGCAGTCCGTGAGCTATTCAGTCTATGTTGTGGCCGCAAGTGAAGATAACCGTTGCGACGACACAGGGCTCTAGGAGACCAAGCTGCATAGCTTCGGGGGTCATATCTAGAAGAATGGAGCTCTGCAGTCTAGCTATGCGTGCCAGGACCCTCGGAGCAGTCGACTGCAATTTGTAGAGCTGCGCAAAGATGCAGGTCAGCCTCAGTCACTCGATCTGCTCTGCTGATAGGGGCGTACACAAATAAATCCTTCGATGGGGGACCAGGCGTATTGGACGCCGCCAATTTGCATGATGCGTTTGCTATTGGGTAAGACGCGTCAGCGACTGACTTTCACGACACGTGCCGATCGACACAAACTGCCCGAACCTCTGGTCTGAGGACAATCTAAGCCAGTCACGGACGCGCTGTCTAGACGCTACCCCGCGCACTTCCAGAGTGGCGTTTGGCTGCCAAGTGACCATCCCAACGTTGCGGCTCTCGTTGTCCTTCCACATCGTCGACGACGGCGCGCCGGAGTTGGTCACGACACGGTACACGACGTGGTTCTGGGGCCCGACGACGGTGCAGTTCAACACGGTGGTGTTGAAATTGGTGAGTTTATACTGGACGCTGTCCGCCTGAATAGACCGCGGTGCTGAGCTGCTGACGGGTACCGAGGGAAGGGCACCGAATATTGAGGGCGGGTTGCCCGAGCTGGTACCCCAGCCTCCTGCGGTGAATGGGTTCATCTTGCGTGGAGTGTCTTGATATGTGAAAAGGCTCGAGTGAGTGTGTAGAGCTCGTGGGGAGTGGTTGACGAATACCTCCGCCATGCTGCTCATTTATACGACCCATGCCAGATGTGAGCCGTCGCAGAGGGATATTGATCGCAACACGGATTTCCCAGAAGTATGTGTGGAGGCGTCTGAGCTGTAAAACCCCTGGAGAGCAAGCAAATGATTGAACGAAGCCATAGTAGTTTACATGGGAGAGAGCGACCGCTACTCAGGCGGCGGCCGACTCGGGCTTGAATTTGTTTCAAAATATCATTCAGTGGATTTATTGAAAGTGAGATCCCGATCTGATTTACCCACGTGGAATCCCGCACGTGGAGCGAACGGTTGACCGAAATAGGCAATGCAAGAGGGTATAGATGCTATTCCCGGCGGTGCATGTGGTGATGACACTCTCGCGAACATCGGAATCCCTCAAAATTAGCTGTTCGACACATGAGTATCCGCATGTAATAATATAAGAACACAAAACAGGCACCCCTGAGACGACACCGAGGTAGCGAGATCAGAAGTCCCAGGCGCACATTGCAGTCGCAATTACCGAATCGTTGCATGGAACAGTTCAGCTGCGGCGAATCATACACAGAGAATGATGACCTGGCTAGCAGTTGAGCCTTGGTTGGATTGTAGGAGTGGGGATCTGCTGGCAGCAACGTGCTCCAGAGTCCAAAAATGAGCCTGAAACAGGGCCGCCCCGCAACATGGTGTTTCCGCAGGAGGAATACAAGGTCACCACCGCTCCATGCATACGAGCAGAGCCACGTCGTGTAAGAGGGGCATACGAGCCTTTTCGGTCTGATCGAATGCATACGACTCGTCCCAACTTCCCGCGCACCACTCTAACGGAGATGCGCCTCAGGATGTGTACCCTGGCGTCTGATCCATACCACAGCGCCCTCGGTCTGTATACGTCACGCTCAATAAGCCCAGAATGTTTGAAGCCGCAGATCTCGATTGTTGGGTTTGTACACTACACGTGTTATCTGGAGTCGGCTGCCGGCGGTATGTAGATCGGTGGGCGCAAGCACAGCAGTTGCAACCATGTCCTATCACCTCAGCTGAGGTCGACTGGCTTCGTGAATCCAGGTGCAACGGCGTGTAATTAGTGTTTTGGCTCGTATCCCTACATTTCGCTCTGCGCACGCGCACGTGTCACTCGAACAGTTCTATTGTTCTCGTCATTCACCTCACTGCTTCACAAGATGCATAGTACACCAACGTACCGATATCAACACACAGTGACATCCGTTTTGGAACATCGATTGAATACTGATCCCTCGAAGCCCTCGGGGGGCAGCTCGAGAAAGCCGAAGAGGCCTCACTCGGGGCGCCCGCCTCGGCATTGGTCGCGATGCGAAGGTAAACGGAGCGCCCGCCATAGGATCTGCGACATCTCTGCAAGGACACAACCTACCCGCGAACTCCGTGTCGACAGAAGGGGTTATGTAAGACGATACAGGCGCTGAGTCGAAATGCGAGCATCGCCCTGTCGGCGTGCGCCGCGACGATGCGTGTTCGAATGGGCAACGGGGGCAACAGTATGAACTCAAAGTGTATGACCGCAGCAGTCGACCGCGATTATCGCTCGGCCAAATCAATGGATTTTGGAGCTCCCGTGTGCTCGGGTGTCGGGACCGACAAGGCTACCGTACAATCACATTGTCGTGGAGGAGTGCCACACTCGTGTTGTTTCTGCACTGCTACGGGGAAGGCCAGAACAGTGATAAAGGCGGCATTCCGATTACCACCGCCATTTGATGAAGCGCTTTCTGACGCCGCGGGAGCAACATGACGCTATGTGACGCTCATTCTAAGTTGGTGATTATTCGGAATGGTGGAGGTGCACCTGGCTCAGACAAGTCGCGACTGCTGGTTTGTATCTGAAGCCCGTCGAGACGGGCTGGAGGGTGAGTTCGCGCCTGGTACAGAGCGCGCGACATTCATTCTATCGTGGTCCGTTGGAGATGAGTTCAGAATGCAAATGACCCAAGTATACCGACGTGGCGTTCGCGGACTCCTTGATGACTGCAAATTGTGGCTCGGGATATAGGACGGAAGTCTATTCTTGTATCTCTCTTGCTTGATGAAGCGGTCAAACCACACGGCCGTCCTCGGAGTCGGTGTAGGGGGCGACATGCTCCCACTCGGACAAGCAACAGGTGGTCTATTTTGGTAGCAGAAGTTCCGTTTAGAGGTGAACCGTGTGTCACCGGCACTGCGGGTGTTCACATTCATCGGCATTTCTGCGGCTATGTTCGTGAGCGGGTGAGCTAAAGTGGGACTTGTTACATGACTATGCGCGCTGTGTGAGACGAGACGAAGCGAATGTTGCACTGACCATCCGTGTCATGCATCCAAACCCTTGGGCGCGGAGTGGATATCGTATGCGACGGTACGTCCATGAGATAGCAACTCGCTCCGTGAATTCCATTGGCTATGGATTATCCAAATGGACGTGTCGAGGAAGTAGCGAGGGCAGTGTGCCAACTTAGAGTCACATCCGGAGAGATGTAGCCGCACCTCCGTCGTTTTCTATTCGACCAACAGACGAGAAGTCATTCAGGGAAGCTCTTGACGTATACAATTTGACTTGGTCGCTCGGTCCGTTCATGACACAGGCACGGCACGGCGCGAGTCGCCACGAGCATGCTGATTCCCCGCGGATGAGTAACGCTGACTGTGCGCCCGGCGCGTCGGCGGAAGTCCTTCTTAGGAGTGCGCTCACCAGGGTCAGCGCCTTTGCTGACTAGAGCGGTATGCGGCGGGCGCTTCCTCCGCGCTTGGTCGAGGGCGAACAGAACAACGATCGGTGATCGCAACAATTGCCCCGTTCCGGCGATGCGGAAGCCGCAAGGCGGGGCAGACAGGTGGCAACGATTGACAAACTTATACGCAAGGCAGAGTAGGGAGCGAGGACTGTGGTAAAGCACTACCGGACGCAACCAAAGCCGGTTGTGTGTGAAAGTGCCTCATCCGCGCGCGGAAGTCCGTCAGGAGCTCTGTTCGCAAAAAGCTGGGTTGAGGCTAGGAGCCACAACCATCCACTCGGAGAAATTCAGGAAATCGCGAAGTTGTATGAAAGTGCCGGCGCGTTCCTCGTTGATAGACGCGCCCGTTAGTCCTAAAGGAAATCAACATGAATCATCATCAGCGGATTGGGGAATGACTCGATCATCATCGTACCGACATGACCTGTGGCTAAAGTTGGTTCGGCCGTGCGACATCTGTTCATAGACTTCATGATGAACTCACTCGCGACACAGCCATTTGGTACACACCTACTAATTCCAACATGGCTGCTTTGAGCGCAAATGGGGATACGCGAACGGCGACATCTTCTGGTACGATTTAGTTTCCAAAGTGATGAAACATGGATACAACTGGCGTCGTTGCGGGAGCAGATACGCCTAATGACGATGGCGGATAGTCGAATGGAGATGGCTTTTTCAATCTCCATCTGTAGCTTCGAACAAGCGTTGTAACAATCAGGTCTAGACCAAGTCAGTGTTGAAGTTGGTTAACATAGATGAATTGTACACTTGTCGTGTTTTCACACACGAGGATAATAAGTTGACAGATCACAAGACCAGAGAGCACCATGTCTCGGTACACACCTGAGGGTTTGACGAAGACACGTGCAACAACAGCGTCCAACCGAATAGTAATCTGGTGTCAGCACTCGCTGCCACAGCTACCCACAATCAGCACGCTAGGGTAACTCGAAATACATGAAATGAGGAGCAGCATTGCCAGCAGCTGAGCCTGGCATTCCAGGGGTCTTCGTGCGTGTGCAACCGTATGGAATACAGGAAGGATGAGTCTCCAGTGAGTACTCAGGAATAGTTCGTAAGGCCTGTTGTGTGAGGCCCCTTCGTGTATCTAGGTTATGCGTTAACATCTTTTCTCGCACTTGACTCACTATTCCGAAGGGACAGCTCCCGTCGATATATGAAAGAAGAGAACCAGATGCAACTCGCGATAACAGCGTTCCTCGGAGCATATTTTGATGATTGATATCCTAGTACAGCCAGATTTCGAGCCAATGCGGATCTACATTGAGCTGGATGGCTGCTGATTCTTGTGTACATAGTCAGCGCGCGCGAGAGGGGGCAGAACGCAGGGAAACAAAGTATGATATGAGCAGTTCGTCGGGCAGGAGGCTGAAAGTTGAATATTGCAAGCGAGTGCAGAAGCGCCTGGCCGAATGTATGGGCGTCTATAACAAGCGCGTGGCCCTCTTCCCCACCTGCTTGCAGCTGCATTGTAATCTGTACAACCTGCCCGACGAATGCGCCGTTGAACGTGAACAACGCCTACAGTGCAAAGATATCTCCTCAGAAGGCCTCCTTGCTAGTATCATAGGTCAGGAGTAAGTGTCTTCCCTCCGCAGAATGGGTACAACGGTGCTAATTGAAGTGAAGTTGTATGAGGCATTGTAATGAGTACGAGCAAGCTGAATATTGAGGGCGTCATGCTCTTCGAGCAGCCCTTCGCAAGGGTCAGCATTGGGGTGCCATGTTTCAACACTGCGCGCTCAGTCATCGTCCCCAAGCTAGGTGCCCTACGAGAACTATCGCAAGGTATTCCGTGCCTCGCAGCGGAATGTAGAGAAGGAGTTAGGCGCAGTGCAGAGTGCTGCAAATGACCTCGCCAAACGGTCCAAGGCTCGCAATAACAGCACAGAGGATTCGATAAAGGCCGTTGACAGCATGATCACACGAGTGGAGAATTTGAAGCGCAAAGTGAGGAGGCTGTGTTCACTTTATTTTGCTCGATTGACTGATTGATACATTGTGCTGAGCTTAGCTATCAGAGCTTCAGAGCTCAGCCGGGACGCCAACGTTAGGCGTAATGCGCGAAAGGCTGCAGCACCTCGCTGCAGTTGAGGATATTCCCTCGGTCAACGAGCCGGAATTTACACGGTGGGCGGACACCCGCCTAGACAGGTGGTTGGTTGACTGGGCCCTGCGTACCGGCAAGGAGAAGACAGCAAGAATGATCGCAGAAGATCGTGGCATTGAGGTATGCTTCTCGCTTGATACTTGTGGATCCACACAAACTGCGCATGAGCTTCTCCGACTTTCTACTCCGCGGATGCAATGTCTTTCAGGCACTCTTTGATCCTAAGGAATGAGCCGATCCGCGCACAATCTCTTCATTTATTGGACATTGAGTAGCAAGTGTTGGGAACTCGTGATATTGTGCGCTTGTGGTTGTGCGCCAGCAAGGCTGCGTTCAACCTCACGTTCATCTTCCTTATCTGAACGCAATCTAGAGAGCCGTTGTGCCGAGCCAATTCAGCTCTAATGAGCGCAGACACTGGACGTTCGTTCCTGACTACGTGCTGTGTGGTGGATTGTGGACGTTTGCTTCGGCCACATTGGAATAGAGCCCGTGTTGGCATCTTCGAAGATGAGGATACGGGACAGGCGCAAATTGTCTCGCTAGCTTGGCATTTATCCCGGGATTGTGAAGCGGGTGGCTGCCCAGGCGATGACCTGGCCAGATGCCATGAGACCCACCGCGGGGAGAGCAGAGGACGTAATCCCTTCGCTCTTCCGCCCGCAGTCAGGAGGCTCGTTAACCTTCCCGCAGACGGAACCATTCTCATCGTCGGCGCTCAGTGATAGCTGCTGACTACTGTTCCTCAGAGATTGGTCGACATTGACTTGTTCTCAGACGTGTGCCGCATCGAAGAAGGCCTGAAGCGGCAGAGCTGTTCGGAGGCATTGGCGTGGTGCAGCGAGAACAAGTCGTCCCTTAGGAAGCTGAAGGTGATTACAGGAGTTCTTGGATTCTGGCAATAGGTTTACTCACACAAGTCCTCTCCATTCTGCAGAACACGCTTGAATTTGACTTGCGATTGCAGGAATACATCGAGCTGGCCCGTGCACGAAAGAACGAAGATGCGATTGCATATTCGAAGAAACATCTTCTGCCGTGGCAGGAGACCCACCTCGCGCAAATACGCCAGGCCGCCGCACTCCTTTGTTTCCCGCCAACGACAACCTGTGGCCCGTATAAGGTACGCATACAGTGGTCCGGGATGTCGGCAATAGCTGATCTTGGTATAGCGACTGTACGATCCCGCGCGGTGGACGACGCTGGTGCAATCTTTCCGTCTTGCGGTATACAATTTGAGCACGCTTCCTACGGAGCCTTTACTGCATCTTGCCGTATATGCAGGCCTAGCTTCACTCAAGCTCCCGGCATGCTACGACCGGCACACAAAGAATACCAATTGTCCCGTGTGTGATCCAAACCTAGGCGAACTCGCCAAGGAGGTGCCATATAGTCATCACGTGAACTCGACCATCGTTTGTCGACTGAGCGGCAAGATCATGGACGCAGATAACATGCCTATGGCATTCCCAAACGGATATGTTTACTCAAAGGAGGTGGGTGGGTACTGTATATTCCTCTCGCATACGCTGAGGTACATTCTAGGCTTTGGAGGAGATGGCGCTAAGAGACGACGGATACGTAACGTGCCCTCGGACGGGCGACCGCTGCCTCTTTTCAGAGCTACGCAAGGTCTTCATTTCCTAAGCTGTATACTCCGACATTCCTGTACAGGTAACATTCTGTGTATGTGTATCTCGATTCATCCGATAATGTATAACATCGCGTCCGTGAACAGGATTCAGGCATAGCATTCAGACGTTCCACATCAGACGTGCTTCCGAGGGAGAAGGCGTGACACCCCGCATCGTTATCGCTGTCATTGACCGAAGCCAAGGCGTGGGATAAACTATTGCAAAGCGCCAACTTATCTCTGAACACACTGACATTGACAGCCGTCTATCTCTCTGCCGTACAGGCGCCAGTTGGAGCTGATCAAATAAAAGAACGAGCGGGAGGTATATCTACGGGAGCATCGTGCAGGAGATTTGTCAATCTCCCCGTGAAGATCTAAGGCAACGTACATGGCTCCCGCGAACCTTTGGAGGGGATTGATTCGGGCGCTAGAGGTCAAGCACCATGGCGGCGATGGGTCTCAGATGTCTTATACCGAATCGTTCCTCTCGGTCAAGATTTCATGAACGTCGCATGCCAATATTCAGCTGATCCCCCTCACAGAACGACGATCTCGATCCTGTACCACCCGAGAAGCGCACATGGGCCGCGTGGAACTTCGTCTCGTTGTACGTTTCTTAGTCACAATCCTAGCCACTCCTTTACTAGCAGCGCTGATTTATCATTTTCCACAGCTGGGTAGCTGACACCTTCAACATCAACACGTAAGACGAATGATACTACATTCATTGCCTTGCTCACAATTTACAGTTGGATGATTGCGTCCTCGATGATTCAACTCGGACTTTCCTGGTGGCAGGCCTGGATATGTGTGTGGATAGGTTACGGCATCATGGCCCCGTTTCTCGTGCTGAATGCCCGGCCGGGTGCGATGTTCCACATCACATTCCCGGTGGTGGCTCGTGCTAGCTTTGGCCTCTGGGGTAGCTTGTGGTGTGTCTTCAACCGAGCCGCTATGGCATGGTCAGTCACTTGCGACACAGTGTTGTCATAGGTCTGACCGTTCGTGTAGCGTCTGGTATGGTGTGCAGGCGAGCATAGGCGGCAACTGCATGCTCGTCATGCTGCGGGCAATGTGGCCTAGTGTCAACAATATCCGTAATTAGGCTGCATGCATTGTTGCGTGGCTCAGTAACTGATTTATTGAACAGCCAATTCAATGCCCGCGTCCTCGGGGACAAACACGCGGGACTTCATGTGCTTCTTCCTGTTCTGGCTCATCTCTCTTCCCGCAATATGGCTGCCAATCCACAAAGTGTACGTCGTGAGATGTGTCGCCTACAATATACTCATGTCCTAGGAATGGCCAGACGGCACCTGTTCACGCTGAAGGCAATAATCGTGCCAATAGCCGGTATCACCTTTTTCATATGGTGCATCGTCAAAGCCCACGGCGTGGGACCGATCGTGCACCAGCCTGCACAGATCCATGGTTCCGAGCTAGGGTGGGGAATAGTCGTTAGCGTCATGTCGTGTATGTCCAACATGATCACTCTTGTGACGTGCGTATAATTTCCTCACATTGGCCACTACGACCTTAATTTATCTACCTTTGGCAGTAACGCACCTGACTTCGCTTCTCGTTCCACGAAGCCGTCAGATGCACTCTTACCACAGTTGATCTCGATTCCCGTCGGCTACGGCGTTGTCTGTTTCCTTGGTGTCATTGTCAGTTCATTCTCACAAGCTATCTACGGCGAAGCCATCTGGTCGCCCGTTGATCTACTTGGCATGTTTCTGAATAACAACCCGTCACATGCGACGCGATTCGGGGTATGATAAATATCGACCGGAACAAGTATTGTGAGTTAATGTTTTATGATAGGTGTGGTTTATTGCTGCCGCCTTCATCATTGCTCAGGTGAGTCGCTGGCGGATATTTGCACATGCACATTGTGACAGGAGTACATTAAATCATACTCTGTCAGCTGGGGTGAGGCGGCATCTCATTCCGTTTAATTTGCATGGCTTATGGATGCCCGCAGAACCAATATAGCAGCGAACTCTGTCAGCGCCGGCTGTGATCTCACTGCGCTGTTTCCTCGATTCATCGTACGTGCCCCACGTATGAGTGCAGTCTGGATGTGGATAACATTCTTGGATCAGAACATCCGCCGCGGGGGGTACATCGCTGCTATTGTTGGCCTATGTATGCTCCCATGGAATTTATTGAAAAGTAGCAACAACTTCACAACGTATCTCTCGGCGTATTCCGTGTTCCTTAGTTCTATAGCAGGAGTCATGGTAAGCAAATCACATCCTGCCTCGAATTGCCTAGCATGATATAGTGTATTAGCTCGCGGATTATTATCTGGTCCACAAAGGGCACTATCGCGTCACTGATCTTTACGATGCCAAAAAGGATGGCTGGTACTACTATACATACGGCTTCAACCTGAGGTGAGTGTTGAGACCCTTGCTATTTAAGTGTGCTTGTGAACTTTTCTCTCTAGAGCATACGCGGGTTACATCTCCGGCATCCTGATCAATGTAGTTGGTTTCGCGGGAGCAAGTAGGTGTTGTCTAGGTTCAGAAAGTTGCTGCGGGCTAACTCGACGTGAAGCTGGGCAATCAGTCCCCTTGGCAGCAACGCACATCTACGACCTGTCGTTCTTCACTGGATTGGGCACCGCTGGCCTGGTGTACTGGGTGCTGAACCAGATCTTCCCAGCACGCGGAGCCGCTAAAATGTTTGAAGAGGTGGACTTGACCGAATATACCACCGATGAAACAGACGAGGACTTCGATAGGAAAAGCGAGACGAAAGATAGTGTCGATGTTGTAGAGTCTTCGGTTTGACTGTGCTCGTCTTGCAGCAGCCAATTTCTCCAAAACGTTTCAATGTACAAATACATCATAGAATGTCACCCTTGATCTGCTACCCGCCGTAAATTATTTTTCGACCTCAAACCGCTTGCTCCACGTCCACCTCTGGCCTCCGCTTGCCCTTCGTGTCCTCCGCGTAGTTCTCATAGAAGTTTCCGTCGTCTGTCCCTGTGCCATTCGTGTCGCTACGCCCGGGACCATCCCAGAAATGGTATGCCTGACTATATACCCCATACGACGTAGGCACAACCTCGATCAGGTCCCCACGCGCGATCTCGATCGCTGGGATCTCGGACGCAGGCAACCCGATGAGGTACGCGAGGATGCATCGAATGACGGATGCGTGTCCGATGATGAGCAGGTCCTCTTTCTGCCTCTCTAATTCGATCAGCGTGGGCTCGAGGCGTACTGCAGACCGTCAGCGAGGGACTTAGATACAGTCGGAGTGGAAACCTACCACAAAGGTCGTGATAACTCTCCGCGCGTGGCGCACGATAGGCGTACGGGTCGTGTACAAAGCGCTCCCACTCGTCGGGGTAGTACTTTCGCACCTCGTCCGGCGTAAGACCGTCCCACACGCCGGGATTGATCTCAGACATCTGCGGTCGCTCAATGACCTTCACCTTTGCGGGCGGTGCAGGGTCATTTGGGCCCACAGTCAGGAAGGGCCACGCTGAGTGGTGGGATCGCCGACGGGCGGAAGTCCATATCTATCATAGATCGAAAGAGCGTCAGTGACAGCAGAGAGATTAAAGTGCAATATGCTCAGGCTGACCACAAGTCTGCGGTCGGTGGGGTCGATGCCGCGTTCCTTCATAGATTTTGCTCGTCGTTCAAGCACAAATTCCTTAAGGCGTTCTCCATACTCCCACCCTGCCTGAGACAGGTCTGAATCTGCTTTGTATGAATGCTCGATAAGAGACTGGCCCGACTAACTCGCAGGAGAGCTAGTCAACGACACGGTCAATAGTGAGGTAACATGTACCAACTCTCGCGAAGTAGATGGTCCTGTGAGTATTGTGAATGTTCATGAGGAAAAACACAATTCTTGACTGTAGAACATTGTCAACATCGCCAGCCGCATGGCCTTATGCTCCTCTTACTTGCAGATATCCACGGATGTCCTAGACATCATTTTCAGTCTAAGATCACCGTAGCATCAGCTAAGACTCACGTTCACCATGATGTGCTCGCCGACCTGTCAAACCGACTGATGTTGAGCATGAGAACATGTAAAGGGGCGAAAACTCGCATTCTTAATCCGAATGAACGGATACGCGGTCTCTTCTACAGGTTCATAATGCACTTCGTGGTCGCGTATGCGGCTGTAATAATCTTCTACCGCTTTCTCTGGGTCCCAGTTGCGATACTGGAGCGCCCATCAACGAGGCCCCGAGCATGCAATTGTATCTCTTACGTCCGGAGAAGATATCTTGACACTGCGGATGTTCGCCATGATCAGTTCCTTGTCATCACATAGCGACTCTGCGGAAGGTCAGTCCTCCAAGGCGGTACCCATTCCTCGGTGTGCGAACCTAGAAGAATGACATGGATTCCGTGCTTGATGAACTTGTCCGCTATACGCTGGCGGCGTTCCTTTGTTCCGTTGTTTGCGTCGTAGATGACAACCTGACCTTGTTCGTTGAAGAAGTCCATGATGAGCTGCTCGCATCCGTCAGAGATCTTCTGGCGCAAAGCCATGGTCTCAGGGCTCTTCTCTCCTGGCCAGTAACCCCGATGAATGTACTGATCATAGGCCGGAATTGTATGAGGGTGATTTACCAAGCGTGAAGTAGTCCGGGGGAAGGTTTCGCGTTCCACCGAGTACTTTGCGGCGATAGTCACCCAAGGATATAACCTGGGTCTTTACACCAGTCCAGCGCAGATAGCGTTCTAGAGCTCGAGAAATGTGTGTCTTTCCTCTCGCAGGAAGACCGACGGTCAATACGAGTATCTTTCCCGCATGGAAAAGCAGCCCCGAGGCAGTCGTATACAGCGGAGCGACCATGATTATAGTAAGAAGGTGATGGTAAACCGTAAGGAGAGCAGTAAGAGACGCTCTTTGCGCGTCTAAGGCGAAGGCGATCCGATCTTGACTTCTCCCCACACATTCACGTGTTTCTGGTCGAAGTAAGGTTTCTAGCGCCTGTTTACCTGTTCAACGAATGGGATGAAGGCATGGGGTGACAACAATCAACCATTGTTTCGATTTATAACGGCAGCGTGCAGAACGGCACAGGGATGATTTTACTACACTCAATGGCCAACGGCCTCACGACTCGAGAGTCGAGACCGACTACAAGGTGAATTTGTGGCGAAAACGAATGGAGTGGGAGCATCCAGATAACAACTGCAGAAAATAAAAAGCCCTTCTTCACTCGATCCGCCGCGTCTTCGGCACAATAGCCCAAATAACAATCATCGCTGACACCATGGACACGACACTGCAAGCCGTAATAATAGGTCAACAATCTGGTATAGGCACGCAGCGAAAGCCGCAAATGAGAGAGGTACAAACGCTGCAGCGACTGGATACCGAAGCGGGATGAGAGCAAGCCGGTGATCAGTGGTAACACGGCTGCGCCCGACTGGGCGATGCCGGTGATATAGCCCAGGCAGCCGGTGAGCAGCCACTGCGGCAAAATTGTGGTGGACTGGTTCATGACGACCGGCCAGACAGGTCCCAGGAGCAGTCCGATGAACGAGACGGCGATCACATTCCCGATGAGCAAGGGCACGACCCAGATAGTGACCTCAAGTCTGATGGGGGTAAAGGCGAAAAAGCGTGCGAGTCTGAAATATAGGAAGGAGAGGGTTCTGCGTACACGATCACAAGCAGGGAATATAGGAAGACCACCCAGCGCTCGCCAATCCACGTAGAGGCGAATGAATACCATAACTTGTAGGGAGAGGACGCATGTACCTTCTCGTTGGGCCATATCAACACAACGCGACCGAGCATGAGGCCTTGTTGATATCACGGTTTCAGCATACCGGCATGCGCAGGCTCGGCCGACGTCGACGTACCGGCAAAAGATCCAGAGGAAATATACCCAGCACTCGCACCTCCGCCGCGATTATGCTCGATGAAGGTGACGATCTGACCTGTATCATAAGCTTAGCAATAAATCCAGGTCGTCGTTGATCATGCGACATGCCTCCGATCGACACCTCGGCACCAACGTAATGCACTTCCTTCAAGCGTATGATCTGGCGGTAAAGATTCTCGCTGATACCGGCTTCCTCGGGTGCCTGTCCTGCGTCAGCCAAGACATCTGCTCATTGTTGGTGATCAGTCAAACGCCGAGCACTACTTTGGTCACCACTGCGAGCAAGATAGTGTTCGTTATCGCAATGGCTCCAGAAACGAGGTAGTGGAATGACCAGTGCGACGCTAACGCGAAGTGTGTCGCGACCAGTGGAGCCACCGGCGCGCCGAGGCCTGCCGAGTCCTAAGCATCTCCCCGGGTTCACTAAGGAGCGGCTTACCAAAGGCCGCATGCAGGAGACTAAACTTGACGCGTGCATCTTCCTTCATGCTTCCAACGAAAGCGTTTGCTCCAGCATTCTGCAGTGAGATCCCAAGGCCCGCGAAGGTGAGCGCGACACACATCACACCGAATGGCACGCCGGGTGCGATCATCACGTACGCAGCGAGCTGCAGTAGTTGAGCGAGCTGGGTATTCATAGCGGCGTACTACGAACCAAACACCATAACCTATAGGACGCTCTTCGTTAGTAGGCAGCGTAAACGCCAGAATGGCGCGTCGTCGTACCTTTATAAACCCGAATCTGTGCGACAGATAGACATTGCCGACCGCACCAGTCAAGTAGCCCTGATAAATTTGTCAATCGCCGAACTGCTGCTTCTTATAGAACATGCGCCGCTTGCTGCGCAATTTGTCACAAAAAGGAGCGACACTACAGCAAAGCCGATCTACTTCTCGGGTTCAGCACAAAGTACAGGATAAATTCCCGAGCTCACATATCCCATAGGTACGCTGGATTCTCGGGAGTAAACGGCCAAGGGAGCCGTCATTCCATCCTTCCAGGAAGGACGTGTAACACAGCACAGCGAAATAAATCCGGCTATTGAGCCGGTATTTCGCTCTCTGCGCCGGTGAGATGGCGTCGGGACCCCATGAGACCGCACCGCTGTGGTCCCCAGAACTGATGCGGTGCAGGGTGGGGACATACTACAGAGGGGCCATCCCGAGATCGACATTCTTACCATGCGTCGGTACACCGATCGACCCCGTCCTTTCTATGACAGGGGCGAGCTCGATGAGCTCCGTTTGGGCATTCGGAATTCAGGCAACGACGTCCTTGATGAGGTCTGGCTGGGCACTAGCGCTGTTCTGGAGAGCATCTTGTATACTTGGCAGAATGCCTATTCCAGTGAGTATGCCATGAGAAACCTTGCGACCAGTGCGTATACCACCGATCAGATACTGTGGAAGGTGGCTCTATGTAGGGTGAGGCAATAGCTTGCGATCGAATCAGAAGACAGCAGTCATATTCTAGAGTCTCCAGTTACACCTGTAAGTCAAGAATATATGTGCAATATAGGTGAACACATGAGCCAACACTGAGGACTCGACAAGCGCTACCCAGCGGCGAGACATGAAACAAGACTTGTACAGACCATATTGTACCCGACACTCATTCAATTCGGCGAACCTTCGGAACGATAGCCCAAATAACAATCATGGTCGACACCATAGAGATGATGCTGTGGCGCCCATGGAGGTCATGATAAACTGTGAGCAAGGCATATCACAAATGATGTGAAACGAAGACACGCACAAGGGCTGCAAAGACACGATGCCAAACCGAGACGAGAGCAGACCAGTTATGAACGGCAGCACAGCCGAGCCGGCCTGGCCGATGCCGCCGATGTAGCCCAAGCAGCCGGTGAGCAGCCACTTTGGCAGGATCGTGGTGGAGTGGTTCATCAGGATCGGGTAGATGGGGCCCATCAGGAGTCCGACGAACGAGACGGCGACTGCGTTTTCCAGTAGCGATGGCACGACCCAGATGGTGACTTCGAGTCTGTGGACGTGACAGAATGTGCATGAAGGTGACGAACACGATGAGAGGAGACGAGGCGTACACGATCACGATGAGGGAATAAAGTATGATGACCCAACGTTCGCCAATCTAGGTAAAAGGTCAGGCCCAGGCAGATAATCACTTTCAAGTATGTATACCTTCCGGTTCAGCCACATCAATGTGATTCGGCCAAGCATGAGACCTTGTCAAGCGAAGCATCAAGTATACCGCACCGCGCACACATTGAGAGCCGCCGACTCACCGGCAAAAAAGCCGGAGGAAATATACCCGGCGCTCGCGGTCCCACCACGTTTCTGCTCAATGAACGTGACGATCCAACCTGCATAAGATAAGAGCCAGAAATCCCGTATCTCCCTGATATGCGACTCACCGCCAATGGACACCTCCGTGCCGACATATATCAGCGCGAACGTCGCCAAATAGTGCACCTCCTTCAGACGCATGATCTGGTGATACAGCCTCTCCTTCGCGCCCTCCTCCTCGGCCGGTTGGCCCGCATCGGCCATGACGTCTGTCCGTGTCGGATAAATCGTGGTGGAAACTAGCACTCCTGCGTATGAATGTGACGCACCGTCCTGGTTCCTGAAGCGGAAGACAGCAACCAGAAGCAGGATGTTAGACACGGCAATGGAGGCCGAGATGATGTAATGGAACGACCAGTGCGAGGTTGCAGAGAAGTATGTCGCGACCAGCGGCGCAACGAGGGCGCCGAGACCTGCCAAATGGCCTCAGTCTCGCTATCGTTGTTGAATATACAAAAGATGAGTACCATAGGACGCGTGCAGAAACCCAAATTTGACACGGGCATGCTCCTTGAGACTACCCACGAAGCCGTTCGCCTGCGCGTTCTGCAACGCGATGCCGAAGCCCGTAAAGACGAATGCGGCGCACATGACGCCAAAGGGGCCGCCCGGCGCCATCATCACGTACCCGACGAGCTGCAGAAGAGCGCCTGTCCTAGCTGTTAGTATCGCGTTGTGCTACAAAGACACATACCGACCCAGCACAACAACCTGCAACACGTTTGACATGGAATAGCCTAATCGAAGAGCTCCGTACATACCTTCCCGAATCCAAACTTATGGTTCAAATGGACGTTGATGATGCCGCCACTCAGGAATCCCTTGTGCGTGTGTCATATACGCATTCTCTGTGCTCCTGCAGGAAACGGAATATGCATACCACGCAGTTGGTTACGAAAAGCAGCGAGACAATCGCGAACCCAATCTGCCTTGAATTAGACTGGCTGGCCGACATTAGTCCGTCGGAACGCTTACCCCATAGTTGCGCTGAATGCGCGGGAGCAGAGGGCCTGTAGACCCGTCATTCCAGCCCTGCAGGAAGGACGAGTAGCACAGTGCCGCGAACTGGACCCGGCTGTTAAGCCGATATTTCGCTCTCTGCGCAGGCGAGACAGTAGGGGCAGCGCTACTCCGTCCTTCGGACTGGGCGTAATTCAGGGAGGCTGCATACGGCGGTGAGGGCGCCGTGTTTGTCCGCTCATATATTTTGCCCCTGACGGGAGCCAGCGTTGCGAGCTCTATAGAATCTGCAGGAGCAGGCGGAGCCTGCACATGTGAGAGCTCTGAGCGTCGACGGACGTGCTCGGGACCCCCGGTGGTCGATGGCAAGTCAAGCGACGAAACGGGCGCGGACTCGTCCACGTCAAGCGCAAAGTCGGGAATCGACGCAGGCCTGTGGGATGGGTGTTCTGCGCGGCTGCCGGCGCTGCCACTGGAGGATCTGGGATCGACGCTGATGGGGATCTCTACGGTAGGGAGCGACATGGTGTGTGGAGGATGGAGAGGCTCCATGGGATGTTTTATTGCAATAACAAACCTCACAAGTTCTGAACTCATGACGACGTGACGTGCATAAATGAGATAAGCACATCTCGGGTAGCTCCACTATGCTGCAGCATCCGGTGGATGACCCACAGGCCAGAAGACTCGGGACACCCGGGTTCTGATATGCCGGTCCAAGGGTTTAGGTTGAGAAAAGTGAAACGCTGGTGAGGAAGTGTAGTAGTCGTTGTGCTTCCTGATCAGCCAAGCTTGAGGCTAGAGATGACAGTCGTCACATTTCCTCACATTGTTGTTCAAGTATCCCGTAGCAGTGGGCTGTGTGGGAAAAAGATGAGGACTAAGCCCATATCATTCCCATTAGCCGACTCGAACGACTGACCTCGTCATAGCATAGAATACTAGTGACGCGCTCTACCAACTGAGCTAAACGGGAGCTGTCAATTAAGCGTTTACAATTTATAATAAGGGTTGTCTTATACACCGAGCTAAGATGAATTGAGAAGTCTGTTTGCTTCTCCTTCGACCATGAATTTGGACCCTGGCGCGGAGACCGCCCGACAAAATAACTTCATTCACACACTCGACTACGACCTCGGCAGCGCGCCAGATCCCCACGGCCGCCTTCCTGCGCCGTCATCGTCGTCGTTCATGAACTACCACTCTCAGCCACCACAGATGGCCAACATGCAGCTCAGCATGGACACGTTCCAAGGCCTGCTGAACGCCGCGGAGAATGCGGGCCAACAGGGGTCATCTCCACAGGTGCAAGCGACCCCGCAAGCACTGCTCGAGCAGCAGATGAGGCTGCAGCAGTTGCAGCAGCTGCAACAGCTGCAGAACCAGATCTTCCAGCAGCAGGTGAGCTCGAGCCTTATCAATGACCGCAGACGTATCGCTTCGGATGGTGGGGGGACGAAGCACGTTGGTTCGCGAAAGCTGGATAGTAATATACGTGGAAGGCGCCCCATGCGATTAATTGCCAAAGCCCACCGGTTGCTGACTACTTCCATGTTCTAGCTGGAGCTATTGAGCGGGGGTACCCAGCCTTCATTCACAATGTCCCCAGGCATGGATCGACACAGAGAGCAGCAGCAACAACAGCAGCAGTATCCACCTACTCCAGGTACGCTCGCCTTCGGCTACCCGTCCCCTTTTTCTTGACGCTACTGCATGGGCCGTAGCGTCGTCGACCGAGCTACGAGCACAGCGCAACCCGGAGGACTTCATCTCCCCCTTCATCCTGCACTCCAACCCCGCCGCCTTCGCGCACCTCGTGCAGGGCCCCTCAGGCGTGCACCACCAGGGCCAGGGCCAGACGCTGCCCGACTTCCTCCCCGCACACATGGTCCCCTCGGCCCCGCACTCTGCGCCCGCCAACCTCGTCTTCGCATCCCCCGCAGACCTGCCGTCTCCCGCCGAGCTCGACTTCAACAACATCTCCCCGCTCACCAGCCCGTGGCTGACCCCGTACACGGGGCAGCCCGCCTCCGCGCCCAGCGCCCACGACGGGCCCTCCTCCAGTGCAGGCAGCAAGCGGCGCATGGCGTCCTCGAGCGGGGACGAGTCCGCCGTCCCCGCGAAGCCCGTGCGCAAGCGCCCCTCGCCCGCCGTCCGCGCGCCGGCACCCACGAAGCCGCGCAGGGCGACCGCGGGGACCGCGCGCGGCACGCGCTCTGCGAACTCGACGCCGCTGTTCCCCGCCATGGCCACGGGTGGGTCAGGCGTGCATGATATACCCAACGACACGCCGTCGCCGATCGAGCTGCCGCCCATGCCGCCCCCTGCGCAGCTGCCCGCGGCGGCGAATGCCCTGCAAATGTCGCCGATCTCCCCGGGCTCTGGTGCGTCTGCGGCGGGGTCGGCGAGCATCACGCCCGTGACCCCTGCGAGTATCATGAACCTCGGAAGGCTCGGGCTGTCCACATCGGGGCCTGCTAAAGGCGACGGCGGGTCGAAACGCAGGGAGAGCATCTCAAAGGCTAGGGCAGCGCCAAAATCGGCAGAAAAGACGTCGGCCGTCCCGCTCGTCAGTCCGAGCCTCAAGCCGATCCGGCCTGGTAAGTGCACGCTCTCGGTCCTTGTGGGACGTGTGTTTCTCAAGCGTTTGTCTGCAGCGGGGAATACCCCGACCATGGAGCCCTCGGCGTTCGCGCAGCCGGTCGTGCAATTCCGCAAGTCGTCGCACAAGGCGGCGGAGCAGAAGCGGCGGGACTCGCTCAAGACGTCGTTCGACGACCTGCGGCTGCTGCTGCCGCCCATCCCGCTGCCGTCCGAGGAGGGCTACCCGGACGAGCCGATCCTGCCGGGCGCGATGCCGCCGCGGGGCCCGCCGAAGGGCAACGCGGAGGGCCCGAACCGCGGGGTGAGCAAGCTGCAGCTGCTGCGGTGCGGCAACGACTTCATCAAGGTGCTGAAGAGCCGCGTGGACCGGCGCGACGACGAGATCGAGCGGCTGCGCAAGGAGATCGCACGCCTGCGGCTGCTGGTGCGCCCCGAGGACGCAGAGGCGGAGGAGCCTGTTGATCTGGAGAAGGACCTGGACGCTATCGAGAGCGCAGGCGGCGGGCTGTTCACCCGCGCGATGCGCGAGGACCGGGGAATGTCTGCGGAGGGGGACGATGTGGACGAGGAAGGCGGCGAGTCATAGTGGACCGCCAAGCCATTGGTCTTCATATTCAAAACAGGTTCTGAGCTAAATTTCGGGTTTCACGTGTTTGTGTTCTGGGTAGAAAGAGTGCGTTCTGTATATGTAGAGTATATACCTAGGAGCGCACGGCGGAGGCAGCGCGACCGTCGTAACTAAACAAAGATGTTTTTTTTTTCGACTATGCGCCGAACTGGGCTGCCGCGGAGAACGGGGATCGAGGAGGAGATCTCGATGGACATTACGATCGCATCTGCGATCTGACAGTGTTCCTGGCCATTTTGTTTTGATAAGGAGCACGTGGCGCTCATGCGCCGTGTGCCTTGTCCCAGTCCGGTGCCGACGATAGCCCTTGTCTCTCTCGTCCTCGCCCACGTCGCCGAGCACCCTTTCTCCAGCCCAGCCATGCCGCCGCCGCCAATCCCCCTGAGGCACCCACTGTGAGTCTGGACCGCGGGCACCGCCCGCTCTCGCACTCAATCATGAACGCGCACACACCAGGTCTATTGTCTTCCTGCTGCACATCGCGCTGGAGGTGCCCATCGCGGTCGTCGGGCTCTGGTCGCCCGCGAGCCTGCCGTTCATGCAGCTCACGAACACGACGCTCGTCTTCCTCAAGGTGAGCCCTCGCTCGCGGGTGTCCGCCGCACGCGCTCACACTCACACTCACCCCGCCAGATGTACTCCGCGCTCGTCGCCGGCCTGTGCCTCTCCGCGCTGCTCGTGTTCACGCTGCCCGGTACGTTCCCCCCTCGCACCGCGGCCCCACCGCTGCGCGCTCACGCCCGCGCCGCACAGAGTTCCTCCCCGGCAAGCGCGCGCTGGGCATGGCGCTGTGCTTCTACCACGTCACCTGCTCTACGATCCTGTTCAACGCGCCGCGCTTCATCCCGCATTCGTTCGGGCCCTTCGCCGAGTCGTGAGTCCCTCTGTTCCGGCGGCACCGCGTGTTCCCTGACGCGGGTGACAGGTATCGCGCGACGCCGGAGGTCGTCTGGGGGACGCTGCATGGCATCGTCGGGTTCACGCTCGCGGCGTGGTGGCAGGCGACGCTTGGTATCACGCAGCTCGCCGCGCGCCAGGCAAAGATACAGTGAGGCAGACGGCAGACACGCCAGCAAATGCGTATACCCCTTGTGATTGTGGAACGTGCTTACTCGAGAGCATTCGGAAAACTGTTGTAGAGCATGATGTAGCATATTATACAGCAGGGACGACGAGGGATGAGCCGGGACAATGAAACGAAACAGAGACGATAGGTACACAGCATGCTGCATTCATGATCAAGGGCCTGTGAACAGCGACCAGGGGGCGAAGTAAACCTTGTCTTGGACGGCTCGTCACGTAGCTGCGCTCGCACGGTACTCTTCCATCTCCTGGTCGAGCTCGGCTGCCGTCTTCTTAACAGCAGCAGCCTTCTTGAGGCGTCGCGGGCCCTTCTTCTGCCGCAGACGTGCCTTCGCCGTCGTGGCAGGCGCTTGCTGCTGCTGTCGTTGTTGTTGTGGTGGTTTTGCAGCATTCGCACGCGGGGCTTGGTGCGCCCGGGGCTGTCTGTATGGCCGAGAAGTGCTCAGCAGTAGCAAAAGGTATTGCGAGGAGTCGTGCATTCCGTGCCCGACCGCTGCAAGACAGTAGAGCACGCAAACCGGACCCTCGGCATCAATCTCGAGAAGCAAGCGCACTCACTTGGCTGGTGGCGCAGCCTTTTGCGCTGCGTGTACGGGCGCCGTTGGCGGCTTCGCGAGGCGGTCGAGCAAGGAGGGTGTCTTCGGCGGCGCCTGCGCGGCCTCGTCCTCGTCCTTGACGATCTCAATCTTGATTGGCCGTCCTGTCAGGGCATAGGGGCTCCGTCTCGGGGGAACTTCAGAGAGACGGGAGGGGCGAACTAGTACTCACTGCCGTCGACGATCTTGCTGTTGTACTTTGCGCGCGCGATGGCGGCATCGGCAGTGCGGGCGAACGAAACTACGGCCATGCCCTTGGACTTGCCTTGCGAGTTGTACACGATAAAGACATCCTTCACAGGGCCCACGGTCTTTGTGAAGAGTATCTGCGCGCCCGGGTGGGTGCCACAGCGCTCTGAAGACAAGCGGAGCACGCACCTCGACCTCATTCTCGCCGACGTCGACGGGCAGCTGGCTCAGCAGAATCTTGCTGCCCTTCTCCGGGGGTGGTGGCACGGCTGGCCGCTTGCCGGCGGCGGCGCTCCCGCGCCAGGCGGGGGGCGCATGTGCGGCCTGGATGCCGAGCAGCTTGCGTTTTGGGCCGTGGTACGCGTTGAGACGCGCGTATTGCGGTTGTGCTTGCATGGCTGGGATTCAGAGGGCGCAGCGAGGGCGACAACTGGGATGCCGTTAATGGAGAAGAGAGGCCACGTGCTACGCGTCCTCAGTTTGGCGATTGACCGGCATTCCATTCCCAGGACGAAGGCGAAGGCTCTTGAGTACTTACTGTGGACACTGAATGGCCACGTCGAATTCGCCGACGGGGCACCCAGGACCGCCGTCAGACCCCGGTCTTGGCATTGCAGTCGGTTTCACCAGGATCCTGTACAAACGTGTTATCGACACCGCGCGGCTGGCCAGCTGGGCGATCGTCGTTCAGATTCAGACGGCTTGTAGCAATGGCAGCGCTATGTCGACGCATTGTGCCTGTTTGGACGCCAACTTGTCCAGCGTTTGCTAAAACATATGCTGGTACCCCCGACGCCGTCGACCGAAGCGGACCGGCACCCGCGGTCACAGGCATCCGGATGTTCTTCTAGGCATTCGCTCGCAAAGCGGAGTCATGCAAGACGCGCACATCATTATGTACTGCGTCCCGCATCTAGAGCCCGTGGTCAGTAGTTTTTCTGCTCGATAAAAGGCCCCATGGGGGCCCCTGGTCTGCTCCTTCCCATCTCCCAGACTCCCACTCATCTCAGCCATGTCGCTACCCTTCACCGACTCCTCCGAGGGCATCATGCGCAGGCTCTCAGCTGCCGACACTGTGAGCAGCGCGGACAGGAGGGCGGAGATCCTCAATGCGCTGCGAGCAGAGTACCCCATCGATAGGCCGCCCTCGCGCACGGTCATGGACTCGGCGCTCGACGCGGACCCTTCTGCGTCCGCCTCGTCGCTCGACCTCCCGTCGATGATGGCCGGTCCAGACCGCATCCGCCGCCGCTCGGAGCTTTCGCGCATCCGCACCCCGGCGCCCGCAGAGGCCATCGAGCTCTCGACGCTGTCCCCTATTGACGAGCAGAATCACGGCCAATCCAGTGCGATACAGACTATGATAGCGGGGCTCGCGGGCGAGCCGCCGCTCGAAAAGATGGTGGATGTCGAGACGGCGCCGACGTCGTATGCGCCCTCGCTCCACTACGCGGGGTCCGAAGGGCAGAGCAGCGCTGCCCCTAACCCGCCCATCTCGCCGGCACAGCGGGCAAAGTACCGCCTGAACAGCAGGATCCAGTTCGCCGCGTTGTGCTATTCGTTCTTCCTCGAGGGCTGGAATGACGGCTCCACGGGCCCTCTGCTGCCGAGGATCCAGCGCAATTACGGGGTGAGCATGAGCGGGAGCCGCCGATGTATGTATCTTGCGTTGACACGACGCGCAGATCGGCTTTGCCCTGGTGTCGCTGCTCTTCGTGACAAACTGCGTGGTATGAAGAGCTTGCCTTGCACGCGTGTTCCAGTCCATGTTTGACGTCTGCACAAGGGCTTCCTGAGCGGTGCCATACTGAACGTCCATCTGAACCACAAATTCGGCTTCGGGAAGGTACGCGCGGGGGTTGCATGTCTCTTCGCCTTCTGACGCAGTCCTGGCCATAGGTCGTTGTCTTCGGTCCGTGCGCAGGTTCGTTGTAGGGGATGCACTGTACTGACGTGAATCACAGGCGCCGTCCTGCAACTCGTCGGGTACGTGATGATGGCGCCGGGCGGACCCTTCGGCGTCATGTGCGTCGCATTCATTTTCACGGGCTTCGGCATCTCGCTGCAGAACGCGCAGGCGAATGGGTTCGTCGGAAGCCTGAGGGAGCACGCGCGCGTCAAGTTTGGCTTCCTCCATGCGTCGTACGGTAAGCGACCCTCGGTTTGTAACGGCTAGGCGAGCGAGATGGACAGCATGTTGCAGGGTTCGGCGCCCTTGTAGCACCCCTGGTCGCGACGCATTTCTCGACAGCGTCGCACTGGTCGTTCCACTATCTCATCTCGGCCGCGATTGCGGTGTCGAATACCATCGTGCTGGCTGCGGTCTTCCGCTTCAGGACGCAGGACGGTGGGTCGAAGTTCACGAGAGACCCTTTTGACTCTGGTTGACGGGAAATTTGAATTCGTGCGCAGACGTCATGGCCGACGCAGGGCAGGAGGCGGAGGAGGGTGGCGCGAGCGAGAACCTCTACCACCAGATCATGCGCCTGAAGGAGGTCCACTACCTTGCGATTTTCTCGCTGATCTACGTCGGCGTCGAGGTGTCTATTGGAGGTGTGCCGCACCCACATACATTCGGCGCTAACAGACGTCTGATCTTCTTTTCGGCAGGCTGGATCGTCACGTTCATTGAGCAAAAGCGCGGGGGCGGCGCGAGCGCCGGATATATCTCGTCTGGGTTCTTCGCCGGTGCGTGCGTTTCACCAGAGCGCCGTACCGCTGCATCCTGATAGCCTTCACTAGGTCTCATGCTCGGCCGACTTACGCTTATGTGGCTGAACCGGAAGGTGCGTAGACACGCCAGGCTGCTGTGGGTGGACTCGCTGACGCTGGCCTGCGTGCAGATCGGCGAGCGCTGGGTCATCGTGCTGTACTCCCTGATCGTGATCGTGTGCGTCTCCCCGGGCGCCCCGCGTCGTGTATGTACCCCTCAGCTGACCGCTTGCTTGTCCGGACTCTGCAGGCTCGAGGTCACCGTGTGGGTCGTGCCGTCGCTCATCGAAAACGCGGTGGCGGTCTCGTTCATCGGGCTGCTGATGGGCCCCATCTACCCGATCCTGATGAACCACTCCACCTCGATCCTGCCCAAGTGGCTGCTCACCGGCTGCCTGGGCTACATCGGCGGCGTCGGGCAGGCGGGCTCGGCCGTGCTGCCGTTCATCACCGGCCTGCTCTCCTCCCGCTTTGGCATCGAGTCGCTGCAGCCCTTGTGCGTTCTGTCCACTCCACTCCACGACGGCTGTGATGTTCGCTCGCTAACGACTGTTCTGTTTCGCGACTGGCAGCATTGTATCGATGATGTCGACGATGATTGTAATTTGGGCCATCGTGCCGAAGGTTCGCAGGATCGAATGAGTTGCTGCTTATGTTGGGTTTTGCTAAATTGCTTGCTTGTCTCATTGCATATCGTGTCCTCCGTTATCTCCACTATCTCGCCCTCATTTGTCTTATCCCTGCTACTAGACTTACCTTGACTAGACTCGCCCAGTCTCATTTTCATTTTTGGGTTGTGCTGTCGTGCACTCTCTGGTGTTTTAGTATGCCCTAGTGTAGATTGGGTTTAGAAGAAATGCAATATACAAATAACGCTAGATTGTGAATTACATTGCAGAATGCATGACTTCTGGTTTTGTCTGTTGCTCCCAGACTGCTGTATACAGTGCGCTAAATATATCACGGGGAATATTGGATTACGACGCACGTACTCGCCGTTGTGGGAGGGGCTTTTGTAGCGTCGTTCGATGATGGTCGAAGGCTTGTATGTGACCTAGCTAGCTATAAAATGAAAAGGTGATTGAATGGCCGGCTCGATCTGAATATATGCGCGTGCAAACAGATAGAAATCAAAACAAAGGGGGCCCTACGAGGAATAAACCTTATAACTGGTGACGACGATGAACGGAACGGCACGTGAACGTTTACTAAGACGATATATGCGCGACAAGAACTACGATGAGCTTCAGATAATGATATCCGTAGCCCGCGCAGGTTGAGGGAATTATCTACTCTGCTCACAGGAGACTACTCGTTCGGCGACAGCGAGCGAGGATGGCTTGCAATAACAAAACCGACGACGAGCGAATAAAGATGCACGGACTCGTGGTGGCTACAACGATCGAACGAATGATACAACTGCAGACAGTCGGCGACGACGACTAAGGCATCAACGAGCTATTGGCTTCTCCACGCCTCGCGGCGACCTCGGAGGGTTCGAAAAACGCGACAACAACGAAGAAGACGTAGCGTAGATAAATGAAAGCTTAGCGACTTTCTGGGTCTTCAGTCGCTGGTTTTTATTCGTAGAGCTTCAAAGAGCGAGATGGTAGTGGTTCGAGGTCAAGGGGGAAGTTACATTTTATGACGTCCAGCCAAGCTTTTATACATACAAAAGTGACAGGCAGAGCGATGTCATAACGAGTCTGCGAGGAGGGAAATGACGTATAGCAGAAACCACACCTCGACATGTCCGATCGATCGAAACCTAGCATCCGAATCGAGATGGAAGCTCTTTCCTGGGCACAGACAGGCTAAGCCCGATGCCTTCAGTCCGAGTCCACAGCGAGCAATTTCTCAGCTCCGCAAGAGTGTCGCCTCCGACGCGTCATATTTCCTCGCGCTTCTCGCCGCCCTCGAGAGCGTGACGACGCCGGCACTCCTGCTGGAGGCGAGGCAAACTGTCTGAGATCAAAGGAAACCCTTGCTCCCGGCTTTGGAGGCATCTTCGTTCCGACGTTTTGCAGATGGCCATGGGTCGCGGAACAACACGACTGCGGAGGAACGTGAAACAGACACATTAAGCGGTAGGGACGCCATGGAAGGTACAAATCCCGGAAACAATAGAATGTGATGTGGTGGATATCCAATACAGGTCCATTTGGTATAATCGAGAAGTCCGCAGATCCAGTCCCATGGCTCTAGCACCCGCAACGCAGAAGACAATCGCGGTTTTACACCAAAATCACCGCCAGAAGAAGCGCCATGAGGATAATGATGAGTATCACAATGCACCATCCTGACTTCGTTTCTGAAGGAACAAATAACCCTCAGTTTCTGTCATCACTTGCAGCATTGCCGTTCGCATACCTTCCGTCTGGCGGATGAATTTCCTCATTTTCTGCATTGCGGCGCCGAGTTTGGCATCTGACCGGTCTACGCCCCTCTCGACGTCGTCGAGCATTCTGAAAAAATAGCATGAGACGAACGAACGGTGGAACTAGGGGCCTATATTGTGGACACGTACTCATTGTGCTCCTCAATCTCGCGGCCCATGAGCCCAGCCTGTTCGGCGATTGTAGTCAGGGTCCCGGCTATAGAATCAATAGTCTGATCTTGTTGCCGGATGATCATCTGTCCGTCGTAGGAGCGCGTCGGATATAAATTGAGCGATGTCCTCGCGCGATACGCTAACTTGTCTTACCTCCTGCTCTTGCTGCGCCCACTCGGCCTGATCATCGCCATTCAACGGTGTGACTGGGCGGCTGCCAGTATACGACAGACCGGATGGTACACCTATTTGTGACCGCGGACGCGGTCGACTCTCGGAAGCATCCGAGTCCACTTCGGTTCTCATAGTCTGTAATCATAGCACGAAGGTCTGTATGTTAGCCGCATATATATTGAGTGCAGCAATCAGGTGTAGCTTCCACGAACGCACCTCTATTTCATGCCGTACGTGGCCAACGTAACGCCTCCTGTCCATCACTTCTGCTTCTTCGAGTCCGAACATTCGGGCACCCGTCGACTCCACGACCCTTTAGCCGGCATTAACAAGGCGGGGAAAAGGTGAGGGAGTATCTACAAAGTGCTGGGGATGAGGTTCTGACCTGACGCTTTCCTCTAGATCTTCAAGGTCGGCATCTAAGGCTGCGAGAGTTGCCTTGAGCTGTATATCCAGAGCATGAGCAACGACAAGAATAGCCATGAAAAGCACTGGACTGAAATATTGATTAGACACGTACTTCATTTCTCGCCCAGACCAGCTCCTCACTGTCATCCCGGGCGGTGCTGCGAATTCGGAGATATGATGCACGCAGCGTCGACGCTGTCTGCAGAGATGCCTGAATCTCCTGCTGTACAGCGTGATATGGGTCTATCGACATAGCGGCTTCAAGAAAGAGTGTCTGTCGTCAGATTCCAAGGTGTTTCACAGTGTCGGGTCCGGCATATGCACGCAGTCCAAGTCTCCAAGGTCAAGAAGTGCGCGGCAGGATGAATAGCTCAAATTGTGCCTTCAGGTCGTCTGCACACGAATTGTCAAACGAACGTATATACTACCGAGGTAGACGTGAGGAGTTGTGAGCAGGTGGAAGTATGAGTAGCAATCCCGGCAGTACCACAATGGCTGCGCGACAATGCTGCAGCCACCGCGTCGTGTCCTCACGTGATTACACCTCTTTCAGAGCCTCACTTTGATGAAATGATGCTATTTACTAACTTGAAGTTGCGGACCGCCCTCGCTCTACTTCTACCTCGAAGCTTTGACCCCTTCCCCTGAAATAGACTGTCTCCCTAGTATCTGAAGTGCTTACGAATCCACTAGATATTGACGAATAATTCGGCGTCAGCATCAAAGTAAGTATAGCGTGAGCGTGAGTAAGGGGTGCTCGGAGCCTGTGCCGCAGTGACTCCCCTAGTGACTCCTGTTTATCTCACTCCTTCTTGTGCATCTCCTGCGGTGCGGGTGATGGCTGCTATAGCTGCTTGGTGTACGCACAGCCCATCTGACTCGTCAGGTTTCGATTCCAGCCACTGATCGGCTCCGCAGACAATAACCAGTATTCAACTTGGAACCGCACCCGGAGCCTCCACGCTCAGCCCTTCGTCGCCCGCACCGATACCCTGACCTCCCGTAGGGCTGCAGAAATGGCCCAAGAGGCGGTTGTGATCAACATCGGCGACAGCACCAACACAGACTCAAGCAAGGAGAAGAAGTCCGATACCCTCTTTGGCCCCAACATCGGAATCGTTGGCGGGGGACCGGAATGGACGGAAAGGCATGAGAAGAGCACGGATGAGCTTACGCCGGAAGTTATCAAGAGTTGGATCTCGAAGAGCAAAGAGGTATGCCCTCTCCTATGCTCCTGATTCTACCCTCAGACCGCTGTGCAGGGCTACCAGACCACGACGACACTGCAGGCGCTCGTCAATCTGAAACGCCCCACACTGCGTCTCACGCCGCTAGAGATAGCCCCATCGGACGACCCCGACCACGTCGACTCGCAACACCACCATGGCCTCGAGTTTGAGTATGATTGCGACGCGCCCAAGTGCGGCATCAGCGTGCATGTCCTGCTGAACCCGAAGCACCGCTTGGCCGGCAAGCCAGACGCCGGTGGACTCTCCAAGTTCCTCGTCTTTGAGTCCGTCGTCGAAGGAGGGTTTGGCAAGATCCTCAAGCTAGAGGAAGGCGCGACTCTGGAGCTCGGCCGCTTTGAGTACCATCCCGACGCTGGCGAGAAGGACGCAGCGAGCGAGCCGACGGCAGCCCCGGAAGCTGAGGGCCAGCATGCTGATGACGCGGCGAAGAACCGAAAGCGTTTCACCCACTTTAACTTCCGGAAGCGTAACCATAACCGCAACGTCGCAGGGCCTGCGCTTGCTGTCGTCGATGCCGCGGAAGTCCACCCTGTGGAGGAGAGTGAAACGAAGGAGTCGGACAAAGACAATGAGGCTGACGTAGGCGTTCGGGTCGTCATCCGCCTCGCCGCGCTTGATGGCGAAGGGAAGGAGCTACCGTCCGCAAATGAGCAGGTAACCTACCTGCACGTTGTGCGCTATGGTGCGTCACCCAGTACGCTAGAGGGTGACCCCGCGGAAGACAATCGGCCGTGGGTTGTCAAGGTCGTCAAGCGTGAAGCGACGGTAAGCAGGACCATCCCCCAAACCGTCGGTGATGCTGAATAGTGCGCAGATTGGCCCGCACACGTTCCATCTGCACGAGATTTACGGCCTGTCTGCCAACTCGACCACTGCCACTCACGCAGCACCCCCGACGTCCCCCGTATCGCCCACTTCGCACGTTTACCCGCCCGTCACCCCGCCGGCCACTACTACGCATGAGGAAGAACCGTCCTCCGAGTGTCTTCTCTGTTTGTCGTCCCCGCGCGAGGTCGTGCTGCTGCCCTGCCGCCACCTTGTCGCCTGCCGCGAGTGTGCAGTCAACATGATTGAGTTCGGCGCGGGCGGGAACATCGTGCACCAAGATAGCGAGACAAACGCCACGACGGGAACCGAACCTGCGTCGGGGGAGAATGCTGGCCCTACACCGATCGCAGACGGTGCACCACTGGGGTCCGAGGCGAACGCGCCTCAGCCTGCGCCGAGACGCAAGCGCAAAGCGAAGGGCTGGTTCTGTCCCGTTTGCCGTCAACGTACGTGAAATTGCCCTCCCACGGTTGGATGTGACACTGACATCGGTCCTCGTGTAGCCTACACGTCGCTGCTGCGCATTACCACCAATGCTCCTTCGAAGGACGAGGAGAAGAACCGCGACTCGATGTCGGAAGCACAGGTTGCTGTGCTGCCACAGACACAAGCTGCCTCTCCGACTCGTGGAGGATTTACATCTCTCCCTCGACCCGGTTTCCTGCGTGCATTTGGTCGGCCAGGTTCGCAGCAGGCTGATGTAGAACGCGGCCAGGCATTGGCTGTTTGAGACTGCACTGTGCGTGCAGCAAAGGTGTACCAGTATGTGTTCCCTGCTTCTTCGTGATCTGCCCGATTTGTTGTATATCATGCACCCCTTTTTACATAACCGTCCGTGCTGGGATATTTCACTCATACACTTGTCACCCCATGATGTACTCTCATGTATTGAGCGGGTATTATGTCAAGTTGTCTGAACAACGTGTTGTAAATGTGTAACCGATGTCTTGGCACATGTAGTGCTTTGTTGTGATAGGGAGCTGGCCACATGGCAGCACGACGCTTGTGGGGAAAGGCACCCAACGAAAGGGAGCGTACAGGCTGACATGGAAGGTATGCAGAAAGCAAGCGGCCGATTTCCATCGAATCTCATCAATCGAGAGATGTGCGCGAAGCGGCAAATAGCCGAGGACCTGACAGAGTACACGAGGATAGCCGAGCTGCAGCGGCAGGTGTTACGGCATGGATTGCATAGGAAGCCTCGCAATATGGTCATGTGCATGTAGTGGGTGCGGTACAGTGCCAGAAAAACGAGAACGCGGGAAAGCAACAACAGAATCATGCAATCAACTTCACAACGCCGCCAGCCTCCTTGATCTTGTGCCTGTGGGGTCATAATATGAGACAAGAAAGGGACCAACGGGGCAGCGTGGACGTACTCCGCCTTGGCCGAGACGAAACGTGCTTTTACAATGAAAGGCAGCTTGGGCAATCTGACTAGGCGTCAGATACGCATGAGGGCACAGAAGCACATCGACTCACTGTCCGTTGCCCAAAATCTTGGCGTAGCCGTGACGCAGGATGTCGATCACGGGAACAACCTCTGAGTCCTCCGTCAGGCCCTCCTTCTCCTCTGCAGGTACAAGTGTCCAGAGCTTGTCGACGTTGATGATTGGCGACCATTGGAGATTGCGCGTAAGATGGTAGCGACGCATACCAACTTTACCGAAGTAACCAGGATGGTACTTATCGAAGTTGGATCTTTACGAGCGGATAATTCATCCAGTAGGTCAGCAATCGCAAAGCGGGCATAATGGAAAACAGAACGCACCGGTGGTGTTGCATACCACCAGCGAGACCGCGACCTCCGGGATGCTTGCGGTGCTTGCCTACACGTCCATGACCGGCTGAGACGTGACCGCGGTGCTTGCGAGTGTTTGAGAACCGTGTAGGCATTTTCTGTCGCCAGATCCGCCGTCAGCGTCATCCAAACCGAGACCCATGCATCCAGTATTGCAGAAGTAGCATTTTTGCATGGTTCTACATGCAATCGAAAGCTCTTGGTGCACTCTTTGCGTTGCAGCGATTCTGAAGCAGCGAGACAGCGAGATACTCACCTTGAGGAGGGGTTGCTTGAGGATACACACGGGCGGGCCTTACCAGATAGTCCGAATCAGGCGGTGGCGCGGTATTTGGTCCTGCTTGGCTGCTGTGGCTTCAAAAGTTTGCTGGTCTAGTTGGCGCCCATCGCGAACTCTGTTCTTGCGTCTCAGGTGCTGGTGAGTTCATATGCTCTGACCTCTTTTTGATGATGTCGGCGTAAAAGCCATTATTTATTGTCAATGAAGTGGCATAAGAGCCACTTGTGATCTCAAAACGTGTTCTGAATTTTGATTGTACATCAGCTTTATGGGGCGTCGATCTAACTAGTCTTCTGACAGATTCAAACTGTACGAAGGTGAGACCTCTTCGCTGAGACTCGTGTCTCTTTTGGAAGTGATCGTCGCATATGGCCTTAACCCTTAGTCTGAACGCTATCAGGGCAGCCTGTAGCTGAATGTAGATTTTTCACTAGTTTGTAATCATCATGAACGCACCCAATCGATACGAGTTATATGTCTTGGAAGAAGGCGAGAAGCCGTGCGTGGAATAGTTCTTCTGCCCGAGTGCTAGGGTTTCACATTGAGGTCCCTTTATGCTAGTGTTGAAATTATCGAAGACACAAAGATACCGAATGCAGCCACAATCAAAGTCCTGAAGCAGGACCATACCCTTGGCAACCTAATTCGCGCGTACGTATGCAGCGTACGGGTTTGCAGCAGTGCGTCTGACGAATCCGTGCACAGACAACTGTTGTCGATGCCGCAAATTTTGTTTGCCGGCTACAAGGTCCCACACCCGCTGCAGCCACACTTCCTGATCAAGATTCAGACAGACGGCACCATCACGCCGACTGCTGTCCTAGAGCAAGCTTGCACAAAGCTCATTGGTACCATGGCGTCTCTCGAGGCGAAATTCAAGCGGGAGTTCAGCTTTAAGGATATTGACGGTGCTGTGCAGGAAGATGCGTATGGGACAACCACCACGGCCGGTGGGCAGGCATGGGCTGAGGGCAGAGATTACCTGGACTTCTGAGCTTCTTTACGGACTTGGCGTTGGCTGTGGTTGTAACACTATTTGCGCATAATACACTGTCGGTTTGTATCAGTCTGAATTTATATTATCATGGTTCGGTACTATGGTTATGGTCTCAAACGAATCCCAATAATGTCATGGATGGTGCGTCATTGTTGGCACATGTCGTCGCCACCTTGCCTGCTGCATACAGCCCGACAGCGAGTACCTTCGACGTGAGATCCTAGCGAGGCGCCCAATCAAATACGACGAGAAAACATGCTACATTGTAAAGCTCTCGGCTAGCGTGGGATCAGTTCCCGGCGCTGTGACTCATATATCTAGCCTTGCGAAGAATGCAATGAGCTTAAAACAGGACACATCGCAGGCATCATGATGACGGCCACTTCCCAGCACAGTAATTCCCACTCACGGCCTTGCAACAATCTAGCCGCTCGCTATTCCTCAGTTCCGGTGGATAGGGTGATGGTGTACAGACGGGACACCGTGTGTCAATGACCGTGGTTTCCCGGCCACCTTCTCAGCTACTGGGATGTCAGATGACGCCATATCTCAACATGTGCAGAATAACGCATGCAGGAAACCACCACCAGCCTGCTGCTACCGCGAGTCAGGCGGCTAGGTAGGGCGCCTTGTGGACACACCTGCGGTTGCATGCTGGATCACAGGAAGTCACCGTGGGCCATGCAATACACGGAGAATCTTACCCGTAACTGGCAGCTAGTGGATATTATCATTTATCAAAAGACGCGATGCGGAATACATCAAGCAAAATGCATCCAAGTGATGTTAACTACCGCCCCTGCGCGCTGTGAGCCGCGCCCGCGTCCTTGCCGCGCGCTTTGCCAGAAGCTCCTCCCGCACCCGCTTCTTCTCCTGCGTTGCGCTAACTCCGCCGCCGGCGCGCTCCTCTTGCGCAGCGGACCGCTCAAACCGGTCGATGCACTCCTCCATCCTCTTTTGCACGGCGGTCGGGTCCTGCACGCCCGCCCCGCCCGCACCGACTTCCCACTCCAGGTCGAAGCCCCACCCGCGACGGTGCGCATGCGCGCCGACCTCGGGCGCTGGTGCTGCTGCCGCGAGGAGCCCGCCCTCGCTACGCCACCAATTGATTAGCCACACCGCGGCGCGCGCCTGGTCTGGCACACCGCCGCGTTGGAGCATGCACAGCCGTGTGGCCAGTGCATCTAGAAAAGCGTAAACGTCCGTGAGCGGCGACGTGCCCGGCGGGAGAAGGCGCAAGTATGCGGGTGCTTCAGGCGCGTAGACACGGATGATGAATATATGACGAGTTAACTATCAGCGGAGGTAAGCAGAACGTTGGGTGCTTACACACGGGGTCGAGCACATTTAGCCGGTAGAGCAGATACGCGGCGAGTGCCTCGATGTCATATAGGCCTTCCTTGATGCCGGCTGAGACCGCAAAAAAATCAGAATGTGCCGCGCTACGTGCGTTTGTGCGCGATCGGACGGAGAGTAGAGTACCGACCTATCAGCGCGAGCTTGACGCCGCGTTCAGCACCCGGATCCCCATTCCCTAGGAACGGCAGCATCACACCAGGGGAGTCGTACGAATATACGGGCGGGTCGAGTGAAAGCTTCAGGCGGTTCGAGAGCGCGCGTGTGAGCCCGGGCTGGGACGACGTGCGGAGGGCCTTGGACGTTGCTAATAGGAAAGTCAGGCGGCATTATGTCAACTGTCCATACCGTCGAAAATAGCAGCGGGAAATAAACTTACGCCCGGGGATGCCAGTGGTCCTAAGCGCGTTAAGCAGTGTAGATTTCCCAACGTTTGGCATGCCTACTACGAGCACGTTCATTTCTGGGATGTGTGGATTGCTTTTGGCTATGCCTGCACACGGAGGGAGTGTGTCAGTGAGGCGAAATATTACAATTACGGGTTTCATTAAGACTCACCGACTAGCATGTCATTGAGAGTCTTAATATCTCGCTGGCGGTTCCACGAGGCGAAGAAGACTTTCTGGTCGGGATATTTGACCGCCATGGCTCTGCGAAACGGCTAGTAAAAATGCCATACATAAGCCGAGGTAGAAAATGTATATACTCTTACCCACCTCAATCCCCCACTCGGCTACGAGGTCGCGCTTGTTAAATACGACTATTCGCTCACATACAAGACCTCTGCTTGGGGCTGGCCTTTGTAACGCGAGTGTAGACGGTCCGGCAGCATCGGTGGGGAGCTCAGCGGCCACTCGACCTCGTTCCTTGCGCCATTTCTGTATCGCACCTGTGTATGAGTCATTGAGTGCGTACTGGCCTCACTCGCTAGTATTATACACCGCTGTGCAGCCATGATAGCCGCTATCTAGACTCAAGGGGTCCCACAGCGTCCAGGCTGTGTATCGGCCACAAAATGACGCGGGGATCGGCCGGGAGGTCTGTGGATAGCACATGAGGAGAGACGACCCAGCATGGACGCCTCTGCCCGCGCGGCAAGGCGACTGTGCCCACCTGTGCCTGGGTACCGCACCGCCGCACGCCACCCGTTGCAACGATTCCACAGCCCCACTGTGTACGCAACAGTGTACATGATCATAACACGGACACACCTTCAAAATTGCGGTTGATACTCGTGAGCGGGAGGCGCGCGTCGCGTAGCTCAAGTACTACATCGGTGCGTGCAAGTACCCCGGGCAGCGCGCGCGCAAACTGGAGCATGTGTCCCGGGAACCATGACGGCGGTGCAGGCAGCACCGGGAACGGGATGTGCGTTAGCATCGTATGTTCCCTCCCGCGCTGGCGTATTGCCTAGTCTACGGCTGAGTTTAAGCCTGTGTACGATGCAAAGACGGCGTATCAGTAAAATGACAAGGTTCTTGAGAGCTTGAGCCTTGCCTTCTGGATTCGAGTTAGTGGGAGCACTAGACTCGCAATAGCTACAATACCGCCAGGATAACGCCAAGATAGTTCTTACTTAGTACGTTGAAACCTAATGCCGTAGAGGAGCGCTCGGAGAACGGAGTCGGGATATTCCTGACACGGCATATTTTTGAGACTCCGAAAATATCGGCGCCCAAGATCGCACGCAGTCGATCACGGCAGCCATTTGGCTGACAGCGTTCCTCTCGATAGCGATTGACGCTGACAGCGACAGCGTCTCTGCGGGGCAGCGCGCGACCTAGCCGACAGAAGTTGAGACCGACGGCGGGGGCGGGTCCTCAGGCGGGCGATATTCGCGGAGACAAATCATCCGCGGCAAGGACTCCGAGATACGGACTCTGATCGCAAGCGCCGACGCACGATAGCCTGTGATCGCTGTGGTCGTCGGCCGGCTCTCACGCTCATTTGCATGATGGCGACGCGCGCCACCGCGAGTGCTGCAGAGACAGCCATGCACATGCAGGGCCGCCCAGCGGCGTCGTCGAGATGGTTGCGATGACAATAGCCTCTACCTATCAATCAATTGTGCTCATAACTATATGTGTACAAGATGGGGTGTGGATGTAACCTAAACAGTACCCAGAATAAACCTACGAGAATGAAGAGACCTACGGGATGAAAAGGACGGTGACCAACGCAGGACCAAGAGAGTACAATATAAGAATGAAAGCAGGAGCAGAGAGAAAGGATTCACCACCTGAAAGCGCCCTCGTATGGAACAACGGTATAGCACAAGTCACGACGGACAATGGAGCGGGTCCCATTCGCTCAGCCAGAGGCACACCCGACACGACCTCTACGCTGTACAAAGGTATCAGTACAATCGAACCGTAAAATCGACGAGCAGCACTCACGCATCTCCTTCCATCCCTCGGAGCCTACACCGATAGCGTCAAAGCTTTTGCCACTCCGTGTCTTCCGCTCTGGAAGGACAGTGGCAACGTCAAGGTTTATAAGCTTCTCGCTCGGCGGTGGCGAGCCCTCCACCCAGCCCTTCCAGCCCTTGCGCACCGCAGCGCGCTTTTTCCGATACCGCGACTGCGGCGGTGGTGTGGCAGTATCCTCGCTTCGATGACGGCCGTGGAAATCCTCGTCGTCTGCGGGTGTGTGTGGCCGCTTGGACGACGTGGCCGACGTGGTCGACGAGATGGACGGGCCTGGCGTGGTCGGCGGCGAGGACACCATGGGTGGCGGTGTGACAGACACGGAGCGTTGCTGTCGCGCGATGTGGATGGCGGGACGTGCCTGCCAGAAGGACGAAGCCTGTGGGGGCTTGATGACAGACGGGGCACGCGCAGGGGGCGCGGACACCGACGCGTAGGCGGACGAGGTCGACGCGACGGCCGGCGCGGGGACGAGTTTGGGCGCGGGCCTTGGCCCCGGCTTCACGCGTTTCTTCTCCTTATCGCGCTCCATCTCTCTGTTCTTCTCCATCTCCCTCTCCTCTCTCTCTCTCTCTCGCTCCTTCTCCTTGCGCCGCCGCGCCCTACGGAGCTCCTCGTTGTTTTCGACCTCCTTGTAGACCGGGACACCGTTCAGCAGTGAGGTAAGGACGTCGCGCTGGGGGCGCAGATCAAAGTCGCCAGCAAGAACAGACGTGGCAGTGCGTCGTCTTTTGGTGGGAGGGAGGATGGCCATGGCAGTTCGGGGGAGAGAGGCAGAGCGTGGCGAAGGCCCTTATAGGTTGTTGTATTCTGTTGCGGCCCCAATTGGATAACCCCTTACGTAATACGAGGAACGTTCCGTCGTCCGCACGTCCTTCTATCTGCTTCGAAGATGGCTCCCACAATCTGATTAAACCCGACGCTAGCTCTAAGTTACAATGCACGCATTGTTGCAACCTTGTTGTTACCGTAGTTATGTTGTTTTTCTTCGCAGCACACAAAGGGCGCTGGTGGCGAGCCGCCACATTCTCTCGCCACCCGGGCCCTGCTGCGTTCCTATCTCGCAAGCCGGGCTCCTGCCCGACTGGGTTTAGTAGCAGTCTGGCCGCGGCCTGTCTGTGGCAGGCAACAACGCCGAGCGAGATGCAATAATGCTTCCTTCTGTGGCGTGGCTCCCCCCCAGCCTACGCCCGTTCAGGTTGGGCGCCACCCACCTCCTTCGCGCATTTGCAAACTATTCGTGCCAGCCAATAGGTGTCTTTACCGGCATCTGATGCCGCTGCGACTTCGAAGTTTCATGCCACGAATCACGCGGCAAGGCTCCAGCCTGCCATTTCCGGCCCTGAACTAACTTTCACTAGCTTTTGTCCTCCTGTCGAATAATTCATATCGGCTCGCACATCGCTGATGCTCTTCGCCCTGCCCCAACCACCGCCGGTCGTACCCTTCCCGCGGGGGTCGTGATTATTGAGGGCCTCATCCACGCGATCGTCCCATCCATATCTGGCTGGTCGGGCCCGGCTGGGCCAGAACCGCACCCCGGAACCCCCTGAGAATCCGACGGTCTCCGATTCTTCTCCACCTCACGGTGGCAGACCTCAGGTCAGCGGCGATGGATCTCGCCACCGTGCCCCCACGGAGGCAGATCCACCCTCCTCACAACCGCGCTCCTCCCGCCCCAATTGTCTGTCCGCTAATCGGTACACGCCGTCATAGCGTGCCTTGCACGCATGTCCGTATATGTACCGCAGGAATGCAGACGATGTCGATAATCAGAGTCATATTGACGAGAACACCCGCCGTGATGGCTCGAACATTCAGAGATCGCGGCAGGCTTGCTCCAGGGCCACACTGTGGGATATCCATGGACAGGCAGCACATGACACGCGGAGCAAGATTCGAACTCTGCGTCTCCATCTCTGCCCCCGCACCCGAGATCGCGATTATCCCAACCGCCGCGCCGCCCCTGCCCCCAATTATTCGAAGACATTTCAATTACGCTTTTGTGATCCCGTCCCTCAGTCCATTACGAAGACGTCTTCCTCGTGTTACATACGCGAGTCGTGGTGACTCGCGCACGGACACACGCCAGGGCACGCTCCCGGAATTCTGGATATCTGGATATCTACGATTGTGCAGACGGTCGGCTGTCTCCGATTGGCAAATGCTGTGTTGCGTGTACGGCATCGCCATTGTTCTTCCGCCTTCCTGCCCCTTGGTCCGCTTCATCGTATACCCACGTCCTCCGTCCATCCGCTCGTTCTCTCCATGCTCCTAGAGGCCTTTGTCCCTCCGCTGCAGCACGAGGACGACGCGGACGGCACAAAGGCCTCCAGAGAAGGGAGAACGCTTACGCGCACGATAGGGTAGGAACTTTTATGAAATACACTGTCTTCCTCGGATATCGTGTGGACTTGCGCGTTTGCATTCTTGGATTACCCTAGCCGACGAATTCTCAGCTGCGCAGGGTGCGTCGGTATGCACTGGCCGACGCCTGGGCGCGAGAAGACTGCGGTCATTTCCTAAAATAAGCAAGACCGAGCGCCGGGTGGATCTGGTTCACGGTGTAACTTCTGAGAAATAAATTCCTCACTGACGCCGCACAGTCGTTGATATCACACGCCTATGCCGAATAGAAGGCCTGGAGTTCATCATCGATTGCACTGACATTGTGGGTGCATTGACTCAAGCTTGCAGCGATCGCAGATGAGCTGCTCGCAGCGCACGCCGTCCCTACATCAAAATATCGCAAATTATCTCCAAGCGGCCTGAAAGTCGGGTGAGAAGCTGCACCTCAAGGTCTACATCCCTCCCGCTCTTGACAGCGTCCAAAATATTTTAGTAAGCAGCCGAATATGCCATGAGAGCGCATGCACCGAGAAATGAATCTCTCCGTTACTGGCTAGGTTCCGATGAACGCTGATGCGTCGGAGAACTTCTCACCGGTGCTCAGCGCGCTGCTCCGGAAATCTTCGTTGCATACAACCAAGCCCTGATTAATTGACCTTTATTGACCCGAGCTCGGGCGTGGTAACTGATCGCCACTCCATGACAGCATACCTCTGTATTGTGTGCATGACCATCTCATCAGACTGCATATGTACGGCGGCACCTACCGGAAGACATCTGCCCAATTTGTACAACTCCACACCTGGTCCTGCGGCGTTCCGCCAACCGTCCAAGGCCACTAGTGCAAGCTCAGATGACACCAAAGGCTTGGGCCTTTCGATTTTTGGTTGCCTCGACGGTCGTATCCCGCATCGGGATTCTTTTTGACGCCATCTGTCGCATTTTTGTCTCGACCAGCCTGCTCTTGACCCGCGTCCCCTGCCTCGCCCTTCCGCCTCATCGGTCCCATGTGTAGCTCTCATGCACATACGGCCACGATCGGACAACGTGCCATCCCGAAACGTGGTGCCACAGGAGGTAAGCGCCACCCTCACCCCTTGCAGTAGTGTGTTTACTTGTGCTCTCCTTCTGTGTAGCGCCGAGTCAGCCGCCGTACAAATATAGCGGCGCATAGACGATGTGCACCACGGCGTGCGGGCCTGAGTACACAGCGCGCGGCGGGAAGGTTTGACGGAATACAACGAGCTCGGTCACCAACTCAGTTGCCTCTTAGAACACATCCGGGGAGGGCGGATCGCTCCCTCATCTCAACTCCTACCTCCCGACATGCAGTCTAAATTTAGAGTCTCATCTATATGTCAGGGAGGTCGAAGGCCCTGCTGCCGCATCCCTCCCCTTTCCGTGCGATATACCACAAGCAATTGTCTGTTCACAACCTGGCCAGTGAGTGCGCGACTTGCTCCTCGCACGCTCAACTGGCGTGCGATTTTCTAGGGAGCGGTGTCATGCAAGCGGTAATTTCCGCCTCTGAAAGAACTCTGCACGTATTCCTCCGCTGATTGATTTTCATACATAGATTCACATGCACCTGGACTCCTTCATTTGTCTCCGGCCTCGGTTCCGCCGGACGGACATGATGGCTGCGGGCGGTGCATGCGTCTCGCACATAGACGCCTCCTGAGTCCCCGGCGGTCATTTTCGCCGCCCTCGGAGCCTTGCGGTCGCTTTGTGCTTTCCCTCAACCTGACGTATAAAAGCGTGCGTTGTCCATGCGCTGAACCACCCATCTAGCCGTCTATCTGCTTGCGTCGCTCTCTCTCTACCATGCATTTGCCCATCAACACGTCCATGCTCAGTGGTTGCCTCTCTCACGTGTCGCGATGGCTGTCATTCCCTGCATTCCAGCGGCAATTTTGCGGGGAGCTGAGCGGGAAGCGGCTATTGCCCACGACGCCTGCGATCAGCAGGGACACTTTTTGGCTGCAGTTGGTCGGACGTCCATGCATCGGAGAGGTCTACGTGTTCGTCGGACGTGTACGAACACATGTGCGTCCCGCACTACCAGGCCTCTGACAGATATGCAGCGGACTCGAATTTCTGACCCTAATTGTAATCTGGCAGTAAATACCTTCCCTTCATGCCGTTGGCAGTGAGCTCGGCGAAGGCTGAATATCTGAAGACAACGGGCATCGGTATCATTCTTCTTCATTTATTACATCTCTGATAATTTGTGAAGACCGTCTGGCACCCTGTTACTCACTTAGTGGCGGTCTAAAAACGTAAAATGGCCCCCTTGTATGCCCCTCTGCCAAATTCTAGTTGCTATAGGTTCTTTCTTTCTTTTGTCATAAGCCTCTGCTTTCATCTTTATCACGTATGTGCACAGGTGCCAGTGAGTCGATTTATAATCAACGCACTCAGAAGTAGATTAGAAACACGCATGGGGCTATTGGATTCACCGCCGCGCGCCGGATACCATGCCAATGATAACGGCCGCTCACGAAGGTTTCCGAGAAGTACACGTGCACCACGGCCTACTGCTTCCGGTCAGGGTTCCTGCTGAACTGCTGACATACAACTGACGTGGTAGGGACTATGGGTTCAAGGTTTGACTGCCGGATCATGCATATAGAAAAGGAGAAGACACCCCTGGGAGCTAAGCAGCGCGCAGTCGCATATACTTGGGTCGAGCGCGTTCTTTTCATCCGCATGCATCATTCTCGTAGAACTTCTGATGACCCACCGCGCCTTCATGGCCTACTCCTGCAATTCGACCCCTTGCCCGAGGTAACGTATTGTACGTGTTTCCATGGCGTCTAGGGTCCAAGAATGCAACTTTTTGGAATTGGTGACTCGCCGTCCAGGCTGCCAGTGTAACAACCCGTCATTCAGTCTTATCTGCTCATCCAACTGTTGTTTCCTCCCTTTGCCTGTCTCTCTGAAGCAGACCGTTTATTGGCACTCAGCGAATACCACGATGAACCCTTTGACACCGACGATCAGCATCCTCCATAATTCGCGGGAACGCCAGAGATATTCGAAGGCACCGCTTCCTAATCGCCGCTGCCGCGTAATCGCCGCATGGAAGACCTATCGCCCTCCTGCTGAAGATGTATTACTATAAACTCAAGTAGGTGTCCATTATGGAGGGACGCCGTCTTCCATTTGCGACATAAAGTTACATTCGAAGTTGTCGACTCATCATGTAAGCCTCTTGACCTGCCATATAATCATGTAAACTGTCTTGCACCACGCCAAGGTAGGATGACTACGTTGGCATGCAAGTTGCCTTACTACAGTTGCGTTAGATGAAGCGGGATGGTGACAACGTTCAGCAAAATGAGGGAGGACAGTCTGACCGTGTAGAAGGTGATCATGATGCTGCTCTTCAACCGCTGGACGATGATGAATTATCAGTCATCCAAAACAGTATTGCCACCCCTGTGCGCTTGCGTCACCGGTGGTACAGCCCCACGATGGATCAGTATGGTCAAGCCGTGCCATATATACTTAGGCCCTGTCCCGGGCCCCAGTGTCATGACCAACATTCCGCGACTTCATTGGGAACGATGAGTCTCCCTTCATTAGTTCTGGATTACTAGGACAATATCGACCCTCCAACGCCGCTGATTAATAATACAGAGCTGTTGGGTCACGCTTACTGATTGACATCAGGCACCAGTACATGATTGACAGGGTCCAGACAGCGGGGATTGAGATCATTGTCTACCTACCTGTCTGGAATGTCAGCCTTCGAGCTTTACATGAGATGAGGTGAGACGAGACCGTGAGGCTATAAGCAACATCCAAAATGCAAGATAAACTAACCTCGATCTATCCACACGGGTCCTCCGTCACGGTGACGGTGATGTTGATAATTATTGACATTGCCAAGACAACACTGCTAGCTGAGCCACAATGATTTGATGAGGAACTGAGAGTAGTCTCGTGATGAATGGTAGCATGACAATGCAATCCCGGTCGATGACGCCGGTGTATCCCAAGGTTTCGGTAAATAGCCATGCAAAAGGTCACAGTCGAGTATTTGATCAGGATTGGGGAGACAGGGGCCCATCAACAGTCTGATGGGCGGTCTGCGACCGCCTTGTCGATGATGAGCAAATACATGCCCCACATCAAGGCTGGCCTCGAGGCTATCAGCAGAGTGGCAGCGAGCGGGCGTGCCGGAGGGCAGGCAAGGAAACGCACAAACGTAAAGCACTGTGACTTGCCAATGTGCAGGCCGGCGCCAGTAAATGTAAAGCGAGTACACCTTCCGTTAAGACTACATTGACGTAATCCGGCCGAGCATGACATATGGGCATGAATGGCTATTAGAACGTAGCGATAGGGCTTCCCGGGTAACTCCTGAAGTCCCGGTGGGATTCCAGAGGAGCTGCACTCAAACGCGCATGTTTTCACCGTATTAGCGCGGACAAAATACTGCCCCTCGGCCGGCCCGTTAATAAAGGGGAAAATATTAGAAGAACAATGCCTTAAGACGCATTTTTTGTTGCGCCTCTGCCACCCGTCCAGCGCGGCTATGATGTCTCTGCTTTAACAAGAGATGGGTTTCTACTGTATCCTAACTCGCCGCCATAGTTGCTGGAGTGTTCCAAAGTAACAAGACGAGGTCCGGCGCCACAATTACTGCTGTTAACAGTATAGAGACGCCAAATCAACGTCGAAAAGTGACATAATCCTGAGTGGATTTGCACATACCTTTCCGGACCCAAACATGCGGTTGGCACCACCCGGAAACCCTTACGCAGACGCGAAGCGTGTACGTGTGTTATTTTGGAGACAACATGGTATTCACACGGGGCAGTTGGCTGTGAACAGCTGACACGGGCACAAGCCAGCCAGCCCGACACGTTAGCCTAATTAGAGCGAGCTGCGACTGCAGAGCACATTCACCTTGCAAGTATGATAGAGTTGGCTTGGTATACAGCCTTCAGATTTTATCGCTCAGCTTGTGGGAAGGGCCAGTAGCATAGCGCTATCCCGTGCTTCTCGTCGTCAAGGTAGGCTACACCAGAGATGCAGCGCTATTACTATAACCGTTGGATCGGGGTTGTGCACGTCAGAGTCTTCGTGAGCGTGTTCAGGATTTATGATTATCGCAGATACGTCGAGATGATGCCATCGCAGAGTCTTGATCAACGCGAGAACAACTCATCCGTGGTATGCACAATGCACAGAGAGCGGTATGAGGCGCCCAGTGTCGGTGAATGCAGTCGGTCCTATTATCAAAGAAGGTTAAGTGACAGTGCGGGTGGATACGAGTTGATATAGAGCGCAGAGTCGAGACGGATGCTGGTCGGTCAAGCCGGGTTGCGCGGTCGTTCCGGTGCTACCGGTTGTATCAGGCACATCTGCCAGCTGTGTGTAAAGGAGAGACGTTGCTCCATACCCACAATCGAACTGGAGATGGATGGTCTGCAATTGAGATTTGGGCGTTTTTAAACGGAGGGGAGACAAGGCAACGATGCAACGCATACCTGCGGTTGTTTCTACGAGCAGAAGAGCCGATATCACGGGTTATAGAGGGCTGTGTGCACAGAGAAACACGGCTGTGTATCTCAGATGATTTCCCGCGTTGCACATGGGTGCCTGGAGATTTACAAAAGCATCTGAACACCGGTCAGATGCTTCAAGTCGTGCGTAAAATAGTAGAATAGGGAAACAGCAGAGGCTGTGTTTTTTCTACGACTTACAGCAAAACCAACAACGATAGACCTTCCCTTGCAGATATTTTGGGGTAAGGCGGGGAAGAAGCTCGTGGCAGGAGTCGGAGTCGGCGGTGGTGCAGAGACGGCGGCGTTTAGCCGATCGAGAAAAGCTACGGGCTCCATGACTGATGGTCAGATTGAGGATGCTACTGGCATCGCAGAATGGGGTGCTGAAGTCGTAGTTATCTGCCGTTGCTACTCGAAGCAAAGAGCGACAGGGTAGACCTCGACAAACGGACGAATATTGAGACATCGGCGTGAATTACTATATATAGCTGACGCGCACAACCTCTTCGGAGGGATGAGGGCACGTCACCTCGAGGTACCGAGCGCCGCTATGCTCTATGCCGCCTATATGTACTTTTGCGAGGGAGGTATATCGTTATTGGTTTTGCTGTAAGCAATGGGAAGTTTACAAAGAGCGTGGGCGTCCTTTTCCATGACGCTCAAGTTTCAATGACTCAAAAGTCTAATAGACGCTCGCGTCAACGGCACCTTCACGTGATTAAACTTGTTTGCGCGTTGTTTGCGCGTCAGCCGCCGCCGCCCAGTTCAAGTTCACTCTCTTTGACTGGGTTCCCCTCTTGTTTCTGGTCGGTCATCCTGGTGCCGGCCGACAGCGACAGCGACAACCGCCTCTTCAGCTTACTCTAACATTACTATAATCTTTGTTTTGTATTTTTTTTCTTAGTTGTGGACGACTATGATGATTTCCCCGGACAGCCCGCCTCGCGCACCGCCTGTGAAGTACCAGACACCTCTTGGCACCCGATGGCAGAAGGAGAAGGCCGCCGCTGGAAATGGAGCGTTTGACTACCCCGACGATGCCAAGTATGTCGGCCCTTGGGTCATAGGCGAATGCGTCGGCAAAGGCGCTAGCGGACATGTCAAGATCGCAAAGCACCGCCGAACTGGCCAGCTCGCTGCAGTCAAGATTCTGCCTCTTCATCCTTTTGCTACATCTCGTGCCTCTCTCGCCGCGCAAGCCAAGTCGGACAAGCAACGCCTTGGCATCGACCGGGAGATCACTATGATGAAGCTCATGAACCATCCCAATATTATGCGCATATATGATGTCTATGAAGGCGAGAAGGAGCTGTATCTGATCTTGGAGTACGTGGAAGGCGGAGAGCTCTTCGACTTCTTGGTCAACCGCGGCAAGCTGGCTCCGCCCGAGGCTCTGGCATATTTCAAACAAATCATCTACGGTCTTAATTATGCGCACACCTTCTCTATAATCCACCGCGACCTCAAGCCGGAAAATATCTTAATTCACTCTCTCAATCCTCCCCTAATCAAGATTGCCGACTGGGGCATGGCCGCATTCGCCCCGCCCTCTCTGCAGCTGGAGACGAGCTGCGGCAGCCCCCACTATGCTAGTCCTGAAATCGTAAACGGGCACAAGTACACTGGGACTGCAACCGATATCTGGAGCTGTGGTGTTATTCTGTTTGCCCTCTTGACCGGTCGACTGCCTTTCGATGATAAGAATGTTCGGACGCTCCTGAACAAGGTCAAGGTGGGCAAGTACGAAATGCCTGCATACATCGATCCATTGGCTAGAGACTTGTTGACGCGTATGCTGGTCGTGGACGTCTCGAGACGTATCTCGGTGATGAATTCAGCATCTAACACTTAGTCGATTAGCTAACGCAAGTTCATCTCCCCACAGATGACAGACATTCTAGCACATCCATGGCTTCAAGGCGCCACCCCTGGTATCATCTACGTGCCTGCTCCTCCGGTCTCGGAATTGGCTCAGCCTCTGCCGTCTGCTCTGCATATTGATCGTGATCTTTTCGAGTCTCTCTGCGTCATCTGGGGACGTCATGCCGATCCCAACGTCATCCGTGCTGATCTCTTGAGCCCCGCTGGACAAGGTACTTTGGCGAAGGCGTTCTACTTCTTACTGCAAAAGCATCGCGAGAAGACTATGGAAGAGAACGGAATTCTCATGGACATCGATGAGGTATTCAACGCCGTTGGCAAGATCATCACTAAGCAGTATGCCGCACCGCGGTCGAAGAGACCGACTCACCCAGAGCTGCAAGACCTCAACCGACCGCCATTGCCTCAAGTCCAGTTCTTGAACTCTGGTCGTAATGCCCCGGCGCCGCCAGTCCGTAGCTCCTCTCCAATGACGCTCACGATCAACACCGACATGCTTATCGAACGGCCGCCGTCTCGTGCTCATCCCCCGTCTCCCGTGGGTCCACGCCCTCAGAAGCCCCGACCAGTGTCTGCTTTCGTCACGACTCCAAGGCCGTCGCAAGACCCTCCGCAGTTCTTCTCGCCTAACTTGCAAGCCCGGCCGATGTTCCCGACTCTTCAGCGCGTGCAAACCGATTCGGCGGCTTCGCCTGGACAGGGACATTCGCAGAGCGCCTTTGCGCAGCTCCAGGCTCGCGAACTTCCTCCGCCTCCCGTGCGGCGCGGCTCTGCTCCTCCACCAATTGGCTGGGCGGGTCTCTCTCCGGGCGTCCCTCGATCCAACTATCGTGCCTCTATGGCGGCCCCCTCGCCTGTCATTCATGCTCCCATGCCCGTTCAGGCGCCCGCTACTCCTATGCTGCCGATGATCACCGCGCCCAAGGTCCCAGATGTCAAGCTACAGCAGACATTTGATCAGTATGCGGACATGGTGAATCTACAGGCTGCTTCTTGGAACGCGTCTCATGTCGACCGTCCCACTGGTTCTGCGCGCGAGCCTCTTGATGATCGCATGGACATCACTGAGGACAGGGTCGCCTCGGGCACGGGCCGTGCTGGCCCATGCGAGGCCATGGATACAGCGTCTCGTACTTCCGTCATGAACGACAAAGAGAATTGCGCCGTGAATGGGACAAGCCCGAAGGCCCACAGACACGATAACGCACACAATGCTGGCGGCCTGGGCTTCGGACACTCTGTGCCTATGGCGAAAGAGATGGGCAACTTAGTCTTCTTCAACGAACCGGCGCATAAGGACCAGCACAAAGACAAGAAGGATCGCCGCAGTCGACGTGAGTCCTGATAACGATTGTGTAACTCGACGGCTGAAGGATCGTAACAGCTCCTGCTCTAGATCTTTACGGGACTCCCTTACTTCAGAAGAGGGCTACATTCTCGATGATTGGGTCTCCCTCGCCGATGTCTCCTCCTGCTTCACTCATCGGGTCGCCTGTGGTCGGCGAGTTCAAGGGCTGGTTTTCCAACTTGTTCCACTGGAAGGTGCAGTCCTATCTGCTTTACTCGGTCAGCGACATCCACACGACGCGTAACGAGACCCTCCGTCTGCTTGACTTGTTTGGAATTGTCTGGGTGCTCGAGGAGAACCATGGTTGGCATGTCATCAAGTGCCGCACGGACGACACGCAGGACGGACCAGCGGCGCTGCACAAGCAGGTTCGGTTCCGCATTGAGGTGTCTCCCACCGCCGGCTCTCAGGGCTACTCTCAGCCTGGCGCCACGCCTCGTCTTTCGCAGAACACCATGTCTCCCCAGGCCTCCAGCGCGTCGCGCTTCAAGGCCGAGCGGATGAATGGGCACGAATCTGTCATCGGCCTAGTGCTCGAGAAAGGCGCTGTGTCGACGTTCAAGATGATCTACCACCGTCTGCGTTCGGAGTGGCGGCTCGACACTCTGCAGTCCCCGCTAGTAGCCATGATGGGAGGCGGCACTCCCAGTATCGAACAGCGCTTCATGTCGTGATGACCAGCTATATCAGCCGACTGCCTCGAGGCCAATGGACACACACCGATCTTGATCTGGACTCGTTCTCATCCCGGCGACAAGAATGAATCATTACAAACTACTCCTACCACTCTACCAGTAGACTTTATGATTATGACGAAATGACTATTGTAAGAACCGACGCCGTCTTACATACATCTATAGAACACGATATATGTGCCGAGTGCCTGAATTGTTCGTGTGCGCCGCTGCTGTGAACTCGGTGGCGGCATCGTATGATGCGTCTCCAGACTCGGACGAGCGGCCGTCTGGAATGGGCAAGTGGAGTGGTTTCCTACTCACCTGCCATTCGTGGCGGCGCGTATCGGCATGATCGATCTCAAGGCCTCTCCAAGCCAATCACAGAAGGCTTCCCCAGGACAAGCCAGGCCCCGGGCCTAGCCGTTGACCGTTGAGCGCTGGCGATCCTGTCCTTCGCGTCCATTACTGTATTCAAATCCACCCACATGTTCTGCTAGCTGCTCTACATCAAAGCAGAGTACAGACTTCCAGCGGGAGTGAGGCAAGCGCAAAGTAAGTACGTTCTAGCTCGTGTCTTCGGTGTGGGCGCGCTGCGCAGATATTACTTCAGACAATTGCCACGCTCTGACAGTGCGGGGAAGACGCTGAGGCAGAACTGTATTATACTTTCCGGTGATAGTCCGGAGGAACGCCCAGAACTCAACTTGACGGCTCCAATAGAAGATGAAGTGTTAGCTTGCTATGGTGATATGATCCTCGTCCTTGCTGGCTGTATTCGGCTTCCTGCTATGAGTAGTCGAATTCCATATACCTGCTTATTACGGTATGCCCCAGATGCTGGGGCATGCTTCAAACATGCTGTGGGCGCACGCTTGTCTATATACGTTCATATTGCGGGAAGCGATGACATGTTACGTATCGCGCCCAACAATTTGATTGTTATCGCGCCAAATCATATTAGTGGCGGGCCCTTATATATAGGCTTCCCGGTCTAGCTTTGTCGCGCACCTGCTTGCGTCGCCATCCTACGACGCGTACGCGACCCGGCCGAATGTTCACGGAATAACATTTGCGAGAACCATTGTTCGAGTCGAGTCTTACACGACGGGTCTCGTGGATCATGAACGCGACCGGTCCAAACGTTGTGGCGTTCACTCAACTCACCATAACGACTGAGTTCCACTCATGTAAGCCCTCTCATATTTATGTGTGTCGCTTGATGCTCACTGCACTTTCTAGGCGCCGCGTTCTCTTGCTTGCTGTATGATTTCGTTCTGTCAATGGATGATGAGGTGTGTCCAGTGACTCACCTGTTGAACGTCTGTCTGAAGTTGCCTACACAGATTACGCTCATTTGGAGGTATGTTGCCAGACAAAGCAACTGCCAATCTTCTCATCTTCGCTTGTAGATCAGCTGATACGATTCCGAAATTCCTATACTTTGTCTCGAGATATCTTGGCCTAGCTGTGCAAGCGTAAGCACGGCCCTCCCAGGTTGTATCAATTAGAGCGTTGAAGTCATGCTCGGAGCAGATGTCTAGCTTTCACGCTGTTTCCTGCATAGTACGTGCCAGAATCAGCGTCGAGATTTAATAAAGGCTCAGCCGCTCCATTAGCTGCGTAAACTTCATGGTATTCAACACCGCGTACGTGCAGCTGTCCGAGAGGACACATATATACATAACAACTATACCAGGACCCTCTTTGTGCTCATGTTGAGCGTTGAGCTAAGCCTGATGCTCAGACTATACGCGTTGTATGGGCGTAATCGCATAGGTGAGACATCTCCAAACTACGCACGTCACTCAATGCCGACTCGCGCACCAAGTTTTCTATATCCTAGTGTTCTCCATAATAGGTTAGCGATCACAGCACGCTCTATCCTTCGTTCATTAATGAGGTTGCTCCAGGAGAAATTGCGGTGCGCGAGCATGTCCAGAACCTGGGATGATTTAATGCTTACGTCGCACACAGGCCGTGTTCGCCATGGACATCACAGCATTCCCGCAGTTCTACCACCTCGCCATACATTATCCATCCGATTGGCCTGTTCGAGGCTGCTTCTATCCAGAGGTTCTCAGCTTCTTCAAGGTGTGCTGGTGAGTCCTGCTTGAATCATGCTGAAAGATTAGCCGCTTACAGCTGATCGACCACGCAGGCTTCCTCTTCTGGGCTTCGAAAGTGGGTACATTTCCTACGCAACATGACTTAACTCATTCGGATCCCAGCCCTGCTCTTCGTTCTCATGACCATCAGATGCCTTACGTACGGGCCACTGAGAGACCTCCCTATACTACTTTGCGTGTGGCGTGATGGCACGCTATATTACTTCTTGTGAGACATCCGCATATTGATCCTCGCTTGTGCTCACTATGAACGTTTTCCAGGATACTCGGTAAGTCCACGCAATGCACCGCTACTTCTCCTTGCGTCAATTTATCTTTGGCAGTCACTCTTCTACTGTGTACCATCGCGCCACATGTCTCGAGCATTTTCCTCGCGGATTGGGCCGCTATGTGAGTGGCCTGTCTGTGGTCACGCACTATTCAGCGACGCTTACATTTGCGCCGACAGCTGGGTATCCGCTATACTCTCCTATTCGGTCAGTCGTCCGTTCGCGATGCCGCCAGCCCGCTCGACCTGACTATGGGCCGCAGGGCTCGCATTTCTTGCTCAACATTCGATCACTGGCCGCAGAACGTCGTTGTCCGCAAGTGATGACGCCCATGCTCTCTGAACAGATATCAGATACTTCTCCTGAGAGTGTGGCAGAGGTGCCGACGCCGATCACCCCGTCTCATGAGGCATGCAACCTCCTGCCCTGGAGCACACAGAGGACACCTGTTCTCGCAAACTCTGAGTTTTTGAGTGCCACGGTGCCGTCAGCAGTCCCGGAGAGCAAACGAAGGCATGAGGACAACATGTCAGCTGCATGGCTGCGGCAATGGGAAGTCACCAGTTTCGACAATACGATACACCGTGGAGTTCCTGTCTCTCCGCCACAGGAGGGAGGAGATGAGAGGAACGGAGTCAATGCATATAATGCCGTGTAAATACGTGGCCGCATATTTTCGCATCGTTCAATATTCGTGGATGACGAACACCTATACTCTTAGATTCCGCATACATCCTGCAGCGTTGTAAGCATCAGGCTTATCGATGCCAGACGGGAAAGACAGTTCGAGGTAGGATTAAGCTTAGCAAAGAAAAGTTACAGGATCTGCAGTACTCTACGCGGCTAGGAGAACACGACATCAGAAAAGGGATACAGAATCACAACATAATAACAAACTCATACATAACATTTCAACTCAGTTGCGCGACGTTACCCCCGCTAACAGGGCCCATGTCCCCCTGCGCCGGGGCGCCACCTGGGACTTCGCTAACCCGTGCCCCTTGTCCGCTCTGGTTAAGTGCGGATTGCGCCTGGCTGGTGGCCGCATTCAATGCGCCAGGCGTACTGCTGCCCTGGTTGTGCTTCCCTAGTTCTGTCCGCACGTTGTCCAGTGTCTTCCGCAGTGTGGTGCGTTCGTTGACGAGTGCCATCCGCTGGCTCTCTAGATTCCGCCGTTCGTCCTCGAGCAGCTCCTCGAGCTCCTCGAACTGTGCCATCTTCAGCTCAAGCTTCGTCAGCGTGAGTTGGATGAGCGTCGCAAGAGTGGAGCGGATCTGCGTATCCTCCGCGTTGGCGAGCTTGTTGGCAGCCTTAGCAGATGCCTTGAGCGCGAGATTGGCGGCGCGGACGACTTTTGAGTGCGGAATGCCCTGCGTGGGTTTTGACTGCCCGGCCTCCGAGTCAACCGCCATATCTGAACTCTCTGGTTGCTGCCGCTCAGCGTTATCGCCCTCAGCAGGCTGTACCACTGAGCTGTCTCTCTGGGCGTCCTCCATAGACACATCAGGCTTCTCCGAGTCGCCTTCGGCCTCACCGACAGTTCCTGCGCTCTGCTCCTCCTTTTTGTTCTCCCCGTCTTCGGCATCTTTGACGTTGCCGTCCGTAAGGGCGTGCAACGCGGTCTTGGCAGCCTCTGCCGCTACACCTGGATTGATGACGCCAGCGAGGAATGCGACAACGCTCATCACCGGGTTGTCTGCTTGCTCAAATGGTATCCGCGCGTAACGCAACGGACCCATGTCGCCCTCAGTTGCGACGTATGGATCTTCGATAGGGAGTTGCAAGAATTTGCGAATGCACTGCTGTGCGCTTCGCGACCCGACGTGTTCCTCGATCGCGGACCAGTCGTCGTCGTACATTTCCACACCTTCGAGCAGCAACAGGATTTCCTGATCTGTCCAATCGTCATCCGCGCCCGTCCCGCTCCCATGGTGCAGCCCGCTCGCAGTCGACGCGGCAGTGAGCTTCACGAAGTCGCCGCTGAACATCGTCGACGGGAATCGGCCATCAAGGTAGCATGGCGGACAGAGCTCGAAGTTCTTCTGTTTCAGCGAGTGATACCGCTCCTGCGTACAGTCCACTCCGCATGTGTCGCATTGGTACTTGACCATCGGTCGCTCCTGGCCATTGGGCGCGTTGGCGCCGTTGGTAAGCGCATTCGCTTCTGCCGCGTTGACTTGCCGTGAAGACTTTGCTGTCGTCTGGTAGATAGATGAGCGCAATTCGACGGATGCAGGAGTAGCGGAGGAGCCTGGTTTGACGGCGCCATTGATACCCGCTGCGGTAGACTGGTTTGTCGGACGAGTGCCGGGATGTAATGACTGCAGTCCGCGAGGGGTGTCAAGAATAACACGGAAGTGACCCGTGAATGGCGGTGCTAGGGCGGCTGGTCTTTGGTCCGGGTCAATCTAAGCAGGCGTGACCCATTAATATCAGCGGAAAGGTGCATCCGGGATATACATACTTGGTAGTTGATCAGCCCCCATTGTTCGAGAAACGCGTGGACGCGCATGATAGCGCAGACGTCGCCCGCGAGATTTCTGCGACACGCAGTCACAGTGAGATACTCGGACGGGCGTAAGCGGTAGGTATTGACCATAAAGTCGCGGTAGTCCTTGTATATCGAGGGGGTTTTCGACCGGTGTCGCGAGTTAAAGAACTCAGGTAGCGCACGGCGCTCGATGGGATGGATTTTCGACATATCAAACCATGCAGAATAGGAGGGAATGATCACTTCGTGCGTCTGGGCGGCGAGATACTTCTGCGCTTGCTCTTCCAGTCGGAGTCTGGTAGCCTCGAGCTGGGCTGGGTCTTCCTCATCGTTCTCTTCTCCAGAGTCTGCCTCCTCATCTACCGCGTCGACACCTTCCGCCATGGACACATCTCCGCCATCCTCGCCCTCGCCCTCAGCCTTTAATACGCGCACCGAGACCGCGGACGCCGGCTCACGCGAGGGTTCACTGGCATCGTCGGGTGGCAGATTTCCAATGTCCCCACCTTGGATTGGCTCCAGCTCGCTCTTCTTTCCAGGTGCGTTTTCCGGGTCCACAGCAGTCGCCCCTTGGTTCTGCTGGGGCACCGTCAACTTGATGCGTTTGGCGTCGTTATTTGGAGATGGTGAAGCGGTGCGTTTTGGCGAAGACATAATCCCAATAGTCCAACGAACCGCGAAAGAATAAGAGCTGCGATAGTTCGCGACCGGGAGAGCTTGTGGTTCAGGCGAGCGCGTCTCTCCAGTCTTGTCTCACGTTAACAACTCTGATTAGTCAGCGAATACTCTGCCAGAAATGGAAATCCTTATAGTACTAGTGGCTTTAAGATTTCTCAATCTGTTACCCAGCGAGTTGTCTCCTACTTATTGAAAGCTCGGGCCATTCGTGAGTCCTTGTCCAGGTATCTAGCTTCACTTCCTTGTCTGATGAATTATAAACAGGTGGATGGCCACATGGGTGCTCAGAGCGGCCCCGTGGACGCCATGGCACCGTGTCCGCTTTCCTCTGGACCGTCTAGGATGGTCAAGTAGGCTATTCGCGGCGACGTCCGTGCATCACTTCAGCACGCCGGCCTCCGGAGAAGAGACTCCTTTCATGGCAGAAATGAAGAGACAGCGCTATCCGTCGATGCCGCTCGACGTTTCTCTGTTCGAGGATACATACGACGACTACAGTCTCGCCAGCTCACCATCAGCCTCTGAAGTACCTCTTGCTGCTCTACCTGCCAATCCCTCGGACCTACTGCAGCAGCTCGTCACCGATGGCAACTTTGTCGACGCAAACCGCGTCCTGACAGAGCTGACAGATATAGGCGTAACCATCGAGCCCGCGGCAGCTTATTTTGCTGCTGGCATCCATGTCCTCGAGAAAGACTACGAGGATCCCCACAAGCGTCTCTCAGACTTTGCAAAATGGTGGTCGCTCATTCCAGACGCGGCGTGTGCAGATCCGGAACCCGTGAGGCGGGTACAAAGCATCCTCTTCACAGAGCGGGTCCCTGACCTGCCCCTCGTCGTGCAATTCGCATTAATGAGCACTTCCAAAGGCTATGCGTCTGTCCTGAGTACCCGCGTCATCTTGGATGTCTTCCGTCACTCCTCGCCTGCCAGGAGCTTCGCCTTTTTAGAGGAGCTATGCGATCAAGCCATCAAGTATGAGACAGAAAGAGAGGTCTCTGACTCTACTCGCAAGTCCCTGAAAGCCCGCCTCGCAGTGCAGGTCGAAGGGTGGTATACTTGCGCTGTCAAGAGCTGCTGCATGACGGACAGGTTGGCAGGTGCTGTCGCCCTTGTGCAAAATGCGCGTGCACGGGGGTTCAGTGTCCACGACACGGCTTATGCCGCGCTCGTGCGCAATCTCAAGCGCGCTCTGGACATGACCAACCTGCAACTAGTCCAAAAGCTGCGCGAGACAGAAGCCCGGAGCCCCGAGCACCAAGAGTCCCGTCTGCGTGTCCCGAGGTTCAATCTTTATCGCCCGCCAGCTGCGCTGCAGGCAATGACTCAGTACCCTGACAGGAGCAGCTTAGCAGCCGCGCTCCGAATTCTACGCCACAGTTGTATGTTCTCGTCCCGTTACCCCCTCCCCAGTGCTCTCGCAACCTTCATTGAAGCGTACAGGTCAGCCGGTCAATCGCGCGCCCTCCACATCCTGCGCGCACGGTCGTATAAAAGGGCGCCGGCCACAGCGATGTGGGCCCTGTCCGAGATGCTGTACTACCACCGCCGGAACCGTGGCCACATGCTCCTCCTCACCTTCATCCACCACTTCCACATGATCGGCGTGCCGCAATGGGCGGTCTGGCGTAGCGTTCGGACTATGGAACGCGCCGAGAAGGGGGGTGCGGATTCCAATTATGCGCGTTATGCCGTGTTGTACCCTCCTCAACCCCTCGGTGCGAAGCTGTTCCCGTCTACCCACCACACTGCACTCGTCTGGCATGTCACTGCACAGTCCATGCGCTCCACCCAGAGCTTGGAAGAGCTTTACCAAGAGCTCCTCACACAAATAGCAGCTGCTAGATACGCGGCTGCCCCCGCTCCGGCCCTGTCCACCTCTCCGGCCTCTCCGACACCTTCGACCTCTACCTCTTCGCCGAACGAACCGCTAACAGACGTTGCGGAACCACAGGCAAATTCTGCGGAAATTCTGACCGACAGCGCGCACCCGCCGGATGACTCTTTGGACGCACGTCGCGCATCTTACCCGGCCTTGATTGTCCCCCCCATGATGTACGACTCCGGCCACTTCAACGCGTTCGTGCTGGCGTTCGGACAGCGGAGTGGACCAACGCGCGCTGCGCAGGTCGTCGCTGACATGTACCGCCACGGTATCCAGCCGAGCGTCGAGACGCTGACGATGCTCATAGCCTCCTTCGCGAGCATTGGCGACGTTGGGAAGCTGACGACGCTTCTTGACCGCATGGAGGCGTCCGCCGACAACGGGACACGCTCGGGGGATGTGTCCAGTCAGGTGGGGGTTGCATCCTCTGTTCAGAAAATGGGCCCGCAACTGCCCCCGCCTAACGTGGTGACCTACACGGCTGTCATCAAGTCCCTGATGGATGCGGAGAAACTCGAGGATGCCCTTGCAATCGCTCAGCGATTGAGGACGAAACTTGGATATGTGCTCGGTACCAACCACATCACGGACAGCGTACTGAATGAATTGGCGGTGCGTTACGTCAACCCCTCACAACCTGTAGATCACGGCACGCAAGTTCAGGTAGGTCCCATCTACAGTGAAGATAGTGTCCGTTAATTTATTATGTAGTTGTAGGATGACGCATCATTCGTGCATCAGGGCTTTACGCAATTCGACCTCCTCGAGAGCAAAGCAACGGTTGAACTAGCTCCTCCGCCAAGGCTTATTGAACCTCCGGCGTTGGCTGGCTGTGATCCATGTGCGCGGGAAGTGCCCCTTGTCCTGACCAGCGACTGCACTGGCCAAGTCCTGCCCGCGCAGGTTGCCACCTAGTGTCTTTGTCCAATTGCCATGCAGGCATCTCCTTTCGAGAGCATCGCGCAGTAGAATTGCACCTTCACGCAGCAATGATCGCTACTCACTATCGCTTCTCGCTGCGTGTCGGTCGTTTAGTTGACGTACCAACCCCACTCGTCCATAGTTACCACTCACCACTCGCTATAATTCGAGGTTTGTGGATACGGGTCGAACGGCTAGATCACGCTACTTCGAAGACGGACTATTCGATCGCTTCTTCACTACGCGATAAGTGTCGATTATAAGCGTTTGAACTGTTCGCAATCTGAATTCACTAGTAGTCATGAAAGTTCTCACATCTTTGCGGGTGTACTAGAGCTCAGTCGATGTGAGAAGCCAAATGATGCAATCATGAGATATTTGTGACCTCTGAGCAACATTCTGTCAGTTTGGGCCTACGCGCATTGGTCTTTTGTCCTACAGGTGCACCTGCTCCCAAACCGACTGCATGGCATACTATTTGCACAATCTTCATCTCAAAGGTGTTTGATTACTCGGGTGGGCTTACTATCACTAGTGGTGTGATACGCGTTTGCACGTTGCATCATACAAGGTCTCATACAAAACGCTTGGTCTAAAAAACTACGTGATTGTATCGACGTCATGTCATGAAGTCATCGAGTTCGTAGCAGTCGACGTCAGTAAGGCTATCTGGCATGATCAAGAAAACAAGTACGAGACAGAGTGATGCGATCGTTAGATAATAGTTTCGCAAATGCAATACGAGGAGGGCCCCAGGCCCCAAAGTCCGGATTTTACATCTCATTCTTGATCATTATACTGAAACAATGTTCGCAAAACGGCTTGCCGTCTCTCTGAAAAAACGCTGGGTTGTCGAACGGCCTCTCGCAACTCTGCATATTATGTGAGTAACGCAATTCTCCATAATCCATAATAAGGGGCCCGCGAAAAACACGTACCGCGCACACGAAGCACTCCCAACACCACTTGCCACCTAGCGCCTCCACCGCTCTCTTGCCGTCGCGGATGGCCTTCTTGCAGCGTTTGCACTTCGGCAGGCGTAGTCGCACATGGCAGGCCTCACAGTAAGGATGCCCCCGGTACACCGTGAAGCCGACATCGTCTTCTCCCCCGCTGAAGATACCATCTCCCGAGAACGTCTGACCACCTATACTGATGTGAGCAAGAATTGTCAGGCCATCCTGTGCCGACGACCCATACCTGCAGGCGCGCGGGAAGACGCAGACGGCGCGAGGAACGGGTCACCGCACTCGGCGCAAAAGAAGTGCATGTCGTGGTACGTCCGTTTGCCGAGTTCAGGGTCGTCGAGCGTGATGAAGCGTTCGTCGACTATGACGGTCTTGCAGTGATAGCACCTGGGCGCAAAACGCTAGAGGCGCGATTCAGTTGCGGACATTTACGCAGGCAAGGCGAGAGCGAGAGATCACGACGTGCGGTGCTCACCTCGTGGTAATCAAGCCCGCAATACGCTCGGCCCTCATGCTCATAGCTGCTGAGATGCTCGAGCAGCTCGTTGCAGACACAACAGCGGAAGCATCCCGGATGCCACCGCGCACCCATCGCACTGACCGTACGCCCGACGATCGCGCCGCCGCATCCACCGCAAGTCAACCCTGGGCCTTTGCGGATAGCGCGGAGCAACGGAGTGACATGCTCCTCGGGATGCTTTGTCGTCTCGTCAGTCAACGAGAATTGCGGGAGGCCGTCGGGCGTGTCATCCACTGGGCCGATGGAGATGCTTGGGATAGAGGGCTCGTGATCACCTGGTCCCGACACAGAAATGACGGGGCCGAAATCGCTATCGCTTTCCTCGCTGTCATCATCGTCTCCGCTAGCGGGGAAAGAGATTTTGGGAATAGCCTGACGGAACCCGCCTCCATCGCGGCGGTCCTGGTCCGAGGGTCCCACAATGCGTCTCCCAAAGGTGTGGTCGCTGGGCACTTGCGAAGGCGGCTGAGGGAACGAGGACAGCGTGAACGCAGAGGAGGTCGAGTTGGCCGATGCAGGCGACACGGCCGACAGAGGCGAAACCGCAGAGCCAGCGGACTGCGGGTCCCGCGGCGACGATGACGACCGAGACGACGGCGGTGTGGACGATGGGGGCCGGGGGAACGCAGACAGAGTGAACGCCGACGCGGCAGACACGGCGGAGGACGGTGTCGTCGCAGACACCGGCGACTCCGCGCGAGACCGCGAAGGCGACGGCAGCTCATGGCGCGTCGAGAAGACGGGGCCACCGGACGTACCATTGAGCGCCTGGGTGCGGATGGACGCCGGCTGCGGCCTGCCGCCAGTCGAGCGGCTCGCGGGAGCGTTGCGGTAGGGATCGAACGGCGACGGGGGTTCGTGTCTAGGAGCGCTTTGGGCGGCCGATCGTGCAGGGGACGGTGAGCGCCTCAACGACGGCGGAGGCGCGTCATCCAAGCTCAGGTCCAAGATGGGCGGACGGTGGCCCGCCGTCGGCGTGGAGCGGCCAAAAATCCCGGGCCTGCGTGACGGATCGTCGCCACCCCCGTCATTGGATGCAGGCGCTTTGGGCAGTGGCGGTAGTCCTGCCGGCCATCGCGTAGCACCCGACTGGGCGTAGGTGCGCGTCATGGGCGGCATAGGATGGGGAAGTACGACGCTGCTCGCGTTCGGCACCGATTGCGAGTAGCCGTGTGTCCGCGAGGGCGGTCGCGACGACTGCTCGCCCGGGTTTGGCAACACGGTATCGTCTCGCGTCTGCCCGTGCTGGTCGTCTTGAACAGACATGGATGCCAGTCGTAGAGTAACGCTCTGAGCCTCTGCCGATCCGTTCGCGCTCGATTGCATCCGCGACGGCATGTCAAGAATACCATACTGTGGACTCTGCCGGCCATTCCTCTGTCCATTCACAGGGGGCCGCGTTTGCGGACGCGACAGCAGTACGTGCGACGCAAGGTCCTCGCTGTCCGTGCTGTCCGTGCCCGAGTTGATGGTGGAGGAGCTCCCCGGCCGTGCAGCTCGGGGGATATTCGGCTGAGGCAACCTACGAGGCGGAGAATTTGACTGCGCCGGCGTTTGAGGTGCCGCAGACGGTAATGGAGGCAACGGATGCACAGAGGAGGACGAGCTCCGTCCGTGACCGGCACCCGGCATGGCCGGCGACTGGGGTAGTGGACGGATTGCATTGCCCTGTCTCTGAGCGATGGGCGGTGGCACAGGTCCGGAGACTGTGCTCCGCCGCTCGACCTGCTGCGGCTGTAGAGGTACCGGAGGAGAGCCAGCCGGGTGCCCCGGGGTGGGCAAGGCGCGTCTCCAGTGCGGGACGAACTTCTGGCCCATCGGTGCGATCTCGGAGAGCGACGGTTGCTGAACTTCGTTGCGGTCGATCTTTGAAGGACTAGGGCTCCGCGCTAGATTTGGTTGCGCGAACGAGCGCGGCAGCCCATACTGGTGGGGCTGAGGGAGCGGGCGCGGGGGACTCACCGAGGTTGTAGACTTCGGCGGCGACGAATGCGGCGACGTTGGTGTGCCGAGGCTCGGCCTGACAGTCGGGAGAGATGAAACAGACACCGTGGGGCGGTGTGTGGGGGCTCGTGGTCCTGGTGAGGGACTGGGGCGCGGTGGTGGCGGTTGGCTAGTGTGAGCATCACCCGGACGGCTGCGGGGTTCAGGGAGCGGCCTGCGTGCGTGCGGTACCGCTGCTGGCGACCGTTGAGCAGCAGCGTGCGCATTGCGAGGATCAAATGGAGAGGGTGAGTAGGACATCGGCTGCTGACTTGGCTGATATTGCGGCCCGGGTGGGTGCGCAGAAGGCGGTCGAGGTGGGGCAGGAGAAGGCGGCGGGATTGGTAAGGGATGACGCGCGGTCGATGGGTTTCCGTACGCATAGCGACCCTGGTCATGACTAGGGTACGTAGTAGGTGGGTATGCCTGAGCTGGTTGAGCGTATGCTTGTTGCTGCTGGTACGAAGGGTACGGATACGGTTGTGGGCGATATTCAAACTGAGGTGGAGGTTGACCGACCGGAGCCGTGTAATACGTTGAGCGTGCGTTGTCCGCCATAGTCGTCGTCAAAAGTGAACCACAGAGACCGTCCCCCTCGGAATCAACCCAAGATATTCTGCCGCTGCAGAGGCGTAAACACGAGGTCAACTCAAACTAGCACAGCCTTCATATCTCTGATATTGATTGGCAATGTCAATCAATCCATTTGTCAGCATGATGCGGCACGTTACACTTACCTGCGCCTCACTTGTTAGCCAAAACGTTACTATCAGATTCCTCTACTGAGATTGCCAACACTCTGCTGTGAACGGTCAAACTCACAGGCAGAACGAACGGACAGCGACGCTGTAGGAAGGCAACTCGTTCGGCCGTTGCCGAATCCCAATGTGACTATGGGCGTCTTGATCTACTATGAATTTGTCGATGTTGAATCCGGGTCCCTGATCTTGTACGAAGGCTCGAGCTTAGATGAAGCTACTCAGCAGAGGATACAAGGGACTCGGACGATTCGCTGGTCCCGCTGACACCTTGCAGATATATACGACGAGGCCACCCCTATATGTCTTGTCAACTAACTAACTGCATTGCTAATGCCTCCAATTGCAGCATCTGAAGTAGCCGTACAATTCGTCAATGTGGACCTTTATACAAGCTTTGCACGTTATGCGATACAAGCTATTTTAGTCATTGGCCGGCCGAGCTTCACGGTCTAATCTAATTGTTGGCCCTAGCAGTTGATCGCTGTGGATTCAAAGTTGCGCGCTGTTCACACGATTGGCATGAGCTGTTCTGGAGTCTGCAACTTGCCAGTCGATCCTGCCAATCCGACAACCACCAGATTGTGCCAGATCCCATCATCCATCCAGTCGATCGCTCAATTCTAAATGGAAGTTTCCATCAGGTATATCGTATAGTCAATCTTGAAGCGTCGCCCGTGGTAGCGGTCAGTTCGGATGCAAAGTAGGGTGGTAAAAATTCGGGGGTAGGGATTACCCACCGACCAAGCTGCGTCATTATGAAGCGGACTGGATTACAAGTGGAAATGATTTCTGACGGGCGCTGGTCCATCGTCCATCGACTTTGCCCCAAGCGAACCGTCGTGACTATCTCAGCACACGCAAGAGGTCGCCAGTGACAAATTCCTGGTCAAGGGCTCAACTTGTTGATCATGCACTGCCTACTGTGGCCTACAAATGCACGGATATATTAGAAGATAGCAAGTAGACAATGGCAAGCTACCTCATGTTAAGGGTGAAAGCCTGAGGTCATACTGAAGATGGTCCCAGTGTCCTCGAGTGTCGTTTCGTTGACATCCAAGAAAGAGCATTGACCGTAGATTTTCATACTCTTACCCAACAGGTACTTATCGACCATGAATAAAACTATGTATGCATGCTTTCGTGACAAGAGCGGCAGAGTTATTACGAAAGGACCATCAGCGAGGACGGTAAAACGCCAGTGAGAGAGATGCGTGCGTTACTAATAAGCTCTTCCTTTAGAGTACGCGTGCAGAGTGTCGCTTCGATTGAGTGGTATTTACACGCTATGCATATGCAGCATACCGGAGTATTCAGGGCGCCAATAATTCTCATACAAAGCTTCCATGTAGACACTCAAGTGTGAGGTCTACAGGTTGATCGCACCTGCCATGAGTGTTGGGTAGCTGAGGGATGACACTTACCTGCCAGATGAAACGACACCAAGTTCAGCAGTCTAGCTATTCTCCTTTCAGGTTCTGGTGCATTATCACAGCGAAGGGTATTTTGTCACGGGCTATACACAGGTGGGACCGTAGCAACGTCCAATGCATCGCCAACGCACTACACGCCACCAGTAGAGAGAGACTTCCAAGGACATGCGAAGATTTGAGATCATGTTCGTGGCGCCGGAAGGCCTGATGATGGCGCCCCAATCTCGGTAAGTTCTGTGAGCGGCTCGAGCTTGCCTTGGTACTCGGGCAGGAACGCCGCGTTGGTGTATGGGCAACGAACAGAGGGTGAGCCCTTGTAGATCGGGGTGAAGCTGGCGGCGCAGATCTCGAACTCGATGAACTCGTCGTACGATATTTCGATGGCATTCCGCGGATTCCGGTCTCCAGCAGCAATGCGTTGCCGAGCCTTGCCACGGTATATATTAGCCTCATGTCACAATGATGACCAGTGGAGGCTCACCTGTGCGACAATTTTGGGGTCCGGGTTGAGCTCCAGGAGACGTCTCGCAAATCTCGCCGCAGTGACGTGGTTGTTCGCCTTCGCAAAAACACCAATTGCACTGCGCAGCGCAATCTGTAGGTGCGCTGGTTGCAACTGGCAGTGGGTGAAGTAGGCTGCGAGCTCGAGGTTCCGCTTGACGTTATCAGGTTCATCTCGGGTAACGCGCCTGCGCTCGATCTCGAGGGTGACACCGAGGAGGTATTCACGCGCGAGAGTGACCAGATCGCGCCACTGTACGTAAAGAAAGTGTTCAGCGGTCACAACGGTCCTTGGAGTATTGCTGACAGCCGTACCTGCTTTGCCTCGTCATCGGAGGATACTGGAACTAGCAGCAATTCTCGCAAGAGAGAGCGGAATACGGCCTGGGCTTCTGGAAGCTTTGCACTGGAAAGGAAACGGAATCCTTCAGTCAACTCTTGCCGCGTCGACTGTAGTGTTCGTGCAACCACTGGCAAGACGCGGCTCGGCGAGGACTCCTCGGGATTGCGCCTTAGGTGGAGCTGCAGTGGAGGAAGAGATGCTAATGGCGAGAGGTACGCATGCGAAGACCTGTACGTAGTGAGGAAGAGAGGCTTGAGTTCAGCAAAGTTGACGATGCCGAATTGTCTGTTGAGCAGCTAGAGAAGGCCACTCAGATGGAGGCTGTATGCACAATGACTATAGACACGTACCTGCATAGCCGTCTCGAAAGACCCTGCTGCCGCGTGATCACCAGCGAATGGCGAGTTACGCGTCCAGAGCTCCGTCTCACTGACACCGGGTGCAGCACCAGCCCCCAACTCTGCATCCTCCTCTGGAAGTTCCTCTTCCCTGTCAGCCTCAGGTGGTGGTTCATCAGCATCGGCGTCAAGATCCCATGCCCCCTCTTCGATTTCGGGCTCTTCATCTGCCTCTTCTTCTCTTGCCCACTCATCGAGAGCTGACGACGCGGCGGTAGGATGGTCGAACCCGTTGACGTGAGGAACGTCGAGACCACCTTCCAGGTGCCCGTTCGCCAGTGCTTTGTCGAAGAAGCTTTCGCCAGTGGACAACGAAGGCCAAGACAAGTTCTCGATAGGTGTGACGACTGATGGAGGCTTTAGAGTCGAAGTACCGAACGAGGGGACATCATCCACGTCGGCCTCGGTGAGACCAGCAGCCTCTAGAATCTCAAGAGCAATATCCTCCAACCCATTCGTCTTCGCGGTCAAGTAGGCGAGCGGATCTAATCAGACGCATAAGTTCTACGAATTTATTAACAGTACTGAAGTCACTTACGCAGTCCAACGTCCCTCAAAACGGCAATACGACCCATGATGTCGCCCGCATAGAGAGCATTGTGGAAACGCGACATCGGATCACCACGGGCATCGGCAATCTTCTGCATCTTCGATAGCTTGTCCGTGCTGCCCGTGGCGAGGTACAAGAACGATAAGCGGTCGAAGCTCTTCGTTTGCTGGTAGGCCTTCTCGACAATCTATGAAGAATAAATGTACATAAAATTCTATAGCCGTAAGTCAAGGTCCATGTTAGGGTCCATACCTTGTGATTGCCTTGTTTCAATGCTTGTTGAGCCAATCGCTCCCAGCAGTCGGGCCGGTCGATCGTACGAGCCATTTCGAAGGCAACGTCGAGATTACCGCATTCGATCGCGAGATCGAAGCGTGTGTTCTTGTCCTGTACGAAGTGCAGTGCAATCTACAGGATTGTGAGCGCCAAGGGACTCTTGACAGAAAATAAGCCGCCGTACCTCAGGGAAGCCCTTTTGCTGCAAATATGCGATGATACTCTGCCCCAATAGATTAGACGTGCGGATAATGTATAGCATCTCCCCGTAGTTGTTGCGCAATAAAGCTAGTTTGAACCGATACTCAGTAGGATCGATCGTGATAGTGCGAGGGCGCGCAGAGCGATCGAGACAGTACACTGTCTTGCCCTTCACTCGTGTAAGATATACGGGGTTGTCTAGAGTACAAATAACCCCGTGGTCGCTGTGGAGAACAGTTTCATTGGCATGTCTTTCACACAAGCTCGACAGACATACCCCTGCGCAAGACAATATTTGATGTGATTGAGAGTAGAATAGATGAAGACCCCGGAGTCGTCCCATGCACCCGACTTGATGCGGATAGTTTCGTGGATTAGAGTATGCTGCGAGAAGTTCTTGTTGGCAATAGTGATCGCTACGACCACCCATCCGTTAAGTCAAGTTACGCAACCTGTGATCACGTAGTTGAGACGTACTATGTTTACTGAGCAGAGCGACCAGCGATCCGTCAGTGCTCCACACGACGTATTTGACCGGGGGGGTCGTAACCTCCGCAATGCTCTTCTGCTGCTGAATGTCGTACAAGACAACCGAGGTGGGGGAGCTGAGAATGAGGCTCGCGGTTCCTCCGTAGAAGATCTCGTTGGTCTGGACGGGTGCCTTGATCGACTTCACAATTGAATTCGAAAGGTCTCGGACTTCGATGAGCTTTATATGCGCGCATATATCAATACTTGAGATAATAATGGGAATTCGATGCGGCTTGACTGACCTGAGTGGTCTTGTTGAGGATGGCGAATCTGTTCCTGGCAACGAAAATGGCCGCGTGGCCGCTGCCTCTCTTGCCATCAGTAGACGAATCCTTCACATCTCCGACCGCATCCTTTGGGAGGGCCGTGAGCTCGAACAAGCCGTTGTCCGAGGAGATGGTGAGAACCACGGCGCGTTCGGCAGGGTTGTAGCTCAGCGTTCGCGGGGGGACGTATGGACTACCAAACTTGCGCACGCTCAACAGGCCAATGTCTGAGCCCGTATTGATGTCATATGAGCGTACATATTTGTCGCGAACGTAGAATAGTGTGTCGCCGTGCATCGAGAATGCCGGTCGCTCACGTTCCAGCTTGAAAACGATCAAGCCGTTGTCGTGGCCTGCAGGTGTATAAGTAATGCCAACATATGTTAACACAGTGGACACTCACCAGCCGCGAACAAGTTCAGCTCCGGATGCGCAGCCAACGTCCAGAATCGATCATTCTCCCTCCGGAATGTCTGCACTGCCGAACGCTTCGTGAGATCCCAAACACGCACGGTCTTATCCTCTCCGCAGGATACAATCAACTCGTGCTTGGGGTGGAAGACCGCAACCGACACGTTGTTGAAGTGACCCCGACATGCATCCACCTCCCACGCCTTCGTGTCACTCATGCGCCAAATTTTGATTTGTCGGTCATCCGCCGCCGACACAATCAAAGGCAGCGTCGGGTGGAATGTCGCGTAGTTCACCCCTCGGTCATGGCCCTCGAGGACATACTTCACCGTCGAGAATGTGTCGAACGTGTCGAATGTGCCCGGGGCGGTGTTGGGGGTGCTCTTCCGCAGCCCAGAAATATCCCAGACGCGCACAGTTTGATCCTGAGACGCCGACACGATGAGGTCTTCCTTTGGATGGAACTGTGCAGACATGACGTAGTGCGAGTGTCCTGTCAAGATGGCAATGCAGTTTCGCGACGTGCTGTTCCAGATTCGAATTGTTTGGTCATCCGAACAGGAGAGCTGGGGGCTTCCTCAGTCACATTGTCAAAGGAGACGACAAAGGTACATACAATCCAGGGCATGTCGTGGTGGAACTGAACGGTACGAACATAGTCGAGGTGGCCATGCAGAGTGAAGAGACAGCGGCGGCTTTGTGGGCGCAGATCTATGTGAGGTCAGTTGGGGCGAAACAACGTCTCACACTGACTACCTACCCCAGACTTTTATTTTGTAGTCATCTCCGCCGGTCACCAGGAGGGCACGGCTAGGGTGAATGGCAACGGCGCGAACGGGACCTTGGGCTCATGTTAGTATGCGACGCGAATTGGCCTCGCCCTGCTCGCGAACGCGTACGCACCTTCATGCTCCTCAAATCTATCCACCAGTACACCCATCCGATAATTCCATAACTGCACGCTTCCGTTGTGAAGCGAGGCCGCAAGCAAGGGCTGCGTCGGGTGAAACGCAAGTCCTGAGCGTACGATCAGCAGCCGCGTCGACTGGGACGTCACACCCGCTTACCCTTCACTCTGTTGCTCTTGGATTCGAACTTCGTCAACATGACCGACATTTTGGCGAGCTATTGAACGACCAGACGACCGTTTCGACTGCCAGGGAAGAGTACCGGTCGCACAATGTAATTGGGGAGTTTAAGCTGGAAAGTAACGTGTCCGCAGAGCTATGCATCCACGTGACCTCTGTATATAGAAACCAAGGTTGTTGGTCGGTAAGGGTCACTACACTTTGTTGTTACTTTTTTAAAAACCACGACGGCAGAACACAAGGTAACCTGATATTTGCCCCCGTTCTACGTACGGTACAAGTCGTACCGGAAGCTCTTCTGCATGGGCGTATTGGGTCTTACACCATTCCTTATCAAAATCTGGTAAGCATTGCAGATATTGTAAATCACTGCCAAGGCTCAATTGCATAGTCCCGAGGTCATTAAAACCCTACCCGATCGGTTACGTGCACTCCGTGGCAAAACTGTAGTGATGTGAGTTGACCAACTAAGCACTCGAGAACGTACATTATTGACCTGCCCACAGCGATGGCACTCTCATAACCCAACGGCTGCATTTTGCGCCCATGCCACACAAGTACCGACATGTCCTCGGGTGGTACCGTATTGTGAAGGAGCTACGAGAATGTGATGTGCATGCAATCTGTGTTTTCGATGGTACTCAGCGCAGTGTGGCTAAGGAGGCTGAGGTGAGCTCCGTTCAACTTCTGTTTGCGGTCGCTGACTCCGGTTTAGGCAAAGAGAAGAAAAAGTGTACGCAGGACGGCTGCAGCGAGGAGTGCGCTGGAAACCGACCGTCTCAAACGTCTTCGAAAGCTTGGCACTCTCGTGCAAAAGTTGCGAGGGCTCAAAGACTCCGAGCGTCAGCGGCTCGCAGATATCCTGCGGACATTAGTCGGCACCCTTGCAGACGGTCAGAGTGATATGCGGGTATTATCGCGTATTATTTCGCGAGAGGTGGACAGTGACGCTCGCTCGTCGGCTCTCTTAAAAAAAATCTCTCGACACACGTTTTTAACTCACGAATTGCTTGGGGCATTTAAAGAACCCGACACTGCAGAGATACTGTTCAATGACTTCAAACAGCCTAGCGCGACTACCGAATTTAATGCGACACTAGCAGATTCATCTCACGATGACCTGTCTATAGTTGCAGACGAAGAGGAAGGCATGGCGGAAGAAGAGAGCATGGATGAGGAGGATGCGGATGAAGGTGAAGCAGAGGCAGAGGACGCAATAGACCAAGAGGATGCCAATCATCTTAGGCTTGAGAATCTCTCTCTGGAAGACCGCTCGCCGATCAAAGAGCCATCGGAAGTGATTGACGTACGCTTTGCAGAGACTGATTCACCTTCTACAGTCCGAGAGACAGTGACATCAACTCAGGACCTCTCTTCAGCCCTCTCGTCTCTGTATCTTGAATACCGCTCAAGCATACCTCAGGTCACGACACTCCCTCAACAGTCCGAGGCCACATCCGCTCAATCTGAGGCAATTTCATCAGAAGTCCTGACTCCGGAACGCTTGGTACCCTCGGTCACGACACTCCCTCAACAATCCGAGGCCACATCCGCTCAATCTGAGGCGGCGCAGACACAGGCGCGGTTGAACGTCACCGAGAAGTTGGACGACGCGCAGACGCAGCTGAAGACGGCAGCAATTTCATCAGAAGTCCTGACTCCGGAACGCTTGGCACCCTCGGTCACGACACTCCCTCAACAGTCCGAGGCCACATTCGCTCAATCTGAGGCAATTTCATCAGAAGTCCTGACTCCGGAACGCTTGGCACACTCCGAGGAGACAATTGTACAGCTCGAAGAGCAAGCAAGTCTTGCAATGTCGAAAACGCAACTTCAATTGACCCTCGACGAAGGTTCGTTCTGGGGCCACCTGTCGCAAGCAACAGCGAACGTCGACGAGACAGAAATAGTCGAGGCCGCAGCTGCTGCCTTAGCGCAAAAGAGCAGTGCCCTTTCCGAATCGTATGAGCGCCGCACACACCCTCCAACTGCAGAGACCTACGCAGAAAGCAAGGAGATTCTCAGTGCCATGGGGATCCCATGCCTCGATTCTACCGGTCCGTTCGAAGCTGAGGCATTGGCTTCTGCGCTGGTGCTGAACGGTTACGCCGACTATGTTGCCAGTGAAGACACGGTACGCCCATTTAATCCTAATATCATTTCTTCCTCATCTTCCTGCAGGACGTCCTCGTGTACGATGCCCCTCTTATCCGAAACATTACCAACCGCAAGGGCCCCTTAGTCGTCATCTCGGGCACTGACGTGCGAGAACATCTACGATTGGACCGCTCGAGCTTTGTCGATTTCGCTCTAATGCTTGGTACTGACTTCTCGCAACGCATAAAGAACGTGGGTCCCGCCCGTGCGCTCAAATTCATTCGCGAATACGGCTCCATCGAGCGGGTGATTGAATGCGAGAGACAATATCCGCCGCGCATCCCGCCGAAAAAGTACCTCGCACAAGTCAGTCTTGCTCGAATGGTCTTTTCGACATTGCCGCCGACCCCAGACGTCGAGCTGTTGCGCCCAGGAGCGTATAACGAGGAGGAAGTCACGCGGCTCCTAGCGCTGCGCGGGCTCGAACGCGCTGCAGACGAGGAATGGGATCCCACGGCCACATTATCCGGGAATTTCTTTGATGACAATCCAACTGCATTGTAGCTGCTCCATGCATTACTTTCGCGCATATATCTCATCTCATAATTCCGCCTACGCATCACCATAGCATGAAACTTTATCCAATAAGGTCTCTCCACGCACGCACTCACGTTCACGTCCATGCAGAAGACACTGTATATATCTGCACATACACGCCACAATGGATCGATTACGCTTCTAGTACTCTGCGCCTCTGCTTTGGATCGTTAGCCTGTGCAATGATGCTGCTACTAAGAGCCAGGCAGAGATGCAAACCGGAGTATCCTGACGTTTTGACACTCCTCGACTGTAAGTCTTCCACTTTTCACTATTCACGGCACTGAGTAAAGCCACTCATTCGCTGGCCATAGACTTGTTCCCATCCCAGATGACCTCCGATTCATAAGACTCATTTTATTGGACAAACTGATGAACCGTACCGTTGCTTTAACTTTCAGCTCAAGAGCAAATGCTATCATCTTTAGCCGATCTAGCTTGTGAACCAACCGCATTGGCTCCCATGCAGCGAACAGTTGCACCCTTGTCGATTTGTCACCGATTGGCATTCACCTTATAGTCGATAAGGAATATCTGAAGCAACGAGTCGCGCTATCCCAGACGTCAGGTAAGTTCGGTCTGTTTTTGGTCCTCATGCAAAACGCTCGGAAGAGGCATGGAAGAACACAGCCTGACATCTATTACGAACCATGTGACAATTCAATAATGTCTTCGTAGCGCGTAGGCGTGCGATTTGTGGTCTGCGCCTATCATGCATACCTTCCTTTAGCAATCGACCATCTCCTCATGTCTGCCAAGCACATCCCCCAATTCGTTGTACTAATTATTGTCTAAGACATGTAGACCTCGACTCCTTGGCGGCTCGCTGGACTTCCCGGATCTTGCAAGGCAAGCGCTGGAGTCCGAGCATGCTGCAAGTGACAGCAATGCCAATTAAAGAGATACATGCACTAAGGCGACTTCGATTGCTGGCTTCGAGAACCCTGGACGGCTATGCAAGTACAGCACCGATAGTGGTCCCGCTTACACCAGCCTCTTGAGTGGCGTCAGAGGGCCATGTCTCTCTTGTCCACCATGCCCTACCTGCGACCCCCTTCCTCTGAAAGATCGCATTCAAGCCAGCCTACGGCGATCTTGGCAAACGAATGCGATATCGCTGTGTACACCACTACAGGCTGCGAGCATGAGGAAGCGTGGTCCCTCCGCTATCGGTCTCACTCCCCATCTCCCAAAATCGCCCTGCAACCCATGCCGACACTAATGTATCCACTCGAGAATGTAGCAGTACCAATAGAACAGGTGCCGGGAGCTGTTCGCGACGCGATATCCTCGCGCGCTGCGACGCCGCAGCACAATGTAGCAGCTCCCTTGCACAAGACACCCGCTGACGGTGCGATCGTGGAGGAGGGTTTCCCTGACATCATACCGCAGCCTACAAGTCCCCAGAACGTCTTACAGCGACGTTATCAGGATCGATACCGCATGTGAGCCTGGGATTGTCCGTCTGGTATGGTATGAGCGATTCAATGTGCACACGCAGACCATCGGAGGAAACACGTGAAGACATGGAAATGATCCCGGAGATGGAGACATCCTTTGAGCAGTAAGCATCTCACTTACATACCTGTAGACTCATGCTGAACTCGCGTCGAGCGATCCAATCGATAATGATGACTGGCGACCAATGGAGCACCCAGAAGGGCAGCTATACTACCAAAGGATGGATCTTGTAAGTAATCAAGTCGCCAACTAATACTAGCGTTAATATTCTCAACAGAACATACATGTCTATACCGATGTACTACTGCAAGATAAGACCAATTTGAGCGAGATCGAGAAGTTAGCGACAGTCTTGTCACGAAGGCTTCAGGAGCGCAAAAGCAAACTACCGGAAAACCTCGAAGTAGTCTTAGATGTACAGCAAACTGAAGAAGGAACGGATTACTACTATTACCTCGTCGACGGATCCAAACGTGCTATTTTCTGGTTGGAAAAGGTGGACGCAAGTCTGCTCACCTTGCAGCTTCGTCAAGCATATAACCCATCTTACCTGAGTATGTCTCCCTGCCCCTTGCCGAAGCCTACCTCAGAGTGTATCTCATTGTATGAATAATGACTAGAAAATGCATGTCAAGCACAGTACTGGTACCGTACTTTGCATTCGGTACGTACCGCGTTTGATAGCGGGAACGAAATAATGACTGTTGATCGTTTCATAGACCTACCCGCTCGAGGTTGACGATTGCACAGGCTTCATGTCGGACTGTTCCCCATCGGCCGTGATGTTTCTTCATCACTATTGACCGAAGTCAATGAGCTTTTAGACTTTGCTACATTCGGTGAGGCCCGGCTGACTTTATTATCTATTGAAATCACATGCTAACGTTCTTGCCAGACTCAAAGACCTCGGAGACGTCGACATCACCCTTCAATTACGCTGATCTTGCGGTACTTTCTAACAGCGCGAGAAACCTCACAGGTTTGGCCTACGATTATATTTTATTTTGTATCAATATAACTCAGATCACAGCTGGTGGAGGGGCCCCGGCAATATGGGTTGTTGGTATGTAAGCCATGGCTTTCGCATCCGTCTTTAGCTTACACGCCATATACCAGCGAGAATGATGTACATTCTGTGTATGTCGGTCGTCGGGCGGTTGCTATCTCGGTCTGACATCAACATTTAGACTGGGAGCGGTTCCTTCACTTCCATGGCTTGCGCGAGGCCCGCCTCGATCGATCAGCGAGTGTCTTCGAGTCTACGCCCCGTGTTCACTCTTGGCTCTTCAGGATCATGACGCCAATGCTTTTCTACCTTCCTACACGATACGCAGAACAGCTAAACGTGATCTGGGTTGACCAAACTGTCAATCATGTGCCATGGAGAAACTTCATTGATAGACTCGCGCGCGATTGGCAGGCATCGATCACCCCCGTATGTTCCCAGCCACCTGGTTCGAAAGTATTAAGTGCAAACTTAGCATAGGCTTCCATCCTTGTGACGACGAACGTAGGCCTCCTAGCGGTGAACACGATTGATACCAATGGTCCCAGGAATGTCGCGGAAATAGCCAGTTACATCTCGACATTCCTTAGCCTGGGCAATATCATTCTCTGTGCTATCCTAATGCGACAGCATCAGATATCCGGCATTGACACCGCAGCCGGCGCGGTGAGCGACTTGTGATCCGTCTGGTATGCATTCGTGCTGACCCTGGTGCCTTTGCAGTCTGCATATCTCTACAAACGAGAGTCCTTACTTTTAGGACTGGACATTGTAGCTATCGTTTACAGTCTGCCAGAGGCTCTCTTCCTTTACGGGTGAGTGTATTGCGCCTAGACCAACCAGAGACACAACTCATGAGGCGTAGCATGGGTACTTTCTTTGTTGCAATGGCGTGGACGTGCTTCGACAGGTCCAGCGTTTGGACCAGACTGTTGACCGGAATAATCTTCGCCCTCGTGGTCACCCTCGTTGTGCTCGTCGTCATGCTGGAGCTGTGGCCACCGATCACAGACGAAGATGTAGACGAGCGTGGCTGTTTGGGATCCATTAGGCACAACCTCGTTTCCAGAGTATGTCGCATGAAGGTACCAAGGCTGAAGGGGTTTTGTGGACTGGTGAGGCGGTGCAGACGACGCAAGCCTCGGGATCCAGAGTCCCCGGCCTGATTCTGTATTTTCTGTGCTCTCAAGTCGTTCACACAACTGTCGAATTCGCTATTGTTTTGTTACTCAGGTCACTATGCTACTACTACATCATTCTTCGGGGAGTGCTCCACAATATACCAGTAGCTACTGTATTTCGAACGCCAGATCATAGAATAGCATAGAATATACACTCCAGATAGTTCTAACATCTCCTAAAGCTGCCTGCAGGCTATACGCGGTACATCTCTGACTCAAGAACAAGAGATTCCAAACCTGTTCGTGAGAGTTGCCATATTCACTCACGAGAACTAGGGGAATGCACCCTGTAACCCTCGCTCAAGGTGTTTCGTGAAACTCGCTAGTTCACTACAAACGTAGCAATATTCACAGACGAGGCCATTGTCCTCCCTCCCATGCCAGCACGACATTTGCACAGCGAATACCTCGATAATATCCGCTCATCGGGTTTTAACTGGATAATAACTAGCTACGACCCAGAGGCATGCTCTCAACCCGCGCTGGATTTATATCATATTAGATGTGAACAACGAGCGATTAATATATAAACACAATAATCATAGCAATACAACTGCGCGAAACAGAACCTGTCGAGTGAATGCTCAACCACCTACTATACTAGAGTCGCTTCGATTTGAAGGAGTTCGCGAGATCTGAGGCGGAGCCGGGATCATGAGGGTACTTTGATCTTTGAGCAGCCGCGCTTCCCGGGCGTGCGCCTGCCTGACGTAGGCGTATCGTTGGAAGTGGTTCAGCGCCTGCAAGAATTGCACCCCAATCTACAAGCAGTTCAGCCATTTATCCCCGCTGTTTCGTCGATTTGGCTCACCGGATATGTCCGCAGCTCATTAAATATGTCGATAGTGAGCTCCCGTACCACTTCTTGTTGGTGGAATAAGCCAAAACTTAATGATAACAGGCCGTTCTGGTGTGGAGGCATCAAGGATAGCAGCTACTAAATTATCAGACATTCGGACTGGGGCCACTTTTAAGACATGCTCGCATACCTGTGTGACTTGGTCATACGTTCTCACGCTCTCTGCAATACTTCGCATTATCAGTTCTGCTTCGCCATTTGGCATATTTCTTGCATGTCGCAGTCGCCATAGCTGATGCAGGACATCAAAGCCCTGGATCGGGTCTGTACCCAGTGCCTTACGAAAATCCTGCATCACAAGAACTTAGCCGTCCTCCCGGTACAAGATCAAGGTCCCACTCACGATCTGGAAGAGCGTGTAACTCTCTGTTCTCCGCCAAGCTTCTATTCTGCTAGCGTTTGCGGCCAGCTCTCGGGCACACGTTGCCTCATCCACGAACCCAATCCCACCGCCCAATCGCCTTGGTTCACCTGGTCGCTCCGTGTAAGAAGAGCTAGGGAAACCAATCATGGTTGACCCCATAGTATCTTCTTCATACCGCGCAGAGAGTCGGACGAAGCGGGCAGCGTAGTCAGTGAACCTTGCTCGGACATGCGCCTCACCATAGTGTGACGCTATAGCTGACAGAATCTAGAACCACCGAAGTCAATACCAAACGCCGACTGGCCCAACGGCACTAAGACACTCACATCTTCCATGAACAAATTATCCGAACTATCTGCCTTGCCCGACAGCTCCGCCTTCTGAGGTGCGGCGATATCTCTGCTCGGGCGACCAACATCCTCTTCACTCCCAGCGGATCCCTCCGCTCGAAGCGTACCCGTGCGCATAATCAATGGGCCTTGAGAGAAGATTGGATTTGTCGGGTAGTTGGCATAAATATCTTTGGACACAACCATGCGCCCGGAACCAACGTCACATAGGAGGTCCCATGCGCCGGAATGTTCGAAAATAGGGTTCGTGACGCCAGCGATGAACCCAGGTCTGCGACGTACATGTGTGTATATCCATCGCAGCAAGTTGGTAAGCACTCACATTGATTCCCACTCTTCGCGATTAGTCAAATTCGCATAAGGGAACGCTCGCCTGATGAACCCTCTCAATATGGTGCCGCAGCCTGAACCAAGCGCACATGCTGAGAGGACGTAGCTGGAGACCTGTCCCGCGGGTCTATGATGTCCCAAGAAGATTATCCGCTTAGCTGTGACAAGCGCGTTGAACAGTACGATTATAGCCGGCGTCATAGCGCCGTTGGTATGCAAATGAGGATGGATCGGTCCACTCAGCGACGCAGTCGGTCCCGAGAATGTTTGCACTAGTTGGATGAGTGAGTACTGGGGTCAAGTATATAGCATCAGTTCAATATGTTTGTAGCATGCAAAGAAAAGTGCATACATCGCCCACTTCTTCTGGAAATGTCGACAAGGGTATCTTGATGGGCAAATGGTGGTCATTGAAATCAACCATAGCGGGAAAGAAGTGAGTGTCCTTGAGCGCGTTCATGCCCACATTCGCGGCAGCTGGCGCCACGGTGGGATCGTCTCGTCGGCCATGAAGGCCCTGCGACGAGGACGAGGACGCATCGGTCGATGACCGGCCACGATACGGGACGTTGCCGTTGCCATTGCCGTTCCCAGGCCCAACCTGGTCCAACCCACTCTCATTCCCCACCCAAACCGCGCTGCCATCCAGCGAGAAGGATGCCTCCGAGGGAGAGTACTGCTTACGTATCTGGGCAGTCGCCTTCAGACTGTCCGACCGCACCAGATCCTTCTCGCGTCCCCACTCACTCTCCTGCTCATGCACGCCGTTACGCCACGGTATCTTCCCATCGGAGCTGCCCTGCGACTCTGTCGATGCGCTCTTCCGGTGCGTCTGCCGGACCGTCGATGGTGTTGCTTGCGCATTCTGGATCGCAATCCCCGAATCCCCATTCACCTCTTGTAGATAATCCTCAAACTTCTCCAGGAAGACGTCCTTCCGTTCAGATGTGCGCATAATGAGCTTCTCGTGCCTGGTTAAAACAGGTACCATGGAAATGTCCATAGAGTTGACAGCGTCGAATAGCCGGGACAAGCAATCCTGAGATGGGTTTGCGAAATAGTCGTCCAAGGCCATAAGGAGCACGGGCTGCATTGTACTGCGATCATGTACACGATTCCAGGTAGATATATGCGCATACATACCTTGAAGATCTGAATGAAGGGATGCCGCGTACATATCGCCATGGCCTTTACAACGGCCCCCCTGAAGGGCTTTGTCAAGCAAGCCTGCGTAGCACAGCGAGTAGGCGTACCTCCGCGCCGTCTTATCCAACTTCGTCCGCACCAGATTCAGCACATATAGCAGTTCTGGCTGATCGGTCGATACGTCAGGCTCATATATACCGTCAATATCGAAATCCGGATGTGATGGCTCCAGAGCGAGGACAGGTGCAATAGTGTTGAATGGCGTCTGGTTTAGGAAGAAAATCGTCCAGTCCTCCGGCTGCTTCTCCGCACCGTCCGGGAGCATCAGGTTGGCGAGCAGGCTGTCCACACCGAGCGGACCGCCTCCAGTCAGCGCATCGCACGCCTCAGCAGGGAGGTTACGAACCCTTCATCGGTCCCCAGAGGCTGTGGGAATTGGTAGGTGAGCTGGGCACCACGGTCGATGTCGAAGTCAGCGAGCAGCACGAACGAACAGTGCTGAGCGTCGTCAGACATGACAGATGAAATTACTGTGAGACGTATCAAGACCGTGTGTCCTATTCGGTACGCCGTGACGTTCAGCGGATCGCAGCTAAGCGAACGTCTAGTGCCGCCTGGAACACCACGTAGTGGCGGTCAACAGAGAAGGCGCGATGTACTCCCAGTAGCGTACACTAATCAATATTTGCGCTTGCATTACATGGACTCGGAGAGTACTATATTTATATTGCGGGAACCTTCACCACACTAGTATTTTTGATAGTTACTCTCGAGAAGACACATATAGATGACACAATTACAAGGCATTCGACATGCAACAAGCACACGAATTGCCACAGCATGTATTTGACACGATGGATTGAAAGCGAGACATAACATACGAGCAGGCAGTATAACAACAGCAGAGCAACAAAACATGATTAACCAGCCAAGCCAGTCAAAGCAGCCAGAGCCAATTTGATGCGTGTCACGAAGTCGCTGAGCTGTTGACGGGTCCTCTCTTGATACCGAAATGCGTCAGTCCACAACCAGCATAAGAATGCAAAGAAGTGTGGGGTGATCGCGGAGGAATGCCGGCCTACCGACGAGGGACAAGGACGGCGATGATGAAGACATGCCTTGTTCCTGCTCTAGTTCCATCACGGCCTTGACTTCCTTTTCCAGCGCGTCGGCGGTCTTGTCGCTTTCGTGAGCAGGTCGGGCAGTCGACCAAGCATGGAATTCCAACATTAGTTCGAGCAGCATGGTGTTGAGTTCTGGAGACCAAGCAGAGATCGCCGCATGTCATCAGGATCAAGCCGACTATATGCGGGTCCAATACATGGCAGGTCGCACCCAGACGCACTTTCCATGAACTCCGCGTCCCGTTTCGTCTCGTTGTCAAAAGGCTCGACGATTGCGCTGCGGTGGTCAAAAGGCGGGAACTTTTCTGTGATGATCTCCGCAATGGGGCGTTTCTGAATCGCCGTCGCATTTTTCGACGGTGTAGGACTAGATGAAGTCGATACAGACATGGTCAAGAAGCTTTAGAGTGAGTGAGCGAGAAGGTAGAGAGGAAAGAACGACCGGGATTAGAGCCGAGACCTTCCATCAACAAACAACGCGTAAATAACGCGTCCAATGGGCGCCTTTCAAGTCCATTGCACACACGACACAGTGCGGTAACAATGACAACATTTAGGAAATGAACCAAGAGTTGGAAATGATTACAATGTGAACTGTCTGAAAAATGTAATGAAGCTACAGAGCTAGATTTGTCCCTGCATGGCCACTGGCCAGCGAGATGGTAATACTATTAGGTTCACGACGACGACGACATATGATATTAGGTTTCCTAGATTAATCCAATGCGTGCATATACCATATAGCAATGTTATGAAACAGAGAGGAGACATCAGAGATCCACGCGTTCTTCGTACACATCCTCCTACGAAATATATGGTAAGCATATCAGAATACCCATAGGGAATTGTAGTCAACTTACTATAGACTCCTGAGTTTCCAGCTGTGGATAGTGTGCGTCAGGAAACCAGATCTGCTTGAGCAACCTCAGAAGAAAGTGCGCACCTCAGGTCTAGGAACTTCGAATTCAGCAGCGTCAGCAGGTCTGCTGTGCTTGTTGATCGCAGCGGTGATTTTCGCGATTTCGCGACTGGCAGGACAGATTCGTGAGTATGCCGAGCTCTGTGGTATTTCTAATTTGTACCCACGTTACAGCCTGGAGGAGCTCGTGGTGCGTTTCCAGCGGATTGTGCCCTATTAGGAGGTAAGTATCTGTGAGCATCTGTATGAAAGTAAGCCTCTGCTCACGAAGTGCTTTCGCAAGGGCCTACGTTCAAAATTGTGAGCTGAAGATACTCGCGAATATGGTAACGGCATACATTGACAAATATGCCACCCCGCGGTCCACCCAATGTGACCTGCTCATCCTGACAAGCAGACAATGCGATCTAGCGCGACGTAGCTTAGAGATTCTGTCTGAAGGGCAGGCAGGAGGAGATACTCACGACATCCGCTACAGCCGGCTTGTTGGCTTCCGGAACCTGCGCAAGGGGCACGCTGGGAGTGAACATCTCCTTAGTTGTCTTATGTTGTAGGCCGTCTTCCGTCGAAGCTGCTCATCAACGACATGAGCGGAGTACATAGAGCAATGAGAATCCGATTCATACATGGGTCTTGGGATCCCCGAACACGGACTACGCGAGACGGTCAGGCCTATCAGATGTCGGATACATGGCGGGGCATACGTACTGTTCTTGACACTCGCAGCCGATGGTATTGATCCTGTTGACGTCGCTGATGACGGGGTAGGCGGTCGGTCTTCGCTAGTATTCGGAAGATCTGACGGGCAGTCTAAGCGCTTGGCGACAACTGCGAGCTCTTATATACACTTACCCGCCATAGTACCGGAGTGGCAACAGTCGAAGACCATCTATTGAGACAAAACGTCGGAATCTCACTTTGTACCCCAATCCGTTGGTACACTCACCATGAAATGTGCACCAACAGGTACATGCTCCACCAGCAGGTCGTGAATTTCCTGTAACCCAATCGACATTGAGGGGCACTCAGCATGCAACCATTGTTTGACTTACATCATCCTTGATGTAATTGTCGATACTGGATTCATCGCCTTTGTACTCAATGTCCACGGGCCAGATCACTGCGCACATATATATCAGCTACGTTTCATTGGTGTTTCCAGTTTATGCACCTTCGTCATAGCCACTCTTCTCTGTTCCGTCGAAGTTTGGGACTAGAGCACCATGACCCGAGACTATCACGTCTTCGTGAGCATCCACGCATATGGTTTAGACGAACGACCATACAATGGAAGACGAAGTGGTCCCCAGGCTGCGCGCCGACAAGCAGAGATTTCATCGCATTTTCCTGAACGAAAATGACATGAGCACGTTGACATCAGTGCGTGAGAAGACATGCGATCTGACAATGTTCTTGCGCGTGGGCCACGAGTGTTTTTTGTCCTCATCGTCGATCAGGATAGTGATGTCTTCTCGGTTGTACTTGTAGACATCTATTGCGTGGCCATTGTTACAACCTCGCCATAACTTGCGACGTACATAGCTCACCGACTAGCAGATCCGACAGTATGCGTGGGTCATTGTGTGTCCCTTCCAGATCGAGATCGTACTCCTTGAGGGACGAGTACTGAACCGCGATACTGAGCGCTTTCCTGACAGGAGGGCGTGTGGGGACAGGCATGGCAGCGTGCGTGCTCGCAGATCGCATGGAATCGGAGTCTCCAGCAGCCGTTTATAAGCATTGCTGCGTTCCTGAAGCTGAAACGCGGGACCCCCGTGGCTGGGCGCTGAAGATACGCCCGTGCCGTGGCGCAGCGGGTGCTTCTCGACACGCCGAAGTGCAAAGAATAGAACATCCTTCCTTCGGTATGGTGAGTTTGCGCAGATATGGTGTAGCCTGGTATAGCCTGCCTTCGGCGATTCAAACGTCCGTCCGTGAGTCACTTGCGGGATTGACCCGCAATTCGGACGTAGCCGAAATTGATCGCGCCGGTGCAGATGCGGTGTAAGGGGCAGTAAAGTATAAGTACAATACGGTGTCCACACTCGCATGGTCTTGCCGACTCGTCGTTAGTATGCACAGGTGCACCATTGGTTTGCAAAACGAAGAGCCCTCGAAGTTCCGGACTGTAGTCTGCCGCTTCCCCGCAAGAAGTGAGACCTTTCAATGCTCCGATTACCAATTCGGAGATATCTCACACTACAGTGAAAACGCGGCGTTCAGCTGTCGGCCAGCAATCTGGACTTACGTGGTAAGTGCTGGCTAAGCCTGGTAGACAGGGAGGCCACACTACGTCACTGCAACGAGATTCTAGCTTGAAGACTTAAGGCACGTCTAAGTGTTCCAGCCATTTCTCAACGCATGATTTAGGATGGAAAACCCTTTGTCATCTTCGAGCACAATGATTACTGTATCGGGACGCATGGGCCTATCACTTCGGCACGAGTCATTTTTTCGAGACTCACCGGTACATGACCGCGGCATTCTCTGTCAGTCGGACCTTCCATATCAATATCAACAGGGCTCCACCGTAGAGAGAAACATCACGCCACAAATGAGTAGATGTTCTGCGGCTTGTTCCATGCTGCTGTTCATCAAGCACGCGACCTGAGCGTTGACAGCAAGTCTAGACCAAGCTAAAAGCGACTGGATTGTAGTACTGTTTTAGGGTTTGTCCACACCAGCGTCTCGCCTGCAGGTACGTTAGAGCCAGCGCGCGGGGGAGGTACCACATGTGCCTAGATTGAACCACTCGGGGGAGATAATGCGCGCTAATTTCATATCTCTACATAATAATGGCAGGAGTGCATCACGCATCGAACGGACTGTAACGCACGCGAGCCTGCAAAAAGGCATCAGAGCAGTTGTGCAACATGTGCTATGTAAGCCACCTACTTCTTCACCTTCGAATTCTAGCTGGTAACATAGGTACGGTCAGAATGTATACTCAGTAGCACGCTGTCAGAAATGCTCTGACCTGCGGACTTGGCAACGAATCAGGCATCTGCTTGCCGCTTGTCTGCAATATACGCGACATTTCCTCCCTGGGAATGTGCCATGAACAATCCATCATATGTGACCGGTGTGTGTGTGCTCTGTTACACTATAAATTTAAATAACTCGTCGTGATTGATGTTACCAGGGTGAGACTCTGCATATCGTCAGCATGAGCAACGTAACAATCCGAAGAGACTTACGGATAGCTTGTGTGAACGCCTTTGAGCAGCACGGTGTCCGTCAATTACGCTATACAGGGAGTAGGAAACTGAGTCAGCTCACCCTCATGAACAGCCCTCCATTTTTGTCACCAAGTGCCAGCTGGTCCGCCCGACACGCCTCCCAGCATTCCTGTCGCATCGTTGATCCACAGCAAAAATGTGAGTGTCACTCTATGTACGCACCACGTTTGGAAAGTGATGTGGTTCCAACTTCACTACCTTGGGCTCCAAAGTGGCTGATGGCCGCGATCTCAGACGCTGGACTAATAGAGAGCTACAAATGCTCACGGTCAACATGGCTACTACGTGTTGTGACGCGGACTGTAAAGACGGCTTGAGCTCACGCTGCGGACATGGATATTTGAAGAAACTCGACTCACCATTACGAGCAATAAAACTGGTTTCTCCCCCCTGTCCCGACGACTTCTGCGGCAATATGAGGGAATGAAGGTGGACGTCTGAGTGCAGCTCGTGATGCAGTTCTAATTTGATAGGTGAGTCTTAATGTGAACAAGCCTTAGGAATGTCTCCTGACCTGCGATATGGCCAGAGTGACAACAATCGAAGATCATCTGTTCAACGGATTAGAAGTATGACGTACATAGAAGGCATCGTCACTCACAATGAAGTGAGTGTCTTTCGGGACTTTCTCGACCAGTTGATGAATCTCCTGCAAACAAGATTGGGTAACACGGTCGTCGGTGATTAGGAAGGCTTACATCGTCGGTAATGTAGTTGGTCATTGCCCCTTCGTGGTCAAGCGCATAGTCAACTGGAAATATGACTGCAGCATCACGTGTAAGCATATACCCGTGCGTGAGGACATGAGCTCTCAACCTTCTTCTAATCGGCCATCTTTCTCGATTTGCCCGCCGTGACCGGAGACTGACGAGGGAGATCAATGAAGGAGTCAGCATCCTTGCATGAATCCGACTGTACTTACAGTGGAAGACCAGGTGATCTTCAGGTCCAGCGTTGTCGACTAACCAATTCATGGCATCTCTCTGGATGATGTAGTTGCTCGGTATATGAACAACATACTTATAAGGTTGGTCTCACGATATTATGCGCCGAAGGATAATCATGGTTATGGTTTTTGTCATCTGAGAGTATCTTGATATTCTCCTCCTTATAGCCGAATCTGCCTGGAAACAGGTATGAAAAATAGGAGTCATTCATGCATGAGCGAATCTACTTTGCAGAATGCTCGATAGCATTTGAGGATCCTTGTGCGCCCCTGGTAGATGCCCCAGAGCCATCGCCCGGTGGCACGAGGCGCGGTATTCCACCCCAATGCTGACAGCCTTCTTAGTGACAGTGTTGCGAGCGACAGTCATCGTGATGTCGAGTTGAACTGACGATGAAGGTCTTGCGCGACGAACTGTGCTATTTATCTTACGTTCGAATCCTTGTCTTGCAGAGCAGTGCGCAGGCTGTTCAGGTGTGAAAGCCAGGATGGCGCCCGCCTACGGAGGTTCATGCTTGCGCATCGCCGGCAGTATTGTCATCGCATAGAATGTGGTACAGGGCCACACCTCCGTGCATATGGAGCGCCGTGAATGCACGGGATGACAGAGAATATACAATGTTGAATGTTCACGCTAGGTGGACAGCCGACGCGCGGGAAAAAGGGTGGGTTCGGTTAGTCATGACATGCGGTATCCTCAGGAGAGCGACCGTGAAGGCATGGAAGCACACTAAAGGGGTCTACTTACGTATCCCCCCTCGATATGACAATTATGTTCCCCAAGCTTATCTGCGAAATCCGGAAATTTCGTATCTTGTAAGAGGCGACCACCTCTTTTGGCAATGTTATATGTCTACACATGGGCCTTTTTGAAGGCTTGTCTCCGTCATCATTTACGCAGAGCAAGGTGACGAGGCGTACCAGAATGTCAAAGTGAATAAAATCTATTATGCTCAAGTGAGTAGTTGGTGGCCATCCGACCACGGCCGCCGTACTTAGGCCGCCTATATTGTCACTATAGGAGCGAACGCGGTATTACATGGTCGCGTATTACAGTGTTCTACCCAGATAAGTTCTCAAGTCGTAAGTGTGTGAAGTGCTGAGCCCTCAGAGGCTTGACTTCGTCGACCGTGCATGTCGTGACTCCATCCGATCGCGGCAAGAGTCGAGAAGGACAAGCCGCGATGAAAAGCTCCAGAGGGACCTTCCGGTTCATCGGACATTCGTGTTCGAGAGAGTTAAAAGACGAATTGCATACCACCGACTCGAATGCAGCGATGAGATCTAAGATCGTGGGAAAGCAGTCAGGCCAACTGGCGCTTCGAGCGCATAGCTTCAGCTTCAGCCCGCTTCAGCACGCCTCGGCCACATTCCTAGTCTCAGAAGTACAATGCTAATGTGCTACAAAGCACACGATTACGACTGGATTCCCGAAAATACACGTCCAAGCTTCATCAGAATATTAGTCAATCGACCAATCGAACAATTTTGTTAGGTGGCTGGTATCGGAAATTATAACATGTGAGTAAGAGTACTAAACTTCTACCATCTATTATGTACTAGTCGAAATACTTGTTTGATCCAGTGGGAAATGGCACAGCAGATATTTTGCCGAATGATTCACAATTGGACGGGTGTATCGCGGATTTGTTCCTGAAACATGCGAATCAAAAGGGGTGTACACGTTGATCAGCCACCAAGCTTACTATTGGTATGTCGCAATCGTACTGAGTAAAAATAGAACCATCGCATCAGCAAGCATTCTATACGTGTTAGTCCGAGTGTGATTGTACCTCTGGATTTTGCGGACGAATCATCTCCTCAGGTATGAGCGCATGTCGTTTCCTATACGACTTTGCGATTATCCGCGACATTTCTTGTCTTCAGATGAACGTATTGTTAGCCATATAATAATTCTAGGCGTTTCACAGCAATGGCTCACGTTATAGCGTGGAGTAACTCTTCGTGGGTTGCATGATCGTGTGCCTCTGCGATAGGTGAGCAAGACTTTCCACTTTCGAAAGATCTATTAAAGTCTCACCCAGAGCAGCAGTAAAAGCCTGAGATGATGTCAGTCGATGCCGCTATACCAATGCGGGAGGGAGCTCACCCTAATGAAGAGCCCTCCTTGGCCGTTGCACTGTGCCAGCTCCGCATCTCTGCACGCGGACCATGATTCCTAATGACCACGCTGAGCACGTACATCAAACGGAGTCGATAGGGCCATCTCTTACTATTGAAGAACTGACGGGCACGATTCTGGTAGGTCTGCCTAAGGGTACGTCAATACAATACCGAATCCCAAGTGGATAGTACTTACCACCCGCATGTGATCCATGGAAACGAACTAAGAAAAGTGATCAGCACAAACTCTCATTCTCGCATCCGTAGTCCCAGCACGTACCACTTTGTGCTAGCCTGCGGTCAGCTGGAGACTGCCAAGCATCCTCCTCCTCGCTGAATGGAAGATCTATTGGACAGTTGTCAGAGGAGTAGTACAAGCACTACGTGCTCGTTGCTTACCGGCCATGGTTCCGGAATGGCAGCAATCGAAAATCATCTTTGTGACCATGGGGTCAGAGACATCGAAATGTGTACGTATGATATACGCACAACGAAATGAGCGCCCCTGGGCACATGGTCTACCAGTATGTCGTGGATTTCCTGAAAATGTCTCAATATCTTATTCACGAAGATTAAAAAAATGACATGCTAACATCGTCCATAATATAGTTGTCGAAGTCCCCGGGCCCTGTGTAATTGATATCGACAGGGAAGATGACTGTGGGGTGGTGAGGACTCTCAAGAAAGTTGAAGAGAGAGGTGAGCTTCCTACCTTCGTCATATCCATCCTTTTCTGCACCATTTAGGTTTGGTATCTGATCTCCATGGCCAGAGACTGTTATGATCAGCCGTGAGTCGCCTTTATCATAGCTGATGTTTGTTGAACTCACAGTGAAGTATGAAATGATCTTCAGGACGAGCGTCCTTCACAAGCTCATGCATCGCACGGATCTGATTCGAGGTTCAGCGTGGGCTCACTTCCCGGAAGAACGATCTTACTATATTTGCACGAGTTGGACACTCGTGTCTTCCGTCATCCATAAGGATCGTGAAGTCCTGGTCCTTATAGTGGAAGTGTTCTAATTTTACTAATTAGAGTCTAGAAGCAACATCCTCGTATCACGAGCACGTACTCTTCAGAAGCTCGCGGAGTATTTTGGGATCCTTGTGCGTACCAGGAAGCTTCAGGCCGGCGGATTCATGCTTGTCATATCCTATAGCTGTACTGAGGACTTTGCGCACAGGGGGGCGAGCGACGGGGACGAATGGAGGTCGCATTGCTACGATAGTGGGGGCATGTTGGGTCCTCGCGACGATTTATACATTGTCAACGGAAAGCATAGCACCGATGGCAATGTTTCAGGCGTCGGTCCTGACGGACTGTCCATGCGTCCGCGACCTCGACTTACGGATGCGCCGAACAGTTTCATGAGAAGTTTAGGCAGTAGGCAGTGAGCGAAGGAAGCCCAACACGGCATCTCGGATGCGACTCTACGTCTTGTGCGGTCTTCTATTGACCGCGAACCAATGATGAGACATTGTTCAATTGAATCTGGGACCCTGGTGGGAGCGAATCATCTCTGTGAGTCCTCTAGAAAATTGTTCCTTGGCCGTAATGCTATGCACATGTGATCCACACAGGCTACGAAGATGACCAGTGCGGTCCATGTGTCGGCGTACCGACTGACCGATTTCGAAGATGATATTTACACTTTGGCACGAGCATCTGCTTCCGACTTGTACGTTCGACTGAGCGCTGCAATACCAAGTACAACTGCTTTAGCCAAGATTGAACTTAAATGCCGGAGGATCATAGACCAGTACTTGTTGGACCGTTGGCTTATCAACTGTTCCAGGAACCTTTGCGGTTTGAAAAACTGTTCTATTGTAAGGCCTGGCCGACGATGCGTTCTATGCATCTGTCAACCTACAAGGTTCAACGTACCACACATCAACCGCTCAAAGGTCTACAATAGCATCCCCGCGTTTACGGCCTGACCGCGTGACATGCGGCGGACCTAATGCTTCTCCGAATCCTTGCGCGCAGGAGGGCAAGTGAAGGGGGCAAGTGAACTCGCTTCGTGATTTGCGCAAGGGGAAAGCCATCTCATTGCCATGTCTCCGAGATGATGCGCCGCTAGTGAGCACTTGCACTCACAGTGATGCTTCTTGTATCGTATGATTGACTCCGAGTCATGCATTCGCGGCACAGCTCTGAAGGACCTTTGCTAATGTCGGCGCTGGAACGGAGGACGCACAAGCATCGTATATCACAGGACATCTTGCTCCTGTGAATATCAGCGACAGCCATGGCTTGAAACTTGCATGTAGCCGTGAGAGAGCAAGCTGAGAAATAGAAGCAGGATAACCGCCGATGTGGTCTGATGTTTATGTTGCCTGGTCCGAGATGGATCATGGATGGAGAGAATGCATGTGGCACTGAGAAGATCTCAACAAGACGCAGGTAGCAAATCCCCTCTTTGATGGATAGTGTCGCACATGCTAACACAGTGGGATAATAAGGTCCACACAAATTGCGCACAGATTGCATAGTCGTAAGGAGATGTCCATACTTACATTAAGATGTGTACACTAGAAAGGCTCCTACAAATCCTACACCGCACAATCCTCCCTCAGCAAGGCTCCGGAAGGAACATTGAGCCAGGCGAACGAAAGGCGACTCGCCTGCGAGCACAGCACGATCGCACAAATGGCAACCATCACACCGCCGACCACAAAGGAGTTCGTCGCCTCGAGAAGCCAGAAGAAGCCCTGCAACGAGAACAATCCAAGCGCCCACAGTAGTGACGCCCTCGGCAGGCTGAGCACCAGGGCTGTCCATTGGAAGCCAGTAGTCTCCCTCGCCGCTTCCGCGAGATATTCAGCCTGCATGGTTGTGCTGAGTGACTTGTTCAATAGGGAGCTAATTGGGCTTACCGCATCCGTAGCTTCCCATTTGATCGCTTCCTGGTATTTCACAAGAAGTGAAACAGCGGATACGATTGCAACTACAGACAGAAGCGTCGATGCCAACGCCATCGGGAGCCATGTTCCAGGAAGCAAAAAGGACATGATGTCGACCCTAAGAAGAGTATTCTATTAGCAAGCGGGTCTACTCAATCAACTGGTGAAAGCTCACATCGTTATCGCAAAGCCCTATTCGAACATGTCATTAGCAAGGTGCATCTACGTGGCTGCCAGGAACGTACTCACCAAGAAAGTGCAGAAGATCCATTCATCTCGGATCGGTGCCATGGCCGCCTGCCAATGTGCCCCATAGACTATATTGTCCACGTAAAGGGATTCAAGTACTTGAATATAATGATCAGGCACTTTGAGAAGCAGCCAAGACACGAGGCAGAACAGTCTTCCTCTCTGGACCTCGGGTATGTCGAGAATGCGTTGGACCCGGGATAGACGAGCATGCTCTTCGCCGTAGCAAATCGTGAATCTATTGTTGTCTGGAAGTGTTCGAGTCAGTACGATGTTTCGAGTGGCACGAGGTCAGATATACTCACATACAACAGCCCAAAGACGAGCTGTTAGTCACTTGTCAGACAACGAGATATGAATACATAGGGTGGCGAGTTTACCAGTCATGGCCACAGAGCATGAACTCAGGGTCGCACCTTCGGAAGAAGTAAGTACAGAAGGGAAGACATATATCGGAGCACATACATTCAGCTGCGTCGAGCAACTCCAGAAAATCCGCGCACTGCTTGGCACTATAGCAGAACGTTGAGGAGGCTGATGTGAGTTGATCTGCAAAACTCCGTAAGGAATAAGGCCCCAGTGATACACTTAGCACTGCCTACCATTCCGGGCATGCAGGAATACTTGAATGAGCTCCGCCCGATTAACCAACAGTTTGTCCAAAGAATGACATGGGAACTGTTCAACGTGCGTCCAGAAATGCTCCTTCAACTGCAGACGAAGATGTGAGGTCGAAACAGCGGGCATCATGTCCAAGTCTTCTGCGTCGACCTTCTCAATCCAGAACTCGACGCATGTGGCGTAATCCACGAGGTAGTATAAGCAGGAGTCGCTCTTGTCGTCCAACGCCAGAAAGAGTTCCGCAGAAGCCGGCACGCAGATCTGCGAGGTTTCGAGGCGGTTGTTGAACTCGTTGATCCAAAAGGTGATCTTGTCTTGAACATCGGACGAGTAGAGATAGTCCTCCGTGACGACGCGGGTTGTAGAATCAAAGACGAAGTAGCGCTGTCCTTCGGGACCGATCCACGAGGACCACCCCTTCGGCAAGCAGCGCAATCTGAGAACATGCTGCCAGTCAAATTCGCACACGACGTAGCAGCTGGCTATGACTCACCCTTCTTCCTGCGTGTCGTTGAGAAGGCCGGCAGCGATCTGCGTTTGCACCGGATCCACCCTATGGGAGTGCCATATATATAAACATCAGCGTGACACGAGAAAATGTGGTCACCAACCTGCTTCTCCTCTGGTAACGTGTGGTCAATACTGAAGTTGTAGGACGAAGACCCTTGGACAAGGAAACGTCCCATTCTGCAGGAGCTTCGCATTTGTTGGAAGAGTAGCTCATGATGGACTGAGGGATGACCGGAAGGAGGGGATGTTCTGCTTTTGTATGCAGCCTACATCCCTTTATATGCCTCTTGTGGCGGTGGCGGTGCAAATACAACAAAGACGATGAACGGCCCAAGCGCAGACCCCACAATCGCGACACAGCATCGCAGCAACAGCCCACTGCAATTTGGCTTATGGAGCACTCTTGAGTATAATACCTGCACAGCCCGGTTGAGCGTACTCCTGAGCCACTAGGGACTGGAGACCCCTATGAATTAGTGCCACTCGCCACAGAGGCTGCTTTGCCGCCACAGCTGTCCCTTGTGGGCCCCACCACAACTGAAAAAGCGCTCGGACCGGGAGATCCCTTATGTCCGTCTCCTTGCGCTTGCTACAAGATATCCGAGCACTTCAGCGATGGTACCTAAATTTAGGAAGCTACCTGGCAAGCGCGATGTGTCATAGCAATGAGATAATTCGGCCTAAAAATGCCTCAGTTCACGGTTCCTGAAGACACCTTAATCATTAAGACAGACAGTTGTATTCGGAATGCCCTTACGTAGCCTCTGGATATCCTGGATATCCTGGATCTCATCTCGATGGGGTCAAACGAGCACATCCTCAGAGTCACCAACTACAAGTATCCCACCTCAGTTATGATGAGTTCGGTAACATGTGTTGGAACTTGAGATTGTGGCGAGCACATGCCACCGTATTTGGCATTGTTTGTAGTACCTCGCAGACTTTGCGCGAGCCGTCCTGTACACGGCCAGAATATCCGTATAAACTGGGTTTAACCGCTGACAAGCTGCACGTCGGTCAAAGCGCTTTGCGCCCTGTGCAAACCACGACAGTTTATGCCTGGTGCAGCCACTTACACGCTTGCCCCGCGGGCAAATTCGTTCAACCCCCGTGCAAAGCAGATTTCTGCTCACGTGATACAAGCGCGGTCTCCCAGGGCCCCATTGACCATATTGTTGCGCGAGAACATACAGAGAATGGCTAGTCGCAGATGTGATTGCTTAATTATCTACATATACATTCAACTACTAAGATACCAGACTGTAGCCTTGTCCCCCAGTCCTGAACCTACAGCCCTGGACAGACTGTTATCTCCACGAGTAGTACCGTCCTATAGTCTTCCACACCAGTGTAGCAGCCTGATGTGCGCATTGTCAGGTGGGGGTTGTAGGGGAGCAGTAGTGAACAGAGATACTTAGCATATTGAAACAATACATATAGGCCTGTCAGATATACGGCCCTGGTATCACGGCCCCATCTACAATGTCATGCGCTTCAGTGGCCAGCCTGCAATTAGCAAACAGACATACTTACATTAATGAAACAATGGACTTTAATTGAGTGATGTCATAAGCTTCTAAGAGAAAGCAATACAAAAATAACAAGTAACTCACCAAACTCTGCAGATGGTTCAGAATGAAGCAGAAGGCAAGCTGGCATATGGATCTAAGGCAGAAAAAGTCAGAATAACAGGCTCCTGATCATAAGATCAGGGTAGTGGTACATTCACCAGGAGCACGGGGCTCAAAATACATGCAAGACGATATTGAGACATTTGAGACGTGGGTGGGCAAGATGAAAAACTTCTCAGATTTGTCGCGCGTGCCTTGTCGTGTCTGGTGCAAGTCACATGATATGCAGTGTTTGCCCGCGGGTTAAACTGCGATATGGGTAGCTGCCGGTCACCCGTGCATGCCAGCCATAGGTCAAATCGATAGATTTGCACGAGGGTCAAGCAATTTTGACCGGGGTGCAAACTTGACATTTGTCCCCCGGGCATCTGCAGGCCGTTCAAACGTAGGCTAAAGTATCTTCTGGCCGTGTACGTTCCTTACGCGTTTGACAGAGCTCAGACAAACGCGATATATCTTCGTTGATCGTTCTCGCTTCGGGTCTCGGATGAACTTTAACAACATGCTGTGTTTTGACTCTGCATGAGCCATACCTCGTGAATTGAGCGGGAGAGACCAATCTACGAGATCAAGCAGAACCAAATTAGAAGTGGAACACTGTACATGCAGGGTGTCCTGCTTCAAAGGCTAATACTTCGCCTTGTGTGCGACGCTCAATATTCACCCCTTATGATGTGGCTCTCCATTGGTCGATACTAGCAGGTAGCCATTAGCCACGACATGCTGTGAACAGCAAAACAACCCACAGCGTCAATTTAGGAAAGGCTCTCGCGTAGATCTATTCGTTGTTCGGCCCCAAGATCGAGAATGTCCACGACGCAAGAAGAACAACACTGAAAATTGTGAGGCAATAATTGTACGAGTTCTCCCTGAGTCCTTCACCGCTCTTAATCGAAATTGATGCAAGCTGATGCCCTTGTTGGATAAGTGACAGTGTTTGGGCACGCCATGTTGTCATCGAGGAAAATGTGTATGTCACTGGCGACTATACGACACGCAGACATACTCAGATTTTCGCTACTGGCTGCTATTCTCGCCAGGGTACACCGGCAAACACCGAGAGGCCCGGCGTTCTAACTTAAATTCGAGCACGGCGGAGCCGGTACATAGCTCGATTATATTTCTTTCTATTGAAGAACAATTCCTCGGGTTTAGACTCCATACAACGTAGGTACAAGTAGAGTGTAACCGAGCCACGAATGGCTCCTAGTAGCGGGCTCCGCGCCCTCGTACGGAAGCGCACTGTGACGTGCGGATCGCTCGGTGTCATTGTCCTACAGGTTTCGGGCGGACAGAAAGGGACGCCTCGCGAAGAGTAGCGGGCGTCCAGTCCTCGCGCCGCGCCGCGCGTCAGTTTCCCGACAGCGAGGTGTAAGTAAAGGAGGACGAGGGGGGTCAGTGACGTCCCCCCGGGTCCCAGAACCCATGGCGGACGCGCCTAGGCATCGGGATGTGCAGAGCAGCGCCGTCCATGTCACGCTCGTCTCACAGAATGAGGAGATTCTCGGTGCGCGCTTCCACATCGCACCATGCAGTAAGATCCGCGAAGTCCGTGCTCTGAGAAGAGGTGAATTCCGGAACCTGGCCACGGGCTTGGTGAAATCGCCGCCACCGGAAGACGCGCTCAAACGTGTGCGCGAGGAGGCGGGCATTGGCCCGCGAGTGGGGCCGCCCTTGCTCGCGATCAGCAAGGGCTTCAGCCAGGATCTCCGCCCACCCGAAGGTGGATACCATCGGGTTCAGCCGCAAGAACTCGAGGACGTCGTCTGCGGACCAGCCGCCCTGCTCGCGCATCTGGAGGGTGCGAGCATCGTGCGGGGGGAGGGGGGAGGGGGGGGTGGGGGGTGGGGGTTGGTGGCGACGGATCCGCGGTTCTGGTCCGGATCCAATAAGGACATATAAACAGGATGTGAGAGCGGGCTCGATTATATTTCGCAGTCGTTCCCCGAAAACAAGAGTACATTACAAGATCTTCATGAGGTACAGAGGTCGTTAAGGGCTGACCGGACTATGGCACACCTCAGCCTGTAAGTGACAATTGAATGAAGTCCAGACTTTCAGCAGAAAGAGCAGCGGAGTACCATGTTATTCTGGCAACTCAACTAGAGAATTGTCGAGTCAATAATCAGCGCGAAAGTATTGTCGAAACAACATACGTCTGGGCATTGAAGATGCAATGTCTTGCCTTTTCTTAGCTTCGTTATATGATTTACGATGCATTCCATCTCTTCCCTGATGTGGCATGAGCGTGCTGGCAGCATTTGAGACATATAGCTACACACTCACGTAACGTGCATCAGGAGCTCCTGATGTGTCATATACGGGTTCCTCCCTGCTCGCATGTAGCATCTATGTAACCTAGACAGGGTTAGACAGGGAACCAAAACACGTACCGAGTACGTTCGTAAATGCCTGCAATGTGGTGTCATCAACTTGCACAAGACACAACCAATCCAAGGCAGATGTAATTACAGTCATGAACAATCCGCCGTTTCTATTGCCAAGTGCCAGTTCCTCGTCTTCACAAGCAGCCCACAGCTCCTGCGCCAGGCTCAGAGCTGTTCTGAAAACTAGGTGAAAATGTCGTACCACGTCAGGTGGATGTGTGAAGCTCCTCTTGACGGGATGATATTCATTGTCATCTACATCGAGGCGCAATGAGTATCATACGATATATGACACCGTTGACAACGGCAAGGATTCACCTTGAGCATGAGCGCCATGGATGTGCACTATGACATCCTCAATCCAGCTGCGTGAAGCGAGGATGTATCTCTTTAGACGCACCACTCCTTTCCTTTAGACCATATTTAGTTTCCACTTTTCCAACAGTTGTCGACGAAGTTCTCTGTGCCGCATCAGGGGCAAGGGAGCCGAAACTATGATATGGTAGCTCTAGCATGAATATCAGAAATACGGCCCCTCAACGGCTGTGGTGGATATGAATCCGAGTCCTACCTGCCATGCTGGCGGAATGGCAACAGTCAAATATCATCTGTTGGAAGTGATTCACGTTAACCACTGCAGTACGAGAAACCGAGGAACTACTGCCTACCATGAAGTGCGCCCCTTTGGCTTGGACTGGTTCGACAAGCAGCTTGTGGATGATCTGTTCCAGCCTTCGTCTGAGGCACATACTGTTGCACTGTTTAATGGAAGCCTACGTCATCCGTGATATAGTTTCCGAACTGTGGCAGTTGTGCCGATCCTTGAACCTCAACATCACAAGGAAGGATAGCTGTCGATAATTATTCAATCATGTTGTACAACGGTGACAGCTCAGAAAAGTTGACTGAACCTTCATGAGGACTCAAATTCTCGGACATTGCAAACCGATAACCGTGACCTGAGACTGTAAAGCTGACCGTTACCTGACAGCCTGAGTCGTAGTACTTCCAACCTACAGTGGAAGACATAATGATCTCCCGCTTCTGCGTCAGCTACAAGCTTGCGCATCTCATTTTCCTGTACGCCATAAGAAACAAACAAATGTCTTATAGGTGTTTCTCGCACGATGTTTTTTCTCGTGGGCAATAATTCCGCGGGTCGTGTGTAATCATCAATCAGAATAGTGAAGTCGACCTCCAAGTAGTGGAAATGATCTATTGCTACGTAAACATCGTGGTTTTCGGTTATTGGTGCAGGTAATCACCTTTTAGTAAGGAACATATTTTGTGTGAATCTTGATGCGTTCCCGGGAGGTCAAGGCGATAGCCCTCGAGGTCCGGGTATTCAATCGACACACTCAGGACTTTGTGCTTTGTGCGAGGATTTGGTTCGTCCGTCCGGACAGGCATCTCGAGAGCGTGAGTGAGGAAGGTTGATGAGCTTCTGAGCACGTCCAACGGAGCTTTATGTGCGCCTGCGAGCGCCGTACGATAAGGAATGGCATAGCCTGTGGGAGACGGTACATGCAAACAAGCATGGATGGCGTCCGATGCAACAGCTTCTTTAGGCAATAAGTTGACCAAGCATTAAGGTTTCTCTGACCGGCTCCAATTGGCCTCAAAGGAGCGTTGTATCAAAAGATGATTGAACGGACCGGGGATCCCTCGTGGACACAGCCGTTGTCCCGACGTACACGTACATAAAGCCAATGAAACTACTGAATAGTAGTCACTGCACAGAGTCGGACAAGGGCTGCCATGGAAGCCTGGGTATTGCGACCACTCTAACTATAGAACAAAATCCGCGTCAGAACTTTAAATTACAATATGAATGAACCTTAACTATACCATTATTGAGCAAGAGCTTTGAAGAAGGCGACTGGATGACAAAGAGACCTTCAGTATGACGAGAAGTATTACGCTATGTTTGGACCGCTCACCTAATACAAGCGGCTTGCTTGTTTCCCATCATCAAAATCGTATATGGTCAGTGCCTTCCTGTTCATTGCACTATAGTGTCCGACATGGTCAAGATGCTTCTCAGTGTGAATCGTCCACAGGTGTAAGTACTGGCATCATATGCACGACGCAATCCTCTTTAGTAAGCGGGTCAGATAAGACGTCGTTGAACGGTGCTTTGAAATCGAGACATGTTCTTGCCGAGTACCGTACCAGCACGACAAGACATACAGGCGATATTGCACCCGACGGACCACAGTTCGCATGTGGTGTCTCCTAGGACGGCGAACGGAGCAAAAAAATGATAAGTGGTCGCTGATATCACTCTGGAATAGCTCTCACCTGGCCACGTCAGACATGTGTTCATCCCTAGCTCGCCAAGGCCCAAGAACTCGTCCATTCTCCGGCCGGGAACCTGCCAAACGTCGCCCACCAACATTACATGTCTCATGCAAGGTGTGACAGCGGAGGATCACAGGATACGCCGCTGGCGCCGCGTGCGTCCAATGCGATGACGCTACAGTCTGGCGATCGCACCTCATTGCCAGGACCAAGCAGTCGAGAAATCCAGCCAGGCGAGGCGCCAGTGTGGTTCGATGCGTGTCACTCCATGTACTGACCAGGTGCAATGATCGGAGCGTCGTCCCTTTTCATATAATTCCGCAGGAAGCCGGCGAGTTACGTGGCGTTCCGTGTTCAGTTCGGCCGCCATCGTACAACAGAAGTCGACATGGAAAACTCACTTGCACAAATATGGCTACAATAGCTATGGCGAAGGCATGGATACATCTATATTCAAGGACTTTTGGCGAACAATCCTGGATTCAAACCACACTGTCCTCCACCTTCGAGGTACCGCGGAACCCCGGCATCTGCCACGTAACACGACTCGCCTGCGAACACAGAGCCACCAGACACATGAACGCCACCACCGCGCTAACCGCATAGATGTTCGTCGCTGCCAGAAGCCACAGAAGTCCCTGGCATGAGAAGATTCCGAGCGCCCACAAGAGCGATGCTTTGGGTAGGCTGAAAGCCAGGGCGGTCCATTGGAAGCCGGAGCTCTCGCTGCGTGTGTCTGCAAGGTACTCTGCCTGGATGGTGGGAATGCGAATGAGCGGTGATTGAGATTAAGATTATGATCGGGCTTACTGCGTCTGCCGCGTGCCACTTGGTGGCCCGATGGTGCTTCGCAAGGTGCACGATTGCAGACACGAGGGCAATGTTGCACAGAAGCATGGACGCGAGGGCGACCATGCGGTTGGACCCCGGGACGAGAAGAGACAGCATATCAACACTGAGAGGAGGTCATCCGATCAGCGTTTGTGCGGAGATGCGAGCGGGCAAGAATTACTCACATCATCAGTCCAAATCCCTGCAGAAAAGACGGACCATGTCAGAATCTACCGCTGCATACATCTGTGGAATCATGCTAACCCAGTACGAGCACATGAGCCACTCTTCATGGATTGCCGTCATGGCGTCCCGCCAATGCTCTACGTAGACGAGGTTGTCGACGTAAAGCGAATCAAGCACTTGAAGGTGAGCATCGGGTATCTTGAAAAGCAGGCGTGACGCCATGCGGAATGGTATGCTTCTGCTGACTTTGGGTATATCGAGGATAGACTGGTCTCGGGATAGGCGAGCATGCTCCTCGCCATAGTGAATGGAGAATCTATGGTTGTCTGGATCTGGCGTCAGCACAATGTACAGATCGTAATAGCGTTGGGGTTGACTGACAGACCACAGACCACAAACGAGCTGTTAGATCAATTAGTTTAAGAGCGATCTTACATTCAAGTAAATACTTACCGATCAATGCTGTAGAATATGGACTTGTGATAGTACCTGCGCGTAGGATTAGACCTGATGAAAAGAGTAGCTCGTACGAATGGCTCACAAGGTGCACTGTTCAAGAGTTCAAGAAATTCGGTACATTGCTTTGCACTATATGGGAATGTCGAGTTCGCAGATGTCATTTGATCTGACGGGAATATGTAAGATCGCGCTCGAGCTTGCGTCCGTTCTTGCTTACCTGCTCTCGCATGCGAGAAGACATGCACAAGCTCGTCGCGCTCCAGAGAGATCTCCTTAGCATGATGCGACGGGAAATGCTCCACATGCGTCCAGAAATGCTCCTGGAGAGTCAGCCGCCTGTGCGACAGCGAGACAGCGGTCGGGATATCCAAATCATCGCTGTCGACCTCCTCGATCCAAAACTCTACCCGGCTCGCATAGTCCACGAGATAGTACCCGCACGAGTCGGACGATTCGTCCAGCTCCAGGAAGAGTTCTGAGGTGCCGGGAAGGCGAATTCCAGCCGAGAGGAGACGGGCGTTGAATTCGTCAATCCAGAATGCAACCTTGTTCTGAACCTCGGGCGAATAAAGGTACGCCTCTGTCACTACAGTGATTTCCGCATGGCACACGAAGTATGCTTGTCCCTCCGGATGCGTAAACGCCGACCATGCAAGAGGCAGGTACCGAGGCCTAGTCGAATAACCATCAATGGATGCGGAAAAGATACCCTTGGCAAGACGAACGCACTCTGCTTCATTAGCATAGCTACCAAAGCCAGCGGGAATGTTTACAAAGGACGGGTCGACCCTGCCCATTTGGTCAACCATGTAGGCATGCTCCCAGCTGCTGAATTTCATATACTGACCTGCTTGTCCGTTCGTAGCGTGTGGTCCGCACGGATGTTGTCGGCTTGAATATCTTAGAGGCACCATCGGTGCATTCAATGGTAGCAAATGCGTCAGAGGAAGAGAATTTAAAGCCCATGTGTGAATGTAGCTAGAGAGAATAGCTGAGCTGAGGTCTGAGAACGGTGAGCTATGGAGCATGTGAGGAACCTGTATATAAGGCTGACAGGGTGTCTCAATCGAGATGTAGAGAATAAAGGAAGTGGGAATCTATTACCTATCAAAATGTTACGGCTTCCAGCCAACTGTGACCGATGAACACCGCATTGCACAGCATATGTAGGAACCGCCGTGCGGCCTTGGAGCATAAGCGTCCGTGGCAGTATTCCATAACTACGCCGCTGCCCGGCTCTCAAGGATCCGACCTGGACGGCCGATGTCTGTCGAGTTGAGTCGAGCCCGCTGTCGAGCCTTGCTGGACGGCGTTGATATTCGTCACGGTGAGCTCGATTGCTTTCGGCGCTTCCGGACGTGTGGTTCCGGGCCGGCCATGTCCTATTAGGGTCTTTGTCCTCTCTGAGGCGATACCGACATTACATTTGTTAATTACCCCATTGGCATGAATGCAATGCCGCACGCAGTTGCGGTGCCTGTGCTACTCATTACTTTAGCGATAAGGATACATGTTCTTCGAATTGTGGGCGATGCCAGTTTGTTCGATCCTAGGAAGAATGCTCACAGCCAACTCTCACCTTCGAAATAACTCTGCTTGATTTTTTCCCCACATCGACCAGCACAGCACGGACCGAGGGCTATCTGGATACATACAAACGCAAAATGTGCCGCCCAGCCCCACCTGGGTGGCCCCGGATCCTCCCCGATAGTACTCCAGTCACGGCGTCTCACTATCAAGACGCTCTCTAAGCAGAGTTCGCGAGCCTTTTGGCACCGTATAATTACTCTGTCGTCGTTACTCCACGGTCCAAGCCTTACCCAGCCCCCATTTACGCCGCTGGAGTGCTGTCTGGAGCCTAGGAACATGGAGGACACCAAGCATTCTGACGACAGGTTCGTGCCATGCTCGTCCACCTCTGAATTCTCTGGTGACGCTCCTTACTCCAGTCATCCCGAGCGGCCACTCGCGCCCTCCGATGCGAGTGACGCACGAGCAGAAGACACGACCGCTACGCAAGCACCCGAACAGTGGAAGTCAGTGGCGGCTGAGGGCACCCCAGCACTGACCTCTGACATACACGGAACTCCAAGGTGTGTCAGCATGCTCCGCCCACATCTCATTTACATTCGCCCTCTAACCTTCATAGTTCCGAGCGCGCAGCGGAAGCGAGGTACGTAGCAAATCTGTCTGCTTCCATGGAGTCGTGCGTACGTGCTGACACCACGCGCAGCGCCGACGATGACGAAGATCTCGATTACGATGAATTCAGGCCTCGAGGGCCTGTGCAGCACACCGTGAAGGCGAACACGAAGGGTGGAACGAAACGATGAGCAGGATTAGGAATCTATCTATCTATCAGTCTGGGAGGTTTGTGGAAATGACTATACCCTGAGACACATTTGCCTACCGTCGTGCGACCGATCAGTCCTCACACATAGTGCCATATTACCACATGTTCGCTTCCATGAGGTTCGCGGATATCTAAGTGAGGGCTCTGCACCCACGCCTTGAGTAGTCTGAGCGACATGAGAGAAGGAAGCGCAGTGCTGTAACGTACAGTGCGCGTAAAATTACAGCAGGCTGTGGAGATTCGGGCAAGTCAACCCGCATATTTTGGACCTCGTTCGATAGCGGTGGATGTATATGTGACCGACAATGAACAAGAGATATAAGGGACACCTCGGGCTCGCCGCATTTGGTCGCCGCACGGCTACACAACGTCATGCAGGGACAGTACATAGCTTACCGAGGTCACCATTCGCACGCCAACATGAGTGTCATGCAACCCGCATTTGACCGCCTGTGGAAGGACATGACATCGGTGACAACGCGTTCCGTGGGCTATGATGCGTCGCGATCCCTACTACACGGTTACAGTGTCTTCCGTGACGATGGAGAACAAAACAACTGTCAGACAAAGGTAGATGCACAACTCGATTGATTGTGCGCCTAACATGGGCAAACCACTAGCATACCCAACTACAGCAGCTAACCGCGATACATACGATGTTACATTCCCATAAATATCAGTACACAACAGTCTTCACAGCATGAGAACCGAGAGCAGTGCAAAGAGCTACGGCAGGCTAAACCCCATTTCCTCAACCTGCGGTGTTGCGACGTGTTGTCGACGGAAAAGCCAAGCTTTTGGCCAGAGTCCCTTTTCCGACATCGTGGCATAGAATGTATCCCAATGAGAGAGGATCCATTCTCGAATAGACGTCTCGCCACCCTCCCATGACGTGTAGATGCACCAAGCAATCAGGATACCGACCAAGCCCCAGCTAACGCCGCTGACAATGATGGACGGCTTGTCGGCTGTCTCGAAACACTCGAAAGCGAATGCGATGAGGAACGTCACCATCCTGTGAATGATACGTCAGGTAAACCGGACAGGCGCAGCACAAATGCGTACTCACCCCCACATGAGGAGAGCATATGGCAAGCTGTACATAATCGCTAATGTCTCCAGACCGAGTGTGGGATGCCGCCGGCTAGCTAGGTAATTGAGCTGTGTGCAAAGTGTGAGGAAACGCGCAGCGCCCGCAGGACACTCACGTACCGCATCCTGCGCCGTGTCCTTCGGCTTGAGGCGGTATTGCCGAATCAGCAACAGCCCAATGACTGTGCTTCCGATACTAGCAATGGTGGACACGAAACTCGCAATCTGCGCGGCTGTCCGTGGTCCGCTACCGGGATCCACATCGTTAATCGTCATGAAAGAAATGTTTGCATTGAGCAAAACCGTGGCCTTAAAGATATTATGAAAAACTGATGCATGACCGAGCTGAGCACGAACTCACGAAGAGAACATATTCCTGCCAGTCAGTTTGCAGCTTGGACATGAAGTGGCTCCAGGGTATGATCGTGATAATATTATCGATCCAAATTTTCTCCAGCGCCTTTAGGTGCACATCCGGCGCATTGAAAAGTAGCGGGGCTAAGACGGTAATCAATAGTGTCCGGTGCTCATCCCCTTTGTCAAAAACACTCTGATCACGGGATAGGCGAGCGGCCTTCTGTCCATGGTAGTGCAGGAATCGCTGGTGCGCTAAAGGTAGCGTGGATATGCGGTTTTTAGGAAGTGACATGGCTGTACGCACCGAAAATGTGCATAAAGCGACCTGTGAATGATGTTTAGTATTCCACGCAGCGAAACCACTCAAACTTAAACTTAAATGACCCACCGATCACACAAGCGGTGTGCTGGTTGCTTCCGAGTTCTGAACGCTGATTCAGTTTCATGACGCCAGGCCACACCGCACAACCACACACCCTTGGCGTTCTTGACTATGGTCATCATCTTGTGAAGTTCATCAGCGTGGTAAGGGATCGTGGAAGTCGTGGACGTCAGCTGGTCTACTCGGGGCTCAGCATTTCGGAGCTTCCAAGTGGTGAGAAAAGCGTGCATACCCGCAGTGGAATGTACTATAATGCTTAGTAACTCGTTGACGAGTGCTTTCGAGGGATCGTGTTTATACGGGAACATGTCCCAGTGGAGCCTTGAACACAATCAGTAACCAAAATATCGAGTCACTGCATAACCACACATAAGCATGCGAACAGCATGCAGCACCAAAACACGCACATCAGGTTGGAAACCCGTACCAGTACATCTCTTCAATTCCGTGCTCTGGCTATGCGATCAGTAATCATCTCGGATTCCATGCCAGTCGCCGAAGGTATAGACGCACTGATGTGTGATGCAGTATTCAGGCCCTGCAGTTCGTCCCAAGGGGTCTCGTCGTATATCTCAAACTCTTGCAACCAGAACAATGTGCGGGTATCATTGTCCACGAAGTAGTAACACCAGTGATATTTAGTCGGTATATGTGGCCTGTCATTATCTTCCAGTTCCAACACGAGCTCCATGTTGGGGCCCATCTGGAACCCAAGACCATGTGCCATGTATTCCAGATTAGCTATAAAGTCGTCAATTTCGGTCATGATTTCCGGCTCCATAATGTATGCGTCGGTATAGATGCGCTGCATGACCAGTTCAAGGCGCATGATACATGGAAACGAGTTTCAAGCGTACTTTCTCTTCATGATAGAAATAACAGGCACCCTCTGGGTGTGTCAGCGCTGTCCATCCAGCTGGGACGTCATCGCTTCGTAACCATAAGTGAAGCTGGCAACATTTATAGCGAGTCACTCACTGTGGGTATAACAGTTGAAGAGGCTTCACTACGTAATTTGACTCTAAGTCGTCTCTGGCACATGAAATGAGGACAAGTCATGTCATGATTAGGTCTAGACATACATTTTTTGCCCTTTGAGATATCGCTTAATTTGCAGAATCGCATACATCTTCTGGGATCTTGCTGGCTCCAGAGGAACATGAATGGGTATGTTCCCTGCCGGAAGTGCCTGGTTCAGTGCGCTGAGCGCGGGTGACTTATGTTCGGGCGGAAACGACGCAATCGACAAACGGGATCCGCGATGCGAGCCTGCAAGCGAGTCGCGTGCTCGAGACCTGGCGCGCGACTTGGAGCGCGCAAGAGCCCGGCTGCTCGTTGGCCCCGACACGTCTCTCAACACCCCTCGATCTCTCCGACGCGGCGAAGAGGTCCGAGAAGACGGTCTGGACGACAGCGCCAGATGATCGTAGCGAGTATCGCGATGGTGGATTCCGTGATCACTCAGCGTCGCGAGACCGATGTCGATAGAAGACTGCGATGCGTTCTGCACAGAGATTGAGTACGGCTCGCCATCGAAGCCAACAGAATCTGGGTATGCAGCAGAGACTGGTCGGGATGCTGGCCGGCTTGGAATATCCCTTGTGCTGAGCAGTCGGGGAGAGTTGCCATTGTGTTCAATGTGAAGACCAAGATGTGAATTGACTGGCTCTTTGCTGCAATATATCACTGCACGTTCAATCTCTGAGCCATTCCCCGCCTCTACAACTCCAGAACGAACGTCTTCGTCGACGCGAGTGTCTCGATCGACCTGTTTGCGATTGTCTGGTCTGGTCTTGCCATAGTTCCCCCAACCTAATCGACGAATGTAGCGTTTGACGAAGAGCCATAGCCACAGCAAGCGTTCGCGTGTGGCGCGAATAGCACCGCTCGGCGAAGATAACAGAAGCCGAAATAGTTGCCAGACCAATGGAAGGCGATGTGTCGATGGCATAGCCTTGAGAAGGCGTGGTAGTTCACAAAGCAAGAGGGTTCAATACAAAGATGGTTAAGACGACTATTAGTACAGGAGGCAGTACATGTCCATGGGTGAGTGTGGGCAGACCATGGTAGCGTCAGCTGCATGCCGGTGATAGTCGAAGGACAAGCTCGACGCAAACATTGGGTAAACAGCGGCCTCTTTCAGATTGCTGTGTATCGCATATTCAAAACCTTCTGTCGTGTCAATGAATGAATCCGCATGTTGTTCTCACCGTTAATTCACAAATCGCAGGTAGTAGCTCAAGAACTGAGGTTATGTGAAGAGCAGACTGAAATAACCATTACGGGCCGTAATAAATGATCCCCGCGCTATCGCGCTCGTATACTGCACGACCGTACTTACGGGATCACCCTCATGAGCTAAATGGGTACACGCTCGCACTGGTTTAAAAGATTCCGATTGCATTCGCCCTCACACCCACATACACCGATTGTGAAGAGCTGCACACAAACCCTAAATAAGTTCAAACGTGGGCCGTTACAAATACCCTGAGCGGGGAATTTCCCAAGAGAACATACAACGATCTTGTGTTCCCCGCACTAAGCACCACCTCTACGGACTGCCTTGGGAGCCCATGCCTGCGGTTCGTCTGACGTATGCGATGCTTTCTTCCATGGATCTTCTGTGTGTGAATGTGTTTCTGGTCTACCTCGAGGGCTGCCACCCTCGGCTCTTGCAGGGCGTAATGGCGGCTCTTGGATCGTGGTATCCCTCTGCAAAGAAACGCTAGCATTTGGTGCAGACACCTGATGGACCGGTGTGTCTTGAGCAGCAGCGATCTGCTGAAGACGCTCTTCACGGTCACGCGCTTCAATCAAGGCAGCATTCATTTGAACACGCCGTTGCCGCTCCAGGTCAGCCTGCAGCTCCTGTATATGAAACGGCGCTATTAGAGCGAACAGATTGCACGGATCTTGGCAGCGTGTATCATGATCGTACCTCCAGCACAGGTGGATGGGGACGAGTATGCGTCAACCAAGCAGCCCATTGTACTAGTTAGCGACCATGCTATGTCAGGGCCAAGGGGTGCAACAGAGTTTAATGAAGACACGCCTGCCAGTTGTTTTTGCATGGACGCATAGTCCCATACATGTTCTGCATGTTTGTACTTCACAACACGCTTCGTTCTTCTTGGATCTGCCGGTGGTTGACAGCTAGATGAACCCTCTACACATGCATTGCGGAACTCGGGTGCGTACCATCGGAGACGCTAGGGTACTCGTAGAAACGGTTACCTGGAGGACTCTGGTTAGCTCGAGCTCGCGGACCAGAGTACCACATAGGGCGCACCTTCTAGGTCTCGGCCAACGAGATATGTCTGCAGATAGCACTCTCAGTCAAGATCTTGTCTCTCTGCATGTCATGACAGAGTGAATGCATACAGGCCTCGCAAATCTTTGCCAGAGCTGGCGAAGTAGGGACATAGCAGGCTCACAGTGAGTTTAGTGTTGTCATTGTAGCAATTAACGAACGAGCAATTATGACGTTCGTCATCGAGAATTTTGCGGATAAGTCCTCGCTATTTCCAGATCTGCTAAAATATGGGCTTACCCGAAAGGCTACAATACACGGTGGCGCTACATAAGTCGTAAGAAGTAGTACTGAGCACACAGTCCGAAGTGAATGTCCCAAACTCCGCTCATGTTTACTATAGGGAGGAAGGTAAATGGAGATGCATGAGGGTCTATGAACGCCCATGCTGCTGACGACGCTGTGACAATTATTCTTCCGGTCACAGTACACTATACCTTGCTCGCGAAAACAAACTTCCAAACGGAGGAAAGCAAGGCTGACAGAACTGGGAACAGCAGGAACAATTCAGCGTTTGACGCGCTTGATATCTCCACCTCCGCCTAGCTCGAGAGCGGCAAGAGGCTCTCGCCTTTGGCCGCCCTGGCCTCCTTGTCCAGACCATCCACCTCCGGAATGAGGTGCTAGGCCCATGCCTTGCACGGATCTTCTACTCGCAGGATTAGGTTGCCCTCTGCACGCGAGCTTGTTGAGACTCGTACAAAGAGAATATTCTAGAGGAGCGGAACTTACTGCATAGCATCGGCATTCCGCTTCAGGCCGATGCCGCTGCCACTTCCCTGGCCCGAATGACGTGCGGGCGCAGTTGGAGCGCCATTTGAGCGTGGACTCTGTGGGTTATAGCACGTTCTGAGTGCGAAGATTTCATACAGTAGACGGAGCAGGTACTCACAACCCCTGGTGGAAAATTAAATCCGCCCAAGGACGGAGTCGGCGCGCGGCTACCACCGTATCCACTCGTCGTAGACGATGACCCAGAGGAGCCTACCGATGCATTTTTTGTCGTGGCACTCTGATTTCCGTTTGACGTCGAGCTCTGTAGTCTACTGACGGTATTTTGCGCATTGAAATTTGAACGCTGAGGCCGTGCCTGCGGCTGAGGCAGAGGGGCTTCGGGAGGAGGCATGTGCTGCTGTTGATGTTGAGGATGCGACTGGGCGTCTTCATTTCTGCTGCCAGTGCTCAAGTCTGACGCCACGGCTCCTTCATCGATCGGCCCGCCAATACCATCCTCTCCGAGGTCTACTTCCGCGAGGAAAGCGTCATCCTCTGAATTAAAGTGAAACGATTCATCGTCCGGAATATCCACCTCTTCTGGTGGCTGAGCAACCGAGGGCCGTGAGGGACCCGCAGTAGGCGCCGCGACGTCGGGAGGAACAGAAGTGCACGCAGCTGGCGGTGGCGCAAAACTGACTTTGCGATCCGTCGGAGGTGGCTGTGCGCCGGCGTTCTGATGCCGCTGTGGGGCGGCACGCTGTCCCGCAGAGAATCGGGTACCGTGGGTGACATCAGGTGTACGCACCGGCGTGTTGAGTCCAGTTTGGCCGGCGCCCATAGGCGCCTTTCCTTTGGCACTGGGCGTCGATGCGGTAGGATCCGAGACGGTGCGTATATGCGGAGGCACTGCAGAAAGGACTTGTGCCTGTGGGGCTGGATTTGTCGTAGCGTTCATGATGTCATTCAGACGTGATGAATGTTCAAGTTTAACGGCCGAAGTCGAAGGCTTGCTCGGGGTATCTGCGTTCATGTGCTTTTCGTCAAACTCCGGCCGACGATGAAGCTCGCTCTTGTCAAATTTGGGCTGTGTATTTGTTTTCAGGAATGCGCCACATAGAATGTAAAATGATTACATACAGGAGGAACTTTGATTTTAATGACTTCTTGTGCATAAGACTTGTCATATAGACAGTTTCCTAGCAGATTGCCAAAATTACGCAGAGCGCGCTTGACCGCGTCGGTAACAGCTTCTTTCTTGCACTATACATGGACGTTACGACATATTTGAATTTGCTATGCGGGGTCGTTCGGCAGCAGACATACCTTGTCAAGAGCAGCACCCTTACTCTTGGAGTTCTCCAGCAACCCGTAGCCAACATCTTCGTGGTAGGCGCCGTCTCTCAGAGTTATCCTGACAATAGCTGAAACTCCGACGGAGAATCGTTTGGTTTCTTCATTGAGGTCAATATAGTCTACCGCCAGGGTTACTACACTTGAGCTCCAGCCATTAAATCCAAATCTAGGATGTTCCCTCAGCATCCAAATAGTTCACACTGACAAACGTGGACTAACACTTCATTCGCCAAATTGATGATCTTCCACCCTAGCAGACGTTAGACATGTGGGACCAATAAGGGGACAATAGTACCTTCAGCATAGGTAAGCTTTGGACCACCACCTGGACCTGGTCTCTGCGAGATATATTCGGGGCCCAGCTTCTTGTTGAGCTTCGCTTGTAGTGTGGCAATCCGTTTTGCTGTTTCCTCAGATAGATCCATAAAAGAAGGTTCCTGGAGGAATGAAGAGTTTGAGAGGAGAGTGCCATGCATACTTGGAGCAAATGACATTGGACCGTTGATAGTAATGTTGGGCGAGTCCGGCGTTGACTGGCCAAATGGTCCTCGTGCGGCTCGCTGGGCAGATAGGAACGTGTCAACAAGATGTCCACTGAAAGAACCCGCCATCCAGCGGATTATCCAAGAGTCCCAAGCCACGAGCGCGTTAGCACAACTGATTGTATGCGCTGATCAGGAATTCCTGTTGATCAAGATGCAAGAAAGTATGCAAGTCGTCGCGTCGCGTCGTCGCGACTGTGGCGCTTTATTCACGTGCTCGACGTGGTGGAATCCCGTGACTTCTCTATATGGAAAGAACAGAGAGCATAACTGGTCGGCGCCGGCGACGACGACCTCGGGCAATGCTTCGTTCTGCTGATAGGATTGCCTTCTTGTAGATCCGGAACCTAGCGTCACGCTCTATACATAGTCTCCTCCACGTTGTAGAATGTCGCGACCAGCAACCTCGCGACCTCCGCCAACCGCGGCCCCAGGTGGTCGACGTCAACGACCTCCTCGCGCCCTTTCTACATCGGCACCGAGGGCTGTTACACGACGTCCTTCAGTGTCCGGCTTAACACTCACTGGCACCGTCAACCCTGTATCTGGTGCACCTAAAGCGCAGCGCTCGTCTAAGACCGCCCACAAACTTGTTCTTCTACCGTCTGCTCCGCAGACTAAACCACTCCCCCCCGATGATGATGAAGAGGTGCTGCATGGATATGAGACTGACCACGGGGTGCGCGATCAAAAGAGCGCGGGCGAACGCATGAGTAAGGAGCAACGAGAGAAAGCAGGGTTCAAGCGGATCACTGCATATTGTGTTGCGGACGGCTTCAAGATGAAGCTTCTTGCGAGCTTTCTGAAGCGCGAGCATAATGTTCAGCCTCGAGTATTTGACGAGGCCATGTACGTCGTGAGTCTTATCACCTGTATACTTGTGCGTTAGGCTCAGGGTTGTGGAAGGTCTACCACCTCCCGCTCCTTCCTGGGTACGGACCACACTCCAATATCCGCTCTTCAGCGCCCCCTTCCTCGCCAACCGAAGAGAATCCATTGTATGGCTTGTCTGAAGCAGAAGATAATGGATACCAAGGCATGTATTTTGATTCAGCGGCCACAGATTCCGAAGCAGCTCCGCAACAAACTGGTTTCATTCCATCGACCTCGCCCATTACGACGGCAACTGAACAACCATCCGAACCTCTGGTCAGCCCGCCGTTACCGCAGGACCAACCAGGCGAGGTACAGCAATACGGCTCAGGACGCGCGACAAGGAAGAAGAAGAAAGCAATGCATCGCTTGGAAGCAGATATATTAGATGTATCGCGCCCCAATGACTACGCGGAGGCGATCTTCTTCGCATATGGGGTGATCGTGTTCTTCGGACTCACAGAGCAGCAGGAGCGTGGCATCGTGGAAGATGCAGAAGGTGCCGGTATCTTGCGCCGTAAATTCGTGGAGGGTGACTGGGAGGTCGAGGAATGTCATTACGCGGTATGTGGATTGTCGCCAATCTTGCATGACTCTTGACGCTGATCGGCTTATCAGCACGACCCTGACATCGCGTATCCGCGCATATACAATGACTTCTTCAGTAGGACATAGCTATACCCACTTTGTCACGCACTAAATCTCCTCCTAGCATTCAAGTCCCATTCGCATCTCCTCAAACTTTCCGTTGCACACGCGCTCGCACAATCCACTCTGCTCGCACATTACGAGACGCACGCACACCGCATTCTGTCATCGAAGGACACGACCTCCATCCCGCAGCAGCTTGCATCGACGGGTGCACTTGCACTATCGCGTAAGGATGCTCTCAGGCTTACAGGACGTCTCTTCACACTGCGTCGCGACGTGAACCTCGTGAGCAATGTGCTGGACGTGCCTGAGCTGTTTTGGAGTGAAGCGAGCCTGAAGGCCCTGTACGACGCCGTGCGGGAGTACATGGAAATTGGGCCCCGGGTGCAAGTGTTGAACGAGAAGCTCGCCGTGGCGGAAGACCTAGTGCGCTTTTTGTTGCTCGGTGTATGGTGCTATTGATTTACCGGTTTGGCTGACGTTTAGCTTGGTGCGATCCACGATCACCTTAACAACAATGCGATGGAGCGCATCACCTGGATCATAATCTGGTTAGCTGCTTCCTTCTACACCTGGCCTCATCGAGCTGAAATCTCCTCCTTAGGTTGATCGTTGTGGCCTGTGTAGTGGAGATGGTGAGTTTCTTGCACACATGGATCGATATCGCAGCGCTCATCTTGCATGCCTATTCCCTTTTTTTTTATAGGGAGAAGTTGTCGCACGGCTGGTCGTACATGCGACGACAGGATCCGGGGGCGAGGCAGCTGTGGTTGCTGCGTGCGCAGACCCTTCTGCAGCCCTGCGTGCCCTATCTCAAGAGGAGGCACTTGCGATCCTCAATCGCATTGCCGAGACAGGGTCCTTCTAATCCACATCCTCGCGACCACGTATGGACAAATGGCTCATAATGGACCGCATTACCGCAAAATTGTTTGCTTGCATTACGAGGATTCGGAAATTAGTATCGTATGTAAATTAGCTAATGCACGTGCAAGTCGATGGAACAAATAAAAACGTCGCTCGATTATGCTCTTGGATAGTTTGCCGGCGATCTCACTCTGGTCATGTCTAGGAGCCAAGCTGGGGCATGGCTGAGGCGATGAGTCATGTCGTAGCTCTAGAACCCATAATTATACTTACACCAGCAGGGTGTGGGTTCGACACAGCAGTTGAAGGGCCTTTTGGGAAGGGCGTTGACACAACCATGGTATCGATCGTCCGCATGCAGAAGCCCATGGCAACGGAACCTAGTATTGACCGGCCATGAGACAGCACCATGAAGGTTGCAACTTACTCATAGGACTCCAGGTTTCAGAGCAATAACGCACCCAAATCTGACATGGCCGAGCCGATGGATCCTGGTCCATCAGTTGACATACAGAGGCTGTGCTGCTAAAACGCTGAAGGCGCAGAGCAGATGCGTGATATCGATCGGCCCAAGCGTTGAACGTTAACGTTGAACCTGGATATAGGCTACCAAAGACGGACAGCCATGACAGCACTTAGACGGACTATGCGAGTCTTGTGTATAGGAGACAGTATCAGGCTACTTGGTCGCGGATAGCCCCGAGGATTTCGGCGGGAGAACATGTTCAGCGGAACAGGGGCGTGGCAGTCATCACGGACACGGTTGGGAGATGGTTACCAGCTGCCCGCTGCAGCTGTCAAATCTTGACCAGGTGAAATTCATGACAGATGCTCGTTGCACGACCCCACGATGCCAGATAACTGCAGACAGAGTGTCGAATAGCCTCTCTGCAGTTCCCATCCTATCGTACAGATGCAGCACTTCTATTTTGCCAGGAACTGAGAAGAGAGGTCAGAGGGTTCTTTGGCTGTAGAGCTCACAGGACCACCAGATACAAACGGGCCAACTTGACTTTCAAGACACAGGTGTATTCTGAACGCATGGCTTACAAAGCCTGTTCAAATAAGTCTATGGGAGTGTTGGCCCGAGGACAGGTGCAACATGCACTGTCGATTACAATAGCTGTCAGAGTTATTTTAGCATCATAGATGCAATGCAGTGAAGAGTACGTGGACATCCGCAGATGCAAGTGTACACTGCACGTCGTGCTTGTTATAGTGACACCAAGTGCAATTATCATATCTTCTGGATTCTGAGAATAGAGGTGCAAGAAGGATAGAAGCGGGAAGATGAGACGATGCACGTACTAGAACGCTAACGCCAAAATCCGGTCATATAAACCCAATCTTGCATGGTGGCTCTGCGGTATCAGAAACAGGAAAACACAAGCGCGAGGCGTCGTTCTCGTCAGGAAACCAGCAACACCGCGATAGCCCGTGAAACACGTTTGGATATTTGCTTGTGTCGCAACTATCCGGGTCAGCTGCCATGTTAGAAAGGAGATCGACATTAACATTCGGGCATGATGATGCACAGTTACCCGAGCGAGTCGCAATGAGGCCATGCATTTGAGACGGGCTCGATGTTACGCTGTAGGCGTACAGTGCTGTCAAAATCAATCAACAAGGACGCCAAAGAGCGACAGGAGCTCAACCGGGTCTGTGGTCTCGTGTAATCCACACCCACATCGGCGATGACTGCAATCAGGTTTTTACTCACCGACCCGGGTCAAACTCCAACGGTGGTGGGAGTAGAACCCGTATGCCTTGTGGCTGTCACTCTGCAACAGCCAAGGCGCGTTCGAGTCTCGCATATCAGCGCCTGCACGCGCAAGGATCATCAGAGGCCGATTGGCGCTGTCTGCCCCACCGAAATGCGGTGGGACTGGCGAGGCGAAATGGTTTCAGATGTTAGCTGAATGTAAGTACGCGGGGTGAATATGCAGATCATTGCGTAAGAAACAAAACAAAGGAAAGTGTCAGCGCTGGCGGTTACTAGAAAAGCCGTTGCTGGGCAACACAATGGTCGTATCCAAACAACAAGCAGTGCTCTATATAGTCCCTCAGCCACTAGGCCCGCTCATCTTCCCTATTCCCCTCACGACTCATCAGTTCCGCCATCATGCCCGAGCAAGCCCAACCTGCAGCTGCGAAGTCGAAGCATAGTCATGCGGCGTCGCAGGCGCAGCCCGCACCGCGCAAGGTCCGCTTCAACGTCGGTGAGTTCGACGGCTTTGTTAGGCTTGTGGAATCATCCTCAACTTGCAACTTCAGGATCGCAATATCAGGTCCTAGATGTCGTCGGCGAGGGGGCATACGGTATCGTCTGCTCTGCAGTACACCGACCTAGTGGGCGTAAGGTCGCCATCAAGAAGATCGCGCCGTTCGACCACTCGATGTTTTGCTTGCGGACGCTGAGAGAGCTGAAGCTGTTGAAGTTCTTGAGTGAGGCGGGGGTCAGCGAAAATGTGAGTGCATGACCTTCCTTTGCTGGGAAACGCTTCTTGTCGAGTCTGTTTGCTCCATTGGGAGTAAACCCCATAAGTGCCTGCACAATCTTCCATTGCAGGCACGGCTCGATGCCTGACTCTGGTCTCTCGCCTTGTGGGCGAGGCCCATAGCTGCGCTATGCAACGTAGATTTCACCTTGTACACTGTTTCACTACTAGGGCAACCCGTCCTCTGAGTGGCCTGCTCGATGGCAGTTCCCATGCATCTGGGCAAGCCTTTCAAGTATGGCTGAAATGTGGCAGCCCTTTCACACCTTCAGTCCAAGGCCGCTGGAGGTATCTGGTATCTGGGGCAACCTGTTCCCCATGCAATCAGGAAGCTGCACGTTCGCGCTGTTCCTATATGTTGCCATCCAGTGCAGTGCTCCTGACAGCCCCTTCTCGATATCTCTTGTGGGCTGCGCTGACCGCGAGATCCAGATCATCTCAATCCTAGACATCATCAAGCCACCATCGATAGATCAGTTTAAGGAAGTGTATTGTAGGCATATAGCCCTTTGTTCTTACCAATGGCAACTCATCGCGTTGCGCAGTGATCCAAGAACTCATGGAAACCGACATGCACCGCGTCATCCGTACGCAGGACCTCTCCGACGACCACGCTCAATACTTCATCTACCAAACCCTCCGAGCGCTCAAGGCGCTACATTCCGCCGACGTCATTCACCGTGACCTCAAACCGTCTAACCTGCTGTTGAATGCGAACTGCGACCTCAAGGTGTGCGACTTCGGGCTGGCCCGCTCCGTGAAGACCGCGGAACCCTCGGGCACGGAAACGGGCTTCATGACCGAATACGTCGCTACACGGTGGTACCGCGCGCCCGAGATCATGCTCACGTTCAAGCAGTACACCAAGGCGATCGACATTTGGTCTGTCGGCTGCATCCTCGCGGAGATGCTGTCGGGCAAGCCGCTTTTCCCGGGGCGCGACTACCACCACCAGCTAACACTCATCCTCGACGTCCTCGGCACGCCGACGCTCGACGAGTTCTATGCGATCACGACCCGCCGCTCGCGCGACTACATCCGCGCTTTGCCCTTCCGCAAGCGCAAGCCATTCGCGCAGCTTTTCCCGAACGCAAATCCGCTCGCGGTCGACTTCCTCACGCGTAGCTTGGTGCGTCTGCCCTTTCCCCCGTTATGCGTTATGCCGCTGTCTCTTGTTGGTCTTCTGGGGCGACGTGCTAATATGTTTATGGGCAGACGTTCGACCCCAAAAAGCGTATCACGGTTGAGGAGGCGCTCGCGCATCCTTATCTCGAGGCATACGTACGTTGTTTACTGTTGTTCTCTTAGACCGCCCACCCATCATCCTTTCTTAGCACGACCCCGAGGACGAGCCAGTCGCGCCGCCCCTCGATCCAGAGTTCTTTGAGTTCGACCGTGAGTTACTCGACACCCGCTGGCGTCTGCATCTACTGACGAAATCGCGATGTGCAGTTCACAAGGACGACATCAGCCGCGAGCAGCTGAAGGAACTCCTGTACGATGAGATCATGTCATTCCGTCCCCCGCCTATGGTGTGAGCGCGGGGCCGGCCTCTGCGACATCTAACGCAATCCTTTGTACCATTTATCCATTGTCTGTGCTGCTCGTGTTAAGCGTTGTATACGTAAGCTACATGCTCTCTCCCCGTGCACCGCTCGTGTTGATCGCTGTCTTATCAACATAGCCTACAGGTTGCTATTTAGTCGTCGGACTTCACTACTCAAGCATGGAAGTGTACTATACCACTGCCGAACATGACAATGACAAGTACTATCGTTCCTCCCATTCTCGTCCGATTCGTCGTCGCATCGGCGTCAAACCGCGGCTGACATCATTGTTGGTGTCTCTGGTCTTGTATTGTTCATCCCAGCGTCGGTTCTCCGTGCTGCTCTTTTCACGTTCTGGACGTGGCATTTATTTCCGAAACATAGCCGGCTATTCTTGCTTGTACGGTCTTTGGGTACCTAAAGTGCAAAGTCAAAAGGGGACTGGTGCATGTGTAGTCTAGATGGGCCAATGGATTTGCAAATCGTTATGCTATGCTTAATACTGCAACAGGGACTGGTCTGCTCGGTGCCACTGATGGTGTTTGTCCTTACCAGTCTGTCGGTTCCCGGGACCCCAATCACTTCAAATAGGCCACCGTCGCAACTTTGGTGCAACCACATTTGGAAGGCGCTGTCCGCGCCTTAAGGACTGATACGCAACTCATCCGCCAGCCTTGGGTGCATTGTAAGCACGATATAATGTACCTACTCGTCATTTGCGAGCTGTTGTGCACGTCGACAATGCAGGTTCTTCTCAGCTCATAAGGGGACACTAAGGCAACACCTGTAAGTATTGCGGTCAGCACCTGTGGGTGTCCGATGCTCCGCCACTGCACGGCACTACGGTGGCCACCACTTGGCTCCTCAAGCACGCCGGAAAGTCTAATTCGGACATTGCTCGCGCTGCGCGCATTCTCACCAACCACTTCCCATACGGCGAGTATCGCGCTCGTTTCACCATTCCGGGTCCCCAACATTGCCCGTGCGGTGGCTGCTTAGAAACCAGGCACCACATCCTGTTCCAGTGTCCTTTCTGGATCCATACGAAAGCACCGGAGGTCGCCTCGCTTGCGCACTTCCACAATGAACGATGTTCTCGAGTTTTTGAGGCTGAACCCTATGGTCTCTACCTTTGGGTGGGCGGAGATACTCGCCAAGGTGCTTTCTGACCGTGAAACTGGGCGCCCCCATTCTCGGGCGAACGCACAGCTGCAAGCTCATACTGCTGAGCGGATGTTCCAGTGGCATCGCTTTTACAGTGACCGCGGTAAGGTCCCGGAGCTTGCTTACTCTCGGAGTGCTGACTTCGAGGCCTTCACGGAGTGGTGTGCGGTTGAAACGCGCGCCGAGAACCTCCTCATCCTTTGGGAGGAGCGGGATGCTGTCGCCGCCTCATGCTCCCCCGCCGCTTCTACCGCCTCCTCAAGTCTAGTGCCCCACCTCAGTCCGGCGGGACGTTAGTCACTGTCCCGCCTACCACCTGTTCTCTTACTCGATCGCGGATCGCTGGTGCAACGTGCCGCACGCGAGGACCATCCGCACCTCCCCTACCTAGGGGCGCGTGCATTGTCCGCCTGAAAACTGTAAGGCATTGACACCTAGCGCTGGACTCACTCTTGAGTGCTTCTGTCCGAGGGCACGGAGCCCATTGTTAAGAGCTATTGGAGGCTCGTCTACATTCTACTTGTACCTACGTTGTATGGAGTATAAACCCATCGAATTCTTTTTGAAAAAAGGGGACATTAAGGTGCGCACGAATTCGGGCGCCTTGCTACAGTCGTAAATATCAGTGAAGTCTCTGGGGTCCCTGAGGAGCGGCATGATGTCGGCAGGCTGCGGCAAGCGATGCCGGACATCTTTGTTTGTGGCAGGCCACTCTCTGGGGTAGCAGGCCAGTCCCTGTTGCAGTAGCTTAACGAGTTACACAAGTCGTGTTTGGGCTCACTGCGGGAATGTAGCTGACGAAGACAGCTATTCAAGGCTACTGCTTTTCACTTGCAATGCTGCACAAATTGTCCTGTTGTCCGTAACAAGCTGTGACCAATTGCTCCCCCGAATGATGCCCCAATGTGAGGAAGGCTGTACGTCAAAGTAACTGACTTGCGACTAGCCCTAACTTCCGCTACAAATGACTGCCTCATGTCCCTCCCACTTTGGCCAGGAGATGCGTGAAAACATATCATTCCAAAATGTTGCACACAACCGAAAGCAACGACACTAGCACAAGCGCAGACAAACATCAAGATCGTTAAACACCACGCAAAACAGTCTTTTTGTACTTTTCGCGGCACGCCAGGCCGTCCGAGCACTCTGGTTGCCGGCCCCTCCCTCCCGCCAGCCCAGGCCGAAAGGACCTGTCCCCCGCCGCCCACCGTCAGTCGGACCCTCCACCACACACGCCGTCCGTACCACCCATCGCCCAATATCGGTCACACAAAGCTTTACTTTGGCGGCATCGGCCCGCCACGTCCGCGTCCGCCACCGGGGCCACCGCGGCCGCGGAATCCACCCCGTCCTCTGTCACCGCCGTTCATCGGGGGACCACGTGGGGGCGGGCGTTCGCCACGCTCCTTCCGTGTCTCAACGATGATGCGGCCCTGTCCCCCGCCCTCGAGGTCTATCCGGATACCACCCTCACCGCCCTGGCCGATCGGCAACGACGCGGCGATCGCACGGCGCGCAGCCTCGAGCTGCGTGAACTCGAGGAACGCGCACGCCTTAGCGCGCAGAATCTCGAGCTCCTTGACGGGGCCGAAGCGCTGGATGAGCGTATTCCGCAGAGCAGAGTCGGGGATGTTCTCGGTCACGCTCTGTAATTCGCTCATTAGTATACGTTACACAAAGTACTTAACGATTGTCCACGTACCTTAACGAAGCACTGCGCAGTTTGCACGTTCTGAGCTGCGAGCAGCGCCGGATGTGGCTGATCCCGGGGGACCGTCGGGCGCGTCGTTACATGCGGCGCAGGCGACTGAGGTCCACTCAGCGGTGCTGGCACAGCGGTCACCGGGGCCTCGCTCACGCCACGCACTTCGTTCGCTACCGCGGCGCCCCACTTGTTGGAGTCCTTCGCAGCGAGGTTGGCCCAGGTCTTACGCTGGGGCGGCTGCATGGGCTGCGGAGCGGCTGGGGCAGGTGCAGGCGGATGAACGTGTGCAGGCGGGGCTGGCGCAGGCGCAGCAACAGGAGCAGGAGCTGGTACAGACGGCAGAGGCTCATGCTGGGCCGGCGGCGAGACCGGGGGTGGAGAAGCAGTAGCGGGCGGCTCAGGCGCGGGGGAGGGCGACCTCTCCACGGGCGCAGGTGCTGGCTCGACTTCTGGCTCGGGCGCGTGGACACCGTTGGTCTGGGGTTCCGGTGCAGGCGAGGGTGCTGCCGGTGCTGGGGCCTCCTCAGCGGGTTTTGATGCAGGCGGAGGAGTGGGAGTCACTGGCGGCTCCGGCTGCAGTTCTGCAGGTGGTGGTGGCGGAGTAGGAGAAAGTGGTACAGGAGGGACAGATTGTGGTTGCTGGGAGGGAGCAGTGGCATCGACCTCACTCGCCTGGTCGTCACTTTCGACAGCCTCTTCCTTCAAGAAGCGGAAGATGTCGTTGAGGACGAAGTAGCCGTTGGGCTGCTCGGCGAGGAAGAAGGTCTGGACGAACTTTCGCCATGGCTCGCCCTTATTTGACATCTCGCCAATGACTTGGATAATAATCCCACCATTGGCAGATGATTGCGCATCAACAGAGTGGATAAAGACCTTGCAGTCTTGGAATCCAATCGAGGTGATCTTATTATGAATCTCCTGTGAATGGGACGGTCAATCATATTGTTTAGAGCACGTAAGGAATGTGAAGATGGTATGCGAACAAGGTTGCACAGCTGCATGCATACTAGAGACGAGCGGGTGCGTGAGAAGCAAAACGACTAGAATCCAGTTGAGACTGCGTCGCGGCAACGGGAGGTGATCACCGGCAGACAATATGAGAGTCGTCTAGGTGAGCAGTGGCTCCGCGACACGTACATCGTATCCTCCCGCGTCGATCCGGCAGTGGAAGGTAATCTTCTGCGCGTCAAGCATTATTACACACAGAATTGCCACCGAGAAACAGCTCTTCTCTGAGCTCCACCAATGATAAAATGAACCGTAAGGGTCCTCCCGCGCCAAGTAAACCCGGGACAGCATGACGCCATGTGCCGCGGCCTGACAAAACGCTCTGCGCTCTCGCAAAGATGTGCCATACAGTTCCAGCACAGCTATACGCGCTAGGAGTGCGAAGCATCTCGAGCCCCGCGTACATCACATAAAAGGCATCTCGAGCGACCCCCGCGCGCAGAAACAATTGACCGCGAGAAGTAAAGACTGATTAGTAATGAAGAACCACCACCACATGTGTTTACGACGAATCGAAGACACAATAGAGGAGTGCATAGTCACGATGGAATCGTGGTCAATTGCATATTGGACCCAGGATGATTTCCTTGATATCCAGGTATGCGGCCCCGCGTCGGTCTAGACAGCGCAGCTGAGGGCGAAAAACGACCACCCTGGTTTCCAGAAAGACACGGTGAATGCTACCGAGGAAGAGCTTCCTCTTGCTACGTCGGACCAATGGCAGAATCGACAGTCTGATTTCTTCCGTGTCATCTGCCCAGCCAAAGTCCCGCAGGGGCGTGCTCGACGTTGCCAGCACATCTGCGAGCCGGAGAGCGCACACTCCACATAGCGCCAAGTGTACGTGATCGCACAGAATGTGCTTGAGCACGCGAGCGACCTCCCACGCACAGTAACGACGCGCCACAGAGATTATTAGATCAACGTGTACACACCTGTTGACCGTAACATGGCTTGCCGTCCTCGCCCTCGGTGCCGTGTATAAAAGTAGAAGCTTTAGTGTAGAAGCAATGCAAACGATTGGGTTGCTTGTTGACGAAGGTGTAGTACTGAGGAACGAATTGCCAGCCGACCTCGGAAGGATTGACGGTGGAAGTGCCGTTTGTCATGATGAAGTGCTGCAGCGGCGACGAGAGTTGAGTATTTCTTTTCACTTTTGTCTGCATTTTAAGCTCACCGTGAGTGCAAAAGGGGAGAGTGCGAAAGGAAAACGCGTCGATGTGGCCACGGAGGCGGGAGGGAAAGTCGATGAGGACTTGTGAAGACAACAAATTATAGACGCGCACTGACGCGAGCAGGCCACTGCCAGACTCGGCCCCAGTCTCGATCGCCCGCCACTGAGCGTCTGTTGCTCTTGTCGTATTTGACGTCAGTCAAGCAGCGACCTTAGCCGTCTTGCTTGGCGCACCAACAGTACTTATACCAAGCTGCTTGGCCAATATATGTCCTTGGTACGTCTTCACAATGCCCCACCATCTGCTACTCCTAACAGTGCTTTGCATCCTTGTCTTCTGCGTCTCAGGAAATGGCGTTTACGCCTTTGGCGCAGGGAACATACCTGGGTACGTCCTTACTTTGAACAAGACGTCGATTATTCATGACCCCAGGTCGCGTGCAGTTTCGCGTATCTGGAGGGCAAAGCGTTCCGGCATGGTGATATCGTGCGTTTCCAGACTCAGCGGCCGTGGAGATGTTTCGCTGACTTGGCCATTGCAGGAGGATACCTTGAGCGAAGTAGCGAAGCGAGCCGGCGGATTTGCCCTCGGTGCCTTGATCGGCAGAGGGGGGTCGAAGTTTGGAGGGCTGGATATTAAGCGGGTCTACTTCGGGTAAGATCATTCACTAGAACGTCGATCGACGTGGAGCCAGATTAACATGCCTTCGGCAGAAATTGGCTGCGGGATTACAGTCAGGTCTGTATCTTCATTGAAACACTGAAGGCAACTTATCGAAACTATATTTAGGCTGTCGATGTGGCTGGTCTGTCGAAGCTGCAGTTCCAGGTCCGTCTATTGCCTTGGGCCTAGGTTAAAGACTGTAACATATTTGATGTCAGACGATCGTTAACCTTTGTATGGTGTTGGGATTTATGGTACTGTCATTTCTACCGAATTATCCCATCAGTCTGTAAATTGTTGACACATCACCTAGTCCCTCGGGTACGCTACAGAAGAATTCGAAGTCACTCCTGAACGTCTTGGTGTTTATTTGCCGGTATAGTCCATCCTACACCGAATTTTGTGACCTCGTCCGCGCGAATTTACACTTGTGCTATAGACAGAACACATTGACAACCCGAAAGGCTATCCAGACGATGCTCAACGATACCATCCTAAGCTGAGGGGTCCTGTCGATGTAAGCACGTTCTGAGATGTAACGTCTGACAATGTAATTGTACTGAACCATGCGCATATAGCCACGGGAACTTGAAATTGATCATCACACAGGGATGAAGAACTACATTGCAAACGGTGCGCTACTTTTCCACATGTATACTACCTCAGACGGCTGAAGGCCTTTCCTGAACGCTGGAGTGAACAGAGCATGGTCATTGGGACACCTCCAAAGCCCTCGTACGCCGCACGCTCCAACAGTGCATCCAGATTGGCCGGCAATATCGCTCAACTGGAAACAAAGCAGACGAATACGAAGCATATCGACTGTTGGGCCAAGCTGTACGTTCATATATATTGCACAATGTCCACAAGATCAGTGACGAAGGTCACCTGGGATACATATAGTTGCATACGCTCGAAGATTTCGCCGCACACTCCAATTTTTGTGAGCTCGCGCTCGTGTCTTTGGGCTATAGGGATGTGTTCGTGCATGTCGGCGACCAAGTAAGGATACAGGCGCCCGATGGACGATGGGTTGCGCCTCTCGTCACCGGTGAGCTTGGACAGTTGTCGATTTTCCTAGAGACTAACTCCGATTGAAGGAACATTTGGTTCGAGCGACTTCATTCATAGTTTACTTGGAGGCAAGTGTTATCACGCTTCGAGTACAGTCGAGACGATTGACTGTATCCGCAGAGGCAACCGATCACATTGTACGTCGGTCGTCCGCGTCTTATCCTGACTGATTGACATCATTGTCACGGCTACATAGAACCAGGTATGTTCAATTTGTACACATGTGCGGTGATCGTGGCGACCTGAACAGGTCTCAGGCATCGGTCGTCGACCTCAATGCTGAGCTCGATCGCGCTCGCTCAAAGTCGGCATCCCAGAGCCGCTCCGGACCCGGATCTTCCAGGTCCCCGGCGGATCTGCTCCGCAGCCTGCTCTTCAAGTTGCCAGACACGGACGGCAGCGGCGGCGAGATGGAGCGCGAGCTCGAGGGCGTGGAACGCATTCGCGCGCAAGGGTATGGCGCTCAGCCGGGCAGCCGTCGACCGGAAGACATGAACCCGCAGGAGCTGCACGCGGTGCTGTGGCAGGTGCTGAGATTTCGAGACAACGGTTAGTCCGTTTACAGTGCTTATTAGGCGTGGCCACGGGATATGCTGACGACTGGACGGGAAGTGATGAAGAAGATCACGATGGTTATTGGTGGGTGTATCTACAAGTCAAAGAGTTTCAAGCGGGTGCTTACATTTCTACAAAGAGAAGATACCGGGGTTGGAGTCCTTGGTGGAGAGAATCAGCGAGTCAATCTCTGGTGAGTATCAACACATTTTGCCGAGTCGTTGCTTCTGACGGACTCTTCTCACAGTCTTCGTTTTCACTACGCTCGAAGTGAGCATCAGTTTGAGGTGATCTGGTTTCAAATGCTTACGGTGCGCACCACAGCCATTTTTGAGGCCTGTTATGAAGGACGCCACATCTGCACTCGCTGCCGCTTCGAGTGAGGTCATCAACAAACACGATCAATACGAGGTGATTCCTGGTATCCTCATGCTCCTTGTCTGATGCTAACCTCCATGCTGTCAGGTGTTCAATGATCCTCGGGCGGTACGTACCGCCTGCCCTGGCTCATTTATCAATACTTATTGAAAGCCATACAGTCCGATCCAACCCATTCCTTCCTGAGCAAAGATCATTTCGTAAGGACTAAGAATAATCATGTCACATCGGCACTGATCAATGACCGCTTTCCAGAACCTTATTCTCAACGAGCCCGCGGGCCATCTCGGCAAGATAATACTGGTCTGTTCGAAACATGTGTATAACCAAAGGTCAGAGACATCCTGACGTATCTGGGGCAGATATATGCGACGACCCGAGTCGTCAAGGCTTGGGATGATCCATCCATCAATATGCTTTATGTCACTGATGACATCCTGCACTGCATGTGTGTGTCTTAACTTTATCCGCGCGAATGGACTAAGACATATGACACAGGTTTCATCCTGATTTCAACACTCGTAACTCCCCCATCCAACATGAGATGATGGAGTATATGCGTTCCTGGGTACAAGGCCTGGGTCACCAGCAACCAAAAGTCCTCCGCCGCCTAACAAAGCAGTCCGTTCGCAATCACTTGAATATGAGGTTGGGCAGCGAAGGCGCAGCGTCTACCGGCCACGGCACGGTTGCGCAGACGGCAGGGATGGAAGTGCAGAATGACTTGTTGTCCAGTGTCCCAGGGCTCTCGCAAGCGAGCGCATTGCTGGGTAAAATTGGCTCCAGTGGCCGACCGAGCTCGAATCACGGGCCAGGTCTCCCTGGCATGGGCATGCTTACTGCCGGTATGGGTGCAATGAAGTCGATGCCCGGCGAATCACCTGTTCGAGCAAGTGCCCTGTCCGCTACACTCCCTGTCCATGGTCACCACGAAGAAGAGGAACGACACACAAGTCACCACAACCGACACGGCCATCATGGGCATGCCCATCACCACTCAGGCACGGAGCACCAACATTACCACCCGGAGCCGCAGGCAGTTCCGTCATATTATCACGAAAGCCACAACATGACTATGCCGTCAGCAGGGGGACCTGTGGCGCAAACGTCTAGCTACAGCGCGGCTTCTGCGGCTGGATATCCAAGCGCATCGCATGGATATGCGCCTCCTTCTGGGCCGCCACCTTTTCCGAACCCGAACGCAGGACCCCCGAGTGGGTACGCGCCGGCGTATGGCTACGCTCAGCCTATGGGGGGTTTCACTGAGCCCGAAGCATATCGCGACCAGCCGAGCGGAGGATATGGCGGACGTGCGCCACCTCCTGGGCCGCACCCATCGGGCCCGGCCTTCCCTGGCGGCCCGCCCGGCCCACCCCCGTTCCCTGAAGGTCGAGGATATCCGCCGCCGGGTGGCTATGGATGGTGAGATGGGTGCACGCTGATTCCTGGACTTTGTCTTTTATACAAGTAAATCTAAGTGGCGAGATTTGCTGCCATGTTATATGGTGCCCGTGGGCCCTTACGTGGGACCGATGCCCGTAGCGCACATGCGCAGGAACGATTGCCTGACATTCATACTGATTTCGAAATTCTATGCGATCCTTCCACCGGCGAGCTGCTTCAACAAACCTTGAAAGGATCGATGGTCACAGCAGCTCCGTCCGTGGACTCGGATCTTCTAATATTATATCTTCGTTTGCACCGTATCCCTTCAGTGAACTGACAGAGATGATTGACGCTTCCCTACTCGATGACATTTGCAATAAGTAGCCGTTTCGGGCTCAAAGACTACCATTCCAGTGTAATTTTCAGTGTAAAGGTCCAACCATTCGTTGGATGAAGACGTTCACAACCTATCAGCAGTTCCTTCGCTCGATAGCCTGCTTGATCACAAGTACTGTGGAAAGCCGCGACACAGCAACAAGAAGCTGCATTTACCGTGATGTTCGATGTGGATCGGGTGCAATGGCGAGCATGTAGCGAAGGCGAAGCCTTGCCGAATTAATCAATCAGCGTCGTGCTCAAGTCTGAGTCGGCTGCCGTGACGTCGGTCGCGTAGATTTTTCTTACCAGGCACTTTCTTTCGTCTCTACTAAAAACTGATCGCCCTAGCGTAGGTTCAAACCTTACATTGATGGCTTGTGGCAACTCCAACACTTAGCACTAGAACGTGTGAGCGAATCCACTTGATCCACATGGTCAAGTCCGGCTCTACGACACTTCTGTTTCTGCCGAACCTTTATCATGCCTCGTAGGGAAGCTGCCGGGGGTTCATTGGTGCTGCGTGCTTCGGGCGTTTTAATTGTCATGAAACTGGCGCTGATGTATAAAGGTAAACGTGGTCGAGTTAAGTCTTTCTCTCAGCAGTGCTCACTCGTAATGTTCTCCAGCATTTTATGCCCTTGCGATGATGCCCTTGAATTGGCTGCAGAACAATTGTGCGAATCAAACATGCCTATATCGGCATGCACCATTTCACTCGCCGTCATTTTCACTGACTGCTCTATTCATCTTGTAGCACTTTCGAAGTAAACCTCTATTTCGCGGCAACAGGTATCTGTCATAGATGGTTCATCGTCCGGCATCCGAGTACACTAATCAGCGTGATAAAAGCAGTGTATCTTTATGATTACGTGCTTACCTTCACGGATGAAGTCGATCAATTGTGGATGTCAGAACGATCGGGCACTGCGGCGCTTTTCTGTACCTTAAGATATCCCCCGCTTGTCAATGTCGTTCTCCAAACCCTCCTGCTGCTCCCTTGGCCGAGCTGGCAAACTTCACATGTGAGTAATGTGGCGTCTCTCTGAATTATAGGTGTTTTAATGGCAGACACTCAGAGGTCAGTTTGATTTTGACTATTGCTGATGCATGGTGGCAAATCATCAATGATCATTTTCCACCCAACTAGCTGTGCCTCTGCGGGAATTGCCCAACTAACGCTGTACCTTCTAGTGTTGACCAGTGCTGCAGGTGAGCACTCAGCGATCGTCAAGCTTGAGTATCTGCTAATGTATGCTACGGCCGTAGTTTTCTCCGCACTCCGTGTATATGCCATCGCCGCAAAGAATCTATATCTTGGCCTTCTCACCCTCCTACTGGGCTTGGTCAACCCCGGTATCAACATCGTGCGTGAGGTGGACATGCATTTAGACTGTTAATCACTCATCTACACGACAGTATACATTCACCACTTTTACTTTCGAGCCCGCGCCATTCCCTCATGCGGGTTGCATCTACTACGTCAGCTCGAATACAAGATTTATCCAGTAAGCTCGTGACATATTTGGCGGAGCATCCCTATGCTGACATAGTACATTGCATCACATACAGTTGTAAGTATCTTGTTTTTTATGTGCGCTTGATCCACTTACATTGACATTAGGGATGATGGGTGCAAGAGCGGCTTCTCTGGTCAACGACATCGTTGTCCTCATAATCACAGTGATGCACTTGACGAACACCAACACATCCCGCTTCTCAGCGGGATCAGAACTAGGCAGAGTCCTGACCATGGACAGTACGTTATTTCATATATGACCTTCTCACCAAACAAATTGACCTGAATGGACCGATATCAAGCGATCATGTACTTTTCGTAAGAGTTTCACCGAATTCTACGGTATGGATCCTTCCGCTGAACCCTGTGCTTATCCCAGCCTGCTACTCATAGTCAATCTAATAGCAATCATCACTGGACGATCTATTGATGTACGTCGTGTTCTTTATGCGCTTGTGGACGTTAGACTTACCCCCGCAGCAGTTTATTGCCCCAGTCACGACATGGATTGCGGTGTAAGAATCGTGTTCGCATCGCCTGAAGCAGCAGCTTATGCACCTACCGACGTAGATTGACATCAATCCTCCTTTCCCGGCTCCTGCTAGACATGCGGGAAGTGTCGACAGGTCCGGCGGGCGAGTCAACTACGCTGAGCTCCATGATATTGGGAACATTCAGTGGGGGATGGAAAGCCGCAGGAGACGCAGTAGAAGACTGTTTCGAGCTTGAAGATAGAGGGACAGATACTCAAGTCGTTTGATGCATAGCAGGGGATCCCGTCGCAAACATACTACTACCCCGTATTCAACTGGAACCAAATGTTTGTATTTGTACTAAATGCTCTTTGTCGATAGCGATGATGAAGTCTATAAGGCTGTAGCGCCTATACTGCGACTTCCAGTGGTTATGTTGGTGAGACAGGATCAGAGTAGTGACGATTAACTACGAAATTGAGTACTGGCAAAAGCACAAGCAGTATCGTCGAGCAGGGCGTCGTTGCTGCAACGCGGTATGAGCCGCGAGCATCCATATGAGGATGTGTCCACGCCAAACATGGCCCAGACTGAGTTATGCCTCAATACCGTTCCATTCCTCGAACTCCTGTCTTACTGCTTTCGACTTTGGCTTTTTGGCTCGCACCAGGTCGCTCCCGGCTTCCGTCTTCCTCAACCCGACCATAGTCTCGTTATCTATGGTGTGACCAGCCATTAGCACTTATAATTGTAAGTGAACAGCGAGCAGATCTGTGCGTACATTGACCCGCGATCATTTCGTCCGCAACAGACACGCTGCCTGATGTGATATATCGGGTTGACACGCCCTGCGCGACCAGCGGCTGCTTCAGCAGTTGTTTGAGCTCTGCCTTGAGATTGGCTGTTTTAGCATCTGCGGCTTTGCGCTTTTGTTTTGACGGAGCTGCTTCTTCCTCGGAGCTATGCAGATGCAGGACTGTGTAAGAAGCTGTGAGCGTTAGATGAAATACGGAGGACCGACCTCTCGAAATCAGAATCGAGTGCGATCTCCATCGCCTCAGCGGTATTCCGTAACCAGCCCTTGTCGTGGTTCTCCTTCCGTACCCGATGCTGCGCGGAATCGATCTGGCGCGCAAGCTGCACACGGGCCTTCATCTTGTCCAGCATGTACAGCTCCACGGGCATTTCCAGGAGCTCTTCCTCTGTAGCACATCGCCTGTGAGTTCGAACGGTCGAACGACGGAGACCGCGCGATATTTCTCACCTCTCCCGAGGCTTTTCATGAGCGCTCTCACAACACGCCGTTCGTCCGGCGCGCACATGAGCAAGCTGAATCCGCGCCGCTGCGCACGGGCCGTTCGGCCGTTGCGGTGCACGTACGCATCCGCGGTGCGCGGAACTTGGTAGTGCACAACATGGTCGACTGCGGGTACATCCAGACCACGAGCGGCGACATCTGTTGCGAGCAGGATAGCGCGCGGCGTATTCCTGAACCTAGTAAATACACGTTAGACATGACTGTAGGATGCACCAAGCATCTTGAGGGCGTCATACCTGTCCAGATTCTTGAGCCGCTGCCGTTGTTCTAGTTGCGAGTGCAGAGGAAATGCGGGTATCTGCAAGAGGTCCATGATAGGAAGAAGCCGACGGATGCCATCTATCGACGACAGGAATACAAGCGTCCGTCCGGGATAGCGTAATAGGAAATAATACAGATATGCATCCTGCAACGCGGTGAAAGATGTGTGAATACCATGTGCCAACAAGCAATCATTGATCTTACCTTGTCCGTTGTAAGACATTCTACCCTGCTCTCTTGCAATGTAGCAACGCTGCCGCCCTCAGGGCTGATGTCAATGACAGCAGGCGTCGGATCACGGAAATCCAGTCTCATGAGCAGATCATCTGGGAATGTACAATACCAGTCATATTTTGCGGTAGTATAGGGGAAGTTCAAACGCACCAAGGGTCGTGGCCGCCTTGCCATTTTTCGTCCATGTTCGCGGGCGTCCCCTCTTCTTCAAATTTCGCTGGAGATCTTTACTCAACGTCGCGCTAAACACAAACGTCTGCATCTCTCCGTCCTTGACGCCCTCCTTGCTGTCCGCCTCTTCCTTTTTCTCCTCCATACCCGTGTCAAACTCAGGCTCAATCTCGTCCTCTCTACGAGCCACACATGTCAGTCTCAGAGCCGTCTGCACGAATGGTAGCAGAGGGGGGAGGGGGAGGGGCAGCTCACTTTGCGTGCTGCAGCGTCAGCCGCAAGATGTTCTCCATCTCCGCGAAGTGCCCCGTCTCGATCATGCGGTCCGCCTCGTCCAGCACGAGGAAGCGCAGGCGCGCGAGCTGCTCGGCAAGCACGTCGTCCTCCTGCACGATGTCCCACAGCCGCCCCGGCGTCGCGACGAGCACGTCCACGCCGCGCCCGAGGACCCGCCGCTGCTTCTGCGCAGACATTCCGCCCACGATGGCCGCGACGCTCACCGCGGGCGGGCCTTTGGGCCGGGCGGGCGGAGCGGCCGGCTTCGCTGGGGCCTTGCCTTTCCCCTTGCTCTTTTTGCTCGCCACGTTGAGTGCCGGGTCTTCAGCGGCAGCGCTCTCAGCTTTCGGGTCGGGGGTGACCGTGTTGAGGCATGCATTGAGGTGCAAGGAGACCTGCAAGGCGAGCTCGCGCGTCGGCGCAAGCACGAGAGCGCGCACCGGTCTCCGGCCCACGCTGCCACTTTGTCGGGCGGCAGCTTCTGTGAGGAGATGGTGTAGGATCGGCAGGCCATATGCGAGTGTTTTTCCGGAGCCCTGGTAGTATAATGTGCACCGTGAGCATGTTTCGCACGCAGAAAAGCAGCATGCATGCACACCGTTTCGGCGACACCGACGACGTCCCTGCCCTGCATCGTCAGTGGTAGCGCCTCTGCTTGGATGGGGGTGGGAGCCGTGAACCTCTGCGCATAGAGCGCACGCGCGAGTTGCGGATGAAGGGCGAAACGGTGCCAATTTGGCAGCATAGATTCGGCTGAGACATGGCCTATGTTAACGCATCAAGCCATGGATCTAATTGAAGGGCTTACTATCGAACGGCTCCTCCTGCGGAGGTTCTTCCGCTTCCGCTCCTGCAGCTGGAGGACTGGACGACCCAGCGCGAGGCCCCTCCCGACCCCCTTCAGAGATTACATCCTGCTGGACATCTCCTTCGTCTTCTGCGTCTTCTGACCGTTCTCCCGTGACCTGCCGTCCTTCTCCGTTTACACTCGCATCGCAACAGTTTCGCATAGTCAACACACCTTGAACCTCACAACCCGTCCCGCACCCGTCTCTTCGTACACGACTTCAACGTCGTCCACCTCCTCAAGCTCCAAGATCCCATCAAATGGGTTATCCAGCGCGGCCTCTTGTGGTCTCGATACCGCCTTCCATGGTAGCTCATCCGCGGTAAAGTGCGATGTTTTCGCTCGCTTGCGCGCAGAACCAACCGTGGATTTCACTTTTCTTTTGGCTGCGGCCATCATGAACTTCTGCGCCCGTATATTTGTCGCGGTCGATGGGCTAGAAGCGAAAGAACAAGACTAAAGGGATACCACAAGTGAGCTCAGAGTAGGTGCTCGATCGAAAGAAATGTATCGCTGTCACATGATCAATCAGTCAATTGATGCGCCTCAACATGTCTATTTATGGTATAGATGCTTCCTCCGACCCTGTTCACCCGACGGCGATAGAAAAAGGCTGATCCAAACCATAAATCTTCCTCAGGGGAAGAAGCAAAACAAGAGTTATGACAAGAGTGGGATTTGAACCCACGCCCTTTCGGACTGGATAGAACAAGTTCCTGATTCCAGCGCCTTAGACCGCTCGGCCATCTTGCCTTATGTTTCTGATGATATGCACATTATATCAGGTACGTTTATTTAGATATCCCAACGGTTTCCTGTTTGCCTCATGCATTCTTCACACAATTGTAACGCCTATATACAAGTACACGAATAATTATAGCTCTACAGCGACCGACGTCGCGCAAACAAATTTTTGGGAAAGACCTTCTGCCGTCCGAATGTTACGTCCTTTGTCCAAGTGATGGGGATGGTGCTACAGAAGAGGACGCTACCGGGGAATCATTAGCAGCTATAGCCTGTAAAAACTATGCGGGAGTAGCATAAATAAGAATAATGTCCATGCCAGGGTATGGTGGTATGCAATGTGGATGTCCATGTCGAAGGAATGTCTCGACTCTGAGGGAGCGGAAGAGAGCGTATAGTGTGTGGAGTGGTGCGTGCGCGTGGGCAGTTGACCGTCTGCGTCTGCGTCTCGTTTCATTGCTCGAGTCTGTCGAGGATCGTCATGAGCCCCGGAATGCTGCGCGCGCAATCAAGCGCAATGGGCTGTTGCGGGTCCCGTTTCTGTGAGCGTGAAGCGGAGGCAGAGTACCGGATCTGGATATGAAGGATATCGTGTGAGCAAAGGCATTCTGAGATCGAGCGGTACCAACGTGCTAGTTGCTGGTCAGTGGCCTGTACGATTCCCTCGGCAAAGCCAATGACCAGCAACTGTCACTATGTCCTGACGACGCCGTCGTTGGTGGTAGTCGTTGCAACTACGACCCAACGACAGCTGGCTGGCACGTCCTTGACGGAGCAAATACGCAACCACTCACGTGTACTGTGAACATCCGGGGGTCGTTCCGGTGCAAGCAAATCCTGCATGTCCACCTAATCACGTAACGCCAATCAGCGCGAGGCGCCCACAAACGTACACATAGGACACGTACTGCTCGTCCACAAGCACATTGGCACCGATTACCTGCGCCTCCTCATATAGCGCTGCGCGCGCAAGACGGAGTAACTTTGCGACGTCGACGCCGTCCTTGCACACAAAGGTGTCCTCCTGCACAAGCGGAACCTTGCGGGGGGACATGGCGACGTCATCGGCGAGCGCAGCGTGCGTGAGCGGCCAGTCGCCCGAGGTTGAGTCGATGTGCTGCGCTGCCGCACGTGCTTGGGCGCGGCGCAGCCGAACGAAGAGATTCGCGACGTCTGCCATCTTGAGAGGCATGGCAGGGATGCGAGAGAGACGACGGGAATGCCCACGGGTGCTGTTTGACGACGCCGTCGAGTCTGAAGACGACGTAGAGAAGCGGTGCTGGAGGGGCGAAGGGGGCGGTGTAGCGAACGAGGTGGGGCGAGTCATCACAGCAGAGAAGAAAAGACAAGGGAGCGGATGAGACTGGGGGACCGCGAACAGCGGTCGGCGGTTACATATGCAACGCGGGCGCTGCTATTTCTGGACGGCGCCATCATCATCATGGGCGCCAGCCCGCGAAGCAGCTATTTTCATCTCGACAGGTCGAGACTGCGGCGTGCTCACACTTGCCCCTCATTCAAATCCTTTTTCCGACTGCTTATTCCCGTGTGCGGATACGACCCTTCCCATCGCCTCTGCGCACCCCGCCCTCAAATTTCACTACGGCGGAAAATGGTCGTATCTAGCGAATCCCCGGACCCCGAGGTCTTCCATTCAGCTGCCGCGCTTGGTCATGATCACAGCACGAGGATCAAGACCCCTGAGTAGACAAACAGAACCTTGAGCTTGTGTATAAGGGAAGCATTCTTCATTAGGTCATGGCAGGAGAAGGCGCTAGGAGACCGACAGCCGCATGGCCAGCAAGAAATCCCATCACGAATTGTCCTTCCGCTCATGTCCAGTCTGCTGTTGGTAGTGTCTATTCGAGCTTCTCGGACACGCACCGACTTCGGGCCGCAGTCTATGGCCAGCAATGCAAGAGCAGGCCGAAAAACCACATTGTCGGCGCAACCTGAGTCGTGCCAGACTCTAGTGTGTCCGGTCATGGAGCCCCGCTGCTCTCGCCGTTGGCGGAGATTGAGTGCCATCAGCGGCGTCCGACTACACTCCACTCACAAGACACCCTATGCTCACAGATTCAAACAAACAATAACACTGTCACTGTGTTCAGAAGTCTGTCAGCCAGCGGACATAGTGGGTAGTATCATACCGAATCTTCATACTGATTGTCTTCGCCGTCAACAGATCTTACTGTCCTCCTGTTTTACCTGATATGGTCGGACAGTCCGATGTTGCTTCAAACGATCAGGTTTTGGCTCTCATGATGTCTTGTAACAGTGCGAGAGTGTTCATGCTGTGCAGGCAATGTACAGTTTATGACAGGTGCTACACGAGCCAAGGCTCCGTGCGAGCATCGCCTCTCAGTCATGCACCAGTCAGGCTACATCTGACCGCGTCGAAGCAGGCGCTTTATGTGCTAGGCACCTCACGTCTGTATACACAGTGACCCGTGCTCACCACATAAAAATGCTTAAGGAGTGCATAGAGAAACTTGCGGAACATCTGCGTGGTACTACAACTTGAGATAACATCAACTTACACGATGGTGCGTGCTCGCCACTCGCTTGCCACAGCCGTTCAAGTTCGAACAGAACATTCGCCTCATAGGTGTCCTTTCTGAGCACTCCCACAGCCACGCCAGTACGGATCAATGGTGATTCTATAATGTTAGGTACATGTCCTGTATTTTCAACACCCGTCGTTTCCCCCTTTTTAGCATGTTTCCAGCAACGACATTATTTACATAACAACGGACTCGCGTAGGTCGATTGCCACTCACAAGCGCTCACAGATTCTAGCTTACGGCATGTCACGCTTGCGTCATTCGCCAACCTGATTCGCTGCTCAGCCCTTTGCGGGCGTGATCAGGTCACGGTTGCATTACGCTCAGTCATAAGCGACCGTTTGACATTCAGCCACATCTGAACTCTTCAAAGCAGCGAACAGTCGCTTGTTTTCCAGCGACACTCAAGCGGCATCTTTGAATCGAGTACGACACTCCTTCACTATAGTGATTCCCTAATATAGTATTGACACAGCGATTGGCCCATCTCGCACTTTCCCTCGACCACTACATTGTGGATTACGGACCAAGGGTAAGTCGATCTGCTATACCACATTCGCTACCATCCGCTCATGATCTAGATAGCTTGCTCTCTCTAGGTGTGGCACAATATAGTCTACTATATCGTAGGGTACAGACTGAGGCTCGCTCTCTTTAGACTATAACACGACAAACATAGTGGGCTCCTCCTCTACCAAGCACCTGGGGTCAGTGAAGTCAATACTTTTCCAAGGATTGACTCAGGTGAGCCATCACTAGGCCTAGCCGGGTATTTTCTCTAACCTACTGCACCAGAACCGTAGGCGCCACAATGGAAAAAGCTCCCATGGAGATCTGGGGGCGGATATTCTCCTTTGCATGCATTGACGACGGATACACCGGTCACTCGCTTTCCCAGGTCTCCCGGTACTTCCGCGTGGCGTCAAATCATTATCAACTGCAAAGCGTAGCTTTGTCAGGGCGCGACCAGATACAACGCTTCGCCGACCTGCTGGAGAATACACATCCCAGATGCCGCTCGGTTCGCTATCTGTACGTCTCCGAGTCACTTGCACGTGATGACATAGCTCGAGGACAAGACCTGGCTCAACGTTACCCGCATCGACTATCCCCCGCAGAGATGGAGTCATTGTCACCCGAGGATCTCGTCAGAAAGTACATGCTCCATGAATGCCATTCTGATGATTGGATCTGCATCATGAGAAAAGTTATATCGATGCGAGGTCTCCCTCAGATGAAGCAGCAACTTGCAGCGGAGCGCCAGCAGTCCCTTTCTGCAACGCTGTTGCGCATCCTGCAGCTCGTTAGCTCAAACCTTCAGACTCTGACAATGTGTATGGACAAGGAATGTCCGGATGCATTCTTTGCGGTGTCCTTTCCTCGTCTCACGGAGCTCCACCTGGTGACCACTTCGGATCCGACCTATTCGCACATCAATGCTGAATTGCGAAAAGTGCACATCTTACCATCCTTGACTCATCTACACCTTACCAACTGTGCCGAACTGCTTGAAGCATTCGGCAACCGAGTCCCGTGTTTGGCCCACTTGCGACTCACGGATATGGGGCTACTCTCTTCTGCCATCCTGTCCACGGCATTGTCTGCATCATCTGTTACCGAGGGGTCGATGTTCCCGGGACTCGTCCAGGTCATCGTTCAGCCTGAAATAAGCTTCAAGAAAAGCCGCGCATGCTGCCTAGCGGGGATGAAAGGCGCTGTGAAGAGCGGAAGGATCGACTTGCTGAAGGTGAACCCGTCACGCTCGAAGGCGTACGGACATCGCAGTGGCATAATCGTTTTGATGTCGAAAAAAGGTTGGCTGAAGGAAACTGCAGGTGGCGAGGGCTACTGGGAGGTGAAGGCCAGTGAAATTGACACACTTACCTTTCAGCAGCTCGGTAGGATAGATATGCCATACGAGAGGCACACGCACAATGATCGTGTATATGGCAAAAGGAGGAGGTGGCCACCAAGAATCAGATAGACACTTGTAGTTTCTTATCGTTACTGTATAACACGGTACGTATTTGGTATTCGACAAATTGTATGTCTAGAGTTGTAAGCATTGTTTTTCAGACACAGCATTCATGTTGTAGATTCAACGGTTCGATTCAGCTTCCTACAATCACTGAGCCGGCCAATTGCTTATGGCACATAGAGAAGCCTCAAGCCGTCAGACATCGCAAAAATACACCTAGTAAGTGGGAATATACTCATGTACTTATGATGAGAACTTGATCCTGATTCTTGATCAAAACGACGCGACGTGTGACGTCACGCGTAGGCAGTTTCACATGAACGCGTTGAGCAAATCGGGTCTGCTACATCCTTTGAAGTTCTAGAGTTCCCCTCCTTACTTAATGGAGAATGCGCCGATTTGCGAGCAAGGGTGCCTCTGCCAGCCTGGCGGCGTCCCGAGTACAAAACTGACTCTCATCATTTTCACTGGCCGTCACGGTGACAACGAACTCAACATGGTTTCGATCTGCCGAGGTCCCTGTGAGGACTTATGACGACCATAGATCTTAGTGTTCTCTAGTGCTCGGGCAGGGGGTAGAAAGGTTGTCTAAGACAAATACTATCTTTAAGTGACTGAAGGTACAGTCTCAAAATGACAAACGGATGCGCAAATCTTGGAGGCAGTGCTGTACTACCCACTGCCTTACTGCGTACTGCGTAGCGAATGCACAGCTTGTACTTGATGACACGTCCTGGACATGTGATTCTCACAGCCCCTACACTTTCCACAAATACATATTGAGGTGAGTTGCTAGGTGACAACGACTACTATCCTTCCAGACACCTCTGCATGGTGAGTACTCTCAATCCCCCCCCCTCCCCCCCCCTTTGAACACTAGATGTGGCGTCGTAATTCACACATTGACAACTGCTACTTTACATCTATAGCAGAAAACGCGTATCGCAGTGGAGGAAGTTCCTCTAGAAATCTGGGCACGCATATTCTGCCTGGCCTGTACCGACGATGGATCGACCGGTTGCTCCCTTTCTCAGGTTTCCCGATACATCCGCGCTGCGTCGAGTGAATATCGACTACAAAGTATCGCCTTGGCAGGAATCCAGCAGATGAGAAGCTTCGGAGACCTGCTGGTGAATACGCGGTCCGATTACCATCGGGTTCGCTACCTGTACGTATCCGAATTCCTCGTGCGGCAACGGTCCACGGTCCCATTTGACTCCGAGGATATGGAGCCCACGGGAACGCACCGCCCCCACGATCATTCGACAGACGAGGATCGCACTCGAGAAGAACATTCAATCTTTGTGGCAACACTATCACGCATCCTATGGCTCATTCACCCCCACATTCAGACACTGACAGTGTGTCTGGATAGGGAAGGCCCTGACACCCTCTTCGAGACTCCCTTCCCTCGTCTAACGGAGCTCGACATCGTGTTCGAGGTTTCGCGCTCGTTTCGATCGCGCGATGATGTCCGCGAACCGCCAAGGATTCAGGACTTATCGTCCTTAACTCACCTGCATCTGGACAACTGCGCCCATCTCCTTGCCGCGTTCAGAGGACGTGTTCCACGCTTGGCTCATTTGCGGCTTACGGAGATGAACCCGTTGTCATCTGCACAGTACGTCATCTCCAGAGCCTTGTCCACCCAGTCAGAGTCATCGATAACTGCGTCACGTCATCCAATCTCCGTCGATCTAGACGCGTTCCCTACGCTCGGAAGAATCATTATCCAACCTCCAGGAGACGTGCATGAAGGGCGCGGATGCTGCCTTGCAAAACTGCAGGATGCTCTCAAAAGTACTAAGATTGTTCTGCTGAAACCAGAGGACCCGTACAACAAGTTACTGCTGCATCTCGACAGTGGTGGAAGATCTGCAAGATCGAAACAAGAGTGGTCGGAGAGAACTGCAGGAGGAGAGGGTGTCTGGAAGATCAACACTGGTGATGTTGACATGCGTATGTTCATGGAAATCCTGCAGCAACAGGAGCCATACAGGAGACATATTCATGCTGAGACTATTCAGGTCTGTGGACTGGTACCCTCGGGCGCGGCCCGTTTGGCAGATCATGGTACACTAACTAGTAGACTGGCTTCGATACGTTAAATGCGGCATTCTGGCTACTGGAACCGAGTTATTATTGTTACCTTGTTCATATATCTACTTTCTCCCATGCGCTGTCCTTAAGCTTCCATGGCATATGTTATCACAATCCGAGAGGTCGAACATTATCTGAACGGCGCATGCATGGCTTCCATTATCCTCGCATGTTGAGACCACATTTCGGGATATAAAACTAGGCCTTCGTCGGACATATCAAGCCTCGCTCAAGTTTGAAACTGTCAAGACATACGCGTACCAACATGACACTGCAGTAGGACAGGTCAAATTCATTTTGTTATTCAGCGTCTACTACGACAGACCCCAGCGCTCGGGCCCTTGGAGTAGAACAGTTGTCTTTCTTCTGAGCCGACATTACCAGATGTCCAGAGATGAACGCTTGAAGGACACAGTAGCTGTTCTCCTCGATTGGTCTGTCAGAAATGGCATATACATCCACCCAGGCGTCACAGTCGGCAACGATCCTTCAGCAGGGATAGCGGTCTTTTCAAACGAGGTTTTTGCAACGAACACAATGCGTGAGTCTGCAATCATCGAATATTGAAGTGACAACTAACCAGTACAACCTGAAGTCGTCCGAGTCCCCGAGTCAGCAATCCTGTCCGCTAGAACGTCTCCACTCCAAGAGCAGGTTGCCTTTGTTCCGTATGGACATGAAGGACACCTCGCACTCGCTCTAACGCTATATCACGAGCTGTAAGTGTACGTAACGCCTGGTCAACGCACTCTTGCCCGAGGCTCACTGCAGCACAGCACGATGGGAGAAGAATCTGAATGGTACGGCTACCTACAGTCGCTCCCGACCTCTGTGGTTCCAAATGCTCTGTTCTGGGGACATGATGATGCAGGAATGGGAGATCATGATGGACGCGAGGCCAGGGCCTGGTTGGATGGCACAGAAGTTGAGAAGGAGTTCTGTGATGAACATGGTGTCGACACTGTGGTACGTACACATCCGAATGCTCTCAGCGGAAAACCACTCAATATCCATAGCACGAGCTGCATGAGTATTACTCAAGATTTGTTCAGCCACTGTTCAACAGGCTAGACAAACCCTGCACACTCCAAGGCTTCATTCTCGCCTATTCCCTTGTGAGTAGTCGAGCATTCCTTGTCAATGCATACTACGGGATCTCAATGGTACCAATAGCCGACGTGTGGGTTCAGCCTCCCGTCGTGTCTGTTACAAATGAACTAACTTTCGGCCCATACCAAATAGGTTTAACCACAGCTCAGACCACCATATTCACCTCGAGGTGAGCCGTAGCGCGTGCAGTAACTCAGTCAAGATCTCAGACCTCATTTACAGTGCGACATCGATGTGTGCCCAACGTGCGGCTCTCTAGATGAATGTCCGCACGATCGTGAAGATCCATCCCTTGCAACGTCACAGATCGGGTCGTCTCTAAGTCGAAGCGAAGTTACCTGCGATATGGTCACCAACAGGCCCGTTCTGCCCAACAGCGAAATATTTAACACGTACGGCCACCGCCTCGGAAACGCGTCGCTCCTCGCGCGGTACGGCTTCGCGCTCGAGGGCAATGAGCACGACATCGTCTCATGGGAACTCTCCATTCATGATCTCCTCCGTACCGACGAGCCTCTTCCACTCTCCCCAGATGAGTTCACTCTGCTCTTTCGCAAGCTCGCTAAGCTCTGGGCGCGCTCGTTATCCTCTATCGCGGGCGACAACAGCACCCTTGTCTACCGTCCTGTCGTGCCGGATGGCGAGGAGCCAACGTACACCGGATGGCAGTCGCATTTGTGCATCAACAGCGAAGCTCAGGTGAGCGTGCATCTGTGGCTATATGCCGCGCTGCGCGCCGTGATAGCGATGAAGGATGAGGGGCCCGTGCAATCCGGTGACTCGGAGACATGGAGTGTGGGCGAGGTGGTGCCGCTGCTCGGGAGGGCGATGGACGCGCAGGTGGGGATCGAGAAATTCATGAACGTGACAGACGAGACGATAGACGGCGAAGAAATGGTGGTCGACATTGACGTCTTAGTGAGCCGTGGATTGATACTAGAGGCCTCGACATGGACTGACAGCTCGACGCAGCCGAAGCGTATCCTGGGCCAAATAGCCGCGACGGTGTGCATGCTCTGTACACAGCGGATATCACGGCTGGGCAAGCAACCTGCTCTGAGCACGGCGGACCTTGGTGACTATTTTGACGTGAGTCGCACATTGTTTTAGATAAATCAATTACTGACTCAACGCAGAGCCTACCAACTACGAGGGAAAAGACGCGCCTGGCTCTTGCTGAAGTCATCACCGAGAGGACCATTCTCGAGAGCTGTCACGCGGTATGGCAGGACTTTCTCACTGTCCTTGTGGACGATGCAGAATAGTGGTTGAGCCTACGACCGAGTATCTGCTAGTACTTCTCTAAGGCGTGGAATACATGTCGCTACGCCATGCACAACCGTGTAGCCCCCACTGACCATGTTTGCCGCGCGACTGCCGTAGGCTTACGCTTCCGGGCCGCCTGCATTACGGAACCTATCGGCATGCCCATTGCCCTGGACCTCCATAACATGCGTCTCAAAGAGCATGCTACGTGAGAGCAGTTCTTCAGTATCCTCAGGGTTTCCTTCAGCAGCATCGATCTCGTGTATGTCTAAGGAAAGTCGCGACATCAGCACGGCGCTCAGGCTAAGGCGGGTGCCCATTGTCAGTCTCGTGAGTCCCTTTTGTCAACTGAGGACGGGGATTTACATGTAAGTCCAGGTGTCCCATATCTGGAGAAACTGCGGATGAAGTCTTTAACGGTGCTTTGGAGAGCGGTTGTGGGTCTCACTTGTTCCAAACGCCCCGTTGCCATTCCTGCCACGCCTAAAGCGCAGAGGAATCTGTAAGTGTGTTTAGAAGTCGCATGTACCCCCGCGTGACATTGCCCACCCGAAGGACAGTGCAGCTATTGAGTCGGATAAGCAGATGCATGTATAGCCTCATGAAGCCAACGTACTATCGCGCAGCAGGATTTCCCTAAGCGTCGCGCGCTGTCCGAAAGGTGCTACGCGGAACTCTCGCCTACTTTTCATAGTCTTCAAACAAGTCAGAAATAATATGACGCCATGCGATAATACGGAAGCAGCCCTAGAAATGATCATCCCTGAATGTCGTTTTTTATCTGAACAACATTCCACTCATGACATCATTCGAAACGTACAACTTGAATGGTCAGATGTCATACTTCGAGAAACTTCATGAATAGTTTAATGTTCACATACCACTCATAGCTTTGTGTACCGCCGAGGATGCCTAAAGTGCACACTCGGAAGTGCGGCAGCAGAGAAAATACGACTTTGGACCTGGTCGAAACGTACTGAGGAAATCGAGCGGTGAGATCACGTACAAAATGTAATCGCAGATGGAATTGCGTACAATAACGACCGCTGGAGCTGCTAGCCCAGATACCAAGACGACACCAAAGGCCAATTGGCTTCGTCGATATATGGCATATACTCGCAGCGCTGCGAAGACTAAGGTGTGTTGGATTTGAGGTCCAAGTTTGGTTGAATGCGGCACTTACTGGCAGTGCTAACTAAAACTAAAACATCGAAGATCACCTCAAGCAGCAAAAGCGCTGTACAGCTGAAACCGGTGGCAGTCAGAGGGTGTGAACCAACGTCTTGAATAGAGACCGACCTCTTGTTCCATGCTGCATGAGAGACCGTTGAAGCATATCGAACTGAGCAAACTCACCTGCTTCGTCAACGTCCTTGAGCATAGGGTCCAGATTTCCGGAATCGTATTAAGGAGGGCAGCGTATCGAAAAGTGAAGAACAATGTGGCAGCAAGAGACGGTCGACGTCCCCAGAAAAACTTGACCTCGCGGTCAAATGTCAAGCAGTAGTCGTAGCAATATAGTGCTGAACATAAGCATCAATCACAGATAGATTGCTATGAACATGGCCCCTCACATGTGGCCGCAAGAAGCATGTAGTTCTCGAAAAACAACGCCGGCGTGACCGAGCTATACGGGTGGAGTTGGGGAGATGGATTCATGAATGCAGCCAAAGGAGCGGCGTACATGATTTGTGTCGGCCTTTCAACAGAAATACCTACCATATTTCTTCGGGATTCTTGCAAAGTCTGCTACTTCATGACCCATTTTGAAGACGTCTTATGGATTACGAACACACGGAGAAAAATCGCCAGAACGCTGTGCAACAATCATGATTCCTTCTCTGCTCGACGAGTCACGACTTGGCAGGTAGTGGACGCGAGCTGTGCCAGTGCGCCTAAAACGTTACCTGCGTGCATGGAGATCTTGCAATGATAGGTCCGGTGGCATTCAACTTCGTCGTGCCTGAATAAGTCTGGAATGGTTTCGTAGCTAAGGTATCATGATGATGCTGGATGGATGTCGGCAGATATCACGCCATCGAGTAACATTGTTGGACTGATTGATCTGAGGAGTTAGATGAGGAGAGTTGGCAATGAAAAGCAAAGGGGCCCACATTCTTAACTCGTTTCAACGAATAGTTGGCTCACATGTAATAAGCTAGTTTACTTCAATGGTAGTGGTCGGAAGATACGACGAAGGCTCACTCGAAATTTGTACCATCTTTGCTGTCAATGCATGACGCGATGACCAATAGTTGGAGGTAACGACGGGCGAGGATGAGGATGCTTCAAATGAAGGCTCATCGGTTGCTGCCAAACAAGCGCAGTTTCCGTGATAGATGTCGGACCCAGTCCAGCTGGACGAAAGGGATGACGACGATCCAGGGCACAATGACAGAACAAAGGCCCCCAAGTCATGATGTATCGCCTCTGCTTTGGGCATCCTGACCAATCAGCGAAGGGGAGTAGAGGATGAGGTGAGTCCGTCCCTTCCTGGTCGTGCTGATTTGTAGTATTGCGTTGCCCCTCAACACCCGTCGTCTACCTTCTTCAGGGTGCTGCAAGGAGGTGGATAACGTACGGCATGAGTCAAATGGAATGCATTTCCCACGCGTGCATTGCTATTGGCTAGCTTGTTACTTCGGACTCATCCGCGCCTGCAACGCTGACCGGCACCTCAACGGAAGTTGATTCTTGGACGTGCAATAGCCTATCAATCTCCATGCTACGAGTATATAATGCTGCACTACCAATGTCTTTCAAGACCTCTGGCCTCAGGGTAACACACCGATCAGGCGCAGGACGCAGAGTTTCTGGCACGATTAGCTCGGACTTTAGCACGACCATCATCGTAAGCCATGTTCAATGTTGTCGAGCATCTATGCGATCAAACTTGGTGACCTCTGCAGCGCGAGCTTCCCGTGGGTCAGCGTTCAACTGATTATACCACTCGCTATACCAACTCCATCACAACCCTCGATGCGTCTCGTCTTGGTCCAAGCGACGTGATCACACTAAACGAGACGGTAACCCAAGTCTGGGACCGCACGAAGTTGGCCCGCCGCTCAAAGCCAACAGCGAGGGGATCATGGTACAAGCGGGTCCAAGCTCCAAATGGCCGGACAAGGAATGGCGCCTTCATGGAGATGAGAACTGGTTTGCCCTGGCTGAACAATGATATTTCAACGGCAAGCAATCAATTCCCGCATAAACCCAAGGGCTGGCTCTACTATTATAGGCCTCCCTCTCGTCCTCCCACTGCTGGCGAGGTCCGTTTCCGACTCCTCCCTCCTACAGGCGAGGTCGACTTCGCTTCCGGCACTGACCTCTCTCTCCGTTCCGGCCACTTACCGTACGCCATACGTCTATTAGAAATCGCGACGAGCGCCCGTTACCGTACGCTTGCCAACGTCCTCCTCAGAGACCAGCTCATATCCCAGGACCTCTTGGAACATTGGAAGAAACAAACAGAAATACGCGTCATTCACCGCAAGTCTCGCCAATTTTTGTTTGGCATCGAAGACCCGTTCATAGTAGATCTATCCGACCGCTCATTCATGCTGTTGACTTGGCTAGGCGAGGATTTGGTTCGGGGTCCATATTTGCACAATAAGTGGCGGGACCTAAGGAGACATATGAGCGGCCCAACATACACAGGTGAGCGTGCAAAAACGATGGCTGGACTTGCACATTAACCCTCCTTGCCGTATAGGCCAAATGCTCTGCCGCTTCGAACGATCTACGCTTCCAAACCATGCACAAAAACGGGTCGTAGTATTGCGTGTCCTGGAGATCATCGACCCAATACGTCCTATCATACCAGACTATGATGGTTTCCTCGAACCACCTGCAGAGGGCGCCTTGCTTCAGAGAGGCCACAAGCCGGTCTCCATAGATATCGATGGTGTTGACTTCAAGGGTCCCTTAAATCCATTAAAGGTGCTGTACGATCGAGCGTACAGTCCACAAGCCGATATTGCTTCTTGAAAATGCGATGGATTTCTTACGAGATGTGACTGGTGCCACTGTCAAGGACGAGACGTTCACGAGAAGCAAGAGGTCATGGTAAACGCAGCGAACCCACCGACCTCCGAGGACGTTTCCATGAATTGTTTTCAGCGCAGGGCATGAGATGATGTAGCTGATAGCCTCCTCGCGACTAGCTCCGACAATGAATACATGTAGCATCGCTCACACGCTATGAGGGCTACGGGCCCGACAATAATCCAACTGTCTTGTGTCGAAGCACCAAGTAATCTCGGGCCAGGGACGGCGTAGCATGGAGGTACAGTACCCAGACTGTGTATATGAACTGCAGTAGGCGATCAATAACATACATGATGGAGTGCCCATGTGAGAAAGACTCCAGAGGGATGCCGCTCATAGATCTGCGTTTCCGACCGGCATCGAACCTCTCGCCGACAGGATCGATCGCATGACTGAGGACAGAGATTTATATAAATGTCTAGATATGCCATATCTGGAGAATCTTGTGATGAAGTCATTAGTGGCGCTCGCAGAGTGGTCGTAGGTCTCACTTGTTTAAAACTTATCGTTGTTATCCCTGCCACGTTTGGAATGCAGAGGAACCTGTAAATGCATCTAGAAGTCGCATGTCATTGCTCGCCAGAAGGACAGCGCAGCTATCAAGTTATATAGACCGATGAGTGGATAGTCCCATAGACCCATAGAGTCAACTACGGTACTATCGCGCAGCGGGTTCTCTCCAAGCGTCGCACGCTGTCCGACAGGTGTAATCCGGAAATCGCGCTTGCTCTGCATGAATAAGTCAGAAGCAATATAATGCCATCGGATGATACTGAAGCAGCCCTAAGAAGGATCATCCCTTTCAATGGTTGTTCGTCTGAGATACATCATTCGAAACGTACAGCTTGAATGGCAAGGCCTAGTAAGGCCTCCAGAAACTCAGGCACCGGTAGGTCAGTGATGTCCACATACGCTTCATGGCTTTGCGCGCCAGGGCCGAAGATACCCAAGGTGCACACTTTGAAGTGCTTGTGGCGGTGCAATTAGGTCTTTGAACCTAGTTACGATATACGGCGGAAGTCGAGCCGTGAGATCATGCTCGGAAAATATGATGCAGGCGGATTTCTGTGCGATCCCTCGCCGTCGGAATGGATGATAAATATGCACTGCGCTTGCAGTGGATGAACTAGCATAACAGTCAAAGGTCCGCGTAAATACAATGTCCTGCAAGGTTCTGGCATCTGCATATATAACTACATCCCATGCATGGCCATAAATCCTCATTTTCCTATGCGAGTTAGATTGGTTGTCACATCTCCCGAGTCGTCTCAGGTGCAAGACCTTTCAGCATCTTCCGTAGCTCCACATCCACGTCCTCGGCAATATGGACCGTGACAAAGAGCATGGTTCCCGACAGTAATTCTTCAGCATCGTCAGGATCAGTTTGAGCGGTGTTAATATCGTGCATATTCAAGGCAAGTCGTGACATTAGCATGGAATCTAGGCTGGGCAGGTGTTCAACGTCAGTCTCATAGTTCCCTCTGGTCTGCTCAAGGTCTGATTGTAACTTACATGAGTGTCCAGATATTCCATATCCGACGGAACTTGTGATCATTGCACGTTGCTATCATTAACCGCACTGAGTGCCTCGGGCGGAGTTATTGACTCTCACCTGTGGCAAATGCCCCGTTATGATCGCAGTCACATTCAGAGCACAGAGAAAGCTGCACGCGCGATCAGAAGTGACGTCAGAAATTGTGACTCGTCCCCCACCCGAAAGACAATGCCGCTATTCAAACACGAAAGTCAGTAAGTCCAAGCCAGCATTTGGTGTTAACCTACTATCACGGAGTAAGATCTCTCTGAGGGTAATGCTCTGTCCTACAGGAACTATGCGGATGTCTTGCTTGCTCTGGATTGTCTTTGCACAGGTGAGAACAAGTACGATACCCTGATTTATCATCGCCCCAACCCTAGCTGCGATTGTCCCTGAGTATGTCCGACCTTTCAATAGGGGTTGAATCATCAACATATACGAATACTTACAACTAATGATAGCCAAATATTAGCATCACGGAATTTTGCCGTTAGATGAATGTCGACGCACTTCTCATAGCTCCGTACACTACCGATAATGCCCGAAGTGCATGTTGGGAAGTCTTGCAGGGGCGAAAATATGGTACTCGACCTGGTCACAGTGTACTGTAGGAGCTGAGCAACGAGATCGAGGGTAAATGTTATATGGCTAGTTCCGTACAATTATGACCGCAGCAGATGCGAATCCTGAGAGTGATGCGATGCTGAGGACCAGGCGACTCCGAAGAAACATGGCATATACACGCAGGGATACAAAGACTCAAAATATTGTCAACTCTGAGTTAGGTTATTCAGGATGCAATGCTCACTGATAGTGCTGACCAGAGCAATAAGGCCGAGACTCGATCCAAGCCTTGTGATTCCGGAACAGCTAAATCAGATTGACATTGCTGTGTCAGAACACTCAAACAGGAATTCAAGCAAAGAACTACCTCTGCTCTCAGACTTAGTGAAAACAAACTATGAAATGGGGTTGAGCGCACTTACTTCCTCAGTTAACCATGTTCCTTGACTTAGAAGCAGGAGTTCTGGGATTGTGCAAAGCAACATGGAATATTTGAAGGAAAAGAACAGCGATGCAGGCAGGGTTATGGGTGTTTTCCAAAAATATTTGATTTCGCGGTCGAATGTAAGGCAGTAGTCGTAGCAGTACACCGCTGTACAAGATCATGAGAGGACGAGAATGGGAGTGCTCATGAGAGCTTGCCGATTGCTGCTAAACACACGTAGTTCTCGCGATAGATGTCGGATCCAGTCCCGCTGGGCGAAAAGGATAATGACTACCCACGGCAGAGATACAGAGAGTAAAGACAACTTACAGTTTCTGTGGTCCTTCAATCGAAGAATTCGACATGGTGTACTGGGGCGTGGGGTTATATTCAGCACATCGATGTGCGGCCCTGTAATTAAGACGTGTTGCAACAGCACCCGATGAATTTAAACACGGCATTCGGGGAGCATCGTAGACATCATAGTCCCCTCATATCCAACATGAGTGATTGACCGGGCTGTGCAATTCAGTCCTAGCATCTGAGATGTCAAGATGGCTGCTGTAGCATCTCCATCGTGACACAAAGCCATATGAAATCTTGAACTGGGAGACATGATTTATGAAGACTCACTTTCCCGATGAAGTAGCACAACAATAACTGTGATCCGCACAGTGCCGAGTCTGATCTTGGTACCGCCATAGTCGAACGGAATGCATTTCCCACGCGCGCATTGCTGTTGGCTAGCTTGTTACTTCGAACTCATCCGCGCCTGACCGGCACCTCAACAGAAGTTAATTCTCGGACGTGCAATAGCCTATCAATCGCCATGCTACGAGTATATAATGCTGCACTACCAATGTCTTTCAAGACCTCTGGCCTCAGGGTAACACACCGATCAGGCGCGGGACGCAGAGTTTCTGGCACGCTTAGCTCGGGCTTTAGCACGACCATCATTGTAAGCCATGTTCAATGTTGTCGAGCATTTATGCGATCAAACTTGGTGACCTCTGCAGCGCGAGTTTTCCGCGGGTCAGCGTTCATCTCATCCTATTCCTCATTATGCCAACTCCATCACGACCCTCGATGCGTCTCGTCTTGGTTCAAGCGACGTCATCACACTAAGTGGGACGACAACCCAAGTCTGGGACCGCACGAAGTTGGCCCGCCGCTCAAAGCCAACAGCGAAAGGATCATGGTGGAAGCGAGTCCAAGCTCCAAATGGCCGGGCAAGGGATGGCGCCTTCACGGAGGTGAATACTGGTTCGCCCTGGCTGAGCAATGATATTTCAACGGCAAGCAATCAATTCCCGCATAAACCCAAGGGCTGGCTCTACTATTATAGGCCTCCCTCTCGTCCTCCCACTGCTGGCGAGGTCCGTTTCCGACTCCTCCCTCCTACAGGCGAGCTCGACTTTGCTTCCGGCACTGACCTCTCTCTCCGTTCCGGCCACTTACCGTACGCCATACGTCTATTAGAAATCGCGACGAGCGCCCGTTACCGTACGCTTGCCAACGTCCTCCTCAGAGACCAGCTCATATCCCAAGACCTCTTGGAACATTGGAAAAAACAAACAAATATACGCGTCATTCACCGCAAGACTCCCCAATTTTTGTTTGGCATCGAAGACCCGTTCATAATAAATCTCTCCGACGTCTCATTCATGGCATCTATTTGGCTAGGCGAGGATTTGGTTCGAGGCCCATGGTTGCACAAAAAGTGGCAGGACCAAAGGAGACATATGAGCGGCCCAACATACACAGGTGAGCGTGCAAAAACAACGGCTGGACCTGCACATTCACCCCTCTTTGCCGTATAGGCCAAATGCTCTGCCGCTTCGAGCGATCTACGCTTCCAAACCATGCACAAAAACGGGTCGTAGTATTGCGTGTCCTGGAGATCATCGACCCAATACGTCCCATCGTACCGGACTATGATGGTTACTTCAGACCACCTGTAGAGGGCGCCTTGCTTCAGAGAGGCCGCAAGCCGGTCTCCGTAAATATCGATAAGATTAACTTCAAGGGTCCTGTAAATCCATTAAAGGTGCTGTACGATCGAGCGTACAGTCCACAAGCCGATATGGTCTTATGAAAATGCGATGGAGTTCTTACTAGATGTGACTGGTGCCACTGTCAAGGACGAGATGTTCACGAGAAGCAAGAGGTCATGGTAAACGCAGCGAACCTATCGACCTCCGAGGACGTTTCCATGATTGTTTTCGGCGCAGGGCATGAGATGATGTAGTTGACAAGCCTCCTCACGACTAGCTCCGACAATGAATATGTGTATCATCGCTCACACGCCATGAGGGCCACGGGCCCGACACTAATTCATCCGTCGTGTGTCGAAGCACCAAGTAGTCTTGGGCCAGCGAGGACGTACCCAGAGCTGTGCATGTGAACTACAGTGGGCTATCAATAACATACGTGATGGAGTGCCCACGTGAGCAAGGCTCCAGAGGGGAGCCGCTCATTGATCTGCGTATCCGACCAGCAGCGAACTTCCCGCAGACAGGATCGGTCGCATGCGAAAGTCTATCCCGCGAGTTTGCAGACTAGATCTTTAAATTTGCAGTGCTAGAGGCATCACTATATACAGATTAAAACAATTATATGGACTTACACTAAAGTGCCATGATATACGGGGGAATTGTCCATGACTAAGGAGTGATTTTGGTCTATGGCACGTACGACGGTCCCTGAAGAATGAGGAGAAGGGATATCTTGTCATGAGTGGCGGTAGGTATACAATGCTGGAGCACTAAAGTCATCTCCAGATGCCGAAATAGATACGCGCGCGAGACTGAGTTACAGCACTATCAGCAGACTGTCAACGCGACTGTCTCACAACGTACAAATGTTCAATGCACACACGCTCGAGGCCTATGCGGACACATCCGCCTGTGCTGGTGGCTGCTTTCTCAAATTTGTGTATGCAGGCGGCAGCTTCATTGTCTCCGGTTCTTCCTCTTGGTCTGCCGGTTCCAGAGGACCCGCATCCTCGTGCTGGACAATGCTCACTGCCCGTAGCGTCGGCGGCGCGGGCGACTTGCGCGAGCCTGTCGTCCCGCTGCGTATGCCAAGCGAGTTCGGGGTACCAGGGCGCAGCACGCTCGGCATGGACAGCAACGTCTGCCGCCGCTCCGAACCCGCCTGACTGCTTCCTTCCGCGGTGGAGACCACCGTCGGCTCTGGCATGACATACGGCTCCGGCTCATAATATTGTGGCAGGCCACCATCGTCATGGTCGTGCTCACTCGCGTCATTCAGGAGGTCTACCGGCCGTTCTTTCGGCGTCTGTGAGGCGCGCTTGCGCTGGCGGAGGAACAGGAGGAGTAGCACAGCTAGAACGACGGCCCCTCCCACGCCGCCGATGACACCGCCTGTGGGAACACATCAGCCTGGGTATCTGACACTGACACGCCATGCGCAGCTGGCGTACCAACTATGGCACCGACATTTGTATGACCGTTAAACTGACAGGTACGTGAGCGCGTTGTGGGGTAAGCCACCAGCGTCCACATACCTTCCACTGCTTCCACTGTTTCCATCACCTACGCCTGCTCCGCTCGTACTCGTAGGATATGTTCCACCTGCTGGAGATCCCGGCGTCGACGCCGGCGAACTTGCATTAAGGCAGGACTGTGATGACCCTTGCGATACGATGTACAGCCCGCTACCGCCGGTGCCTGCCCCACTGTTGTCGCTGCCCACCAGTATCACCGTCGTGCCTATCCGCACGGACGGCGGCCAGTCGAAGCTCTAGCCCTCCTCAGGTACGGTTGAGAAGTTCGACTCGGGTAAGACGCGTTGCAAGAGCGCCTGGGGAATTTGAATGCAGCATTCGGGAAGCATGGTAGCATTACCGTGACAGTCCCTCGGTCACAGTCAACCGCATTGGGCAATTCAGACCTAGCATCTGAGATGACATCACGTCGCATAGGCACCATATCTCATAGCCATCTGAAGACTCACCATCTCGACGAAGCAGCACAACAAGAACTTTGACAGAAGACCCGTGGTTCGCAGCATCCCACACGAGTCAATATCTCGTCTCGTGAGGATGCTGAGAGAATGCGGTGCTACGTGCATGAACCTTGTGTTGAGAGGGCCATTGGAACTTAGGGTACAGTCAGCTCCCGGGCATATCCAGTCATACATAGAATTTCTCTAATCTCACAAGCAACCAGGGAGACTTCTTACTTATGCAACCATCAGCAAAACCAAGTTTGACGCGTAAGACAATGTATTAGTTCTGTATACTCACCGTAATTGTTTTTAGCTGATATGTAATTACACGCTTGTCCCAATACGGGACGTGATTACAAAGTGGTCGACAAACAGGTGGCGCATGTGCAATCTAACAGCCATAATGGTAGCACGTGATACAATGGTCTACACTCCTATATCAATGCCTGACTCATAGACAACAAGCGAGGGCTTATGGACCGTGCGTTGTCTGGAAGATCAAGTGAGGAAGTCGAGAATTAGTGTCTCCAAAGTTCGGTTTAGCTTGGTTCAGGGGCCTCTTGCCCTGAACCTTGAACTGAACCTACATACTGTTGGAACAAGGGTGTGAATGGCGCGGGGTGCATTTGTCCATGGGCGTAGCGATGCCCGTAAGGGACAATCACGTGCATACATACATCGTGCGTGGTCATTATATACTACGATAGGGGCCTCTGGCCCCCGGCTACTTGCGCACCCGAGCTTTTGAGCTCGTTTCTGACCACGCGGATTGGCGCGTTTCAACACATACCATTAGTCTGAACTGGACCGAACCTTGGACCAAACCCTCTGAACAGGTTCGGCAGGTTCAGAGCGGGTTCGAACCTGGCGAACCTTCAAATTTTAAATGGTCATATGAAATATGTTAGTTTTCATTTTTGGGGTCATACTATAAGTATTACACATAGACAAACAAGAGACTCAGCATTTGAGAGGGATATGCAAGGTGCAACACTGTAATAGTTGTTGCATTTGCCAATCTCAGCTTATGTAAGCCTGCCTATTTCGGCAGGCAATGGCATCCCCTGATGGATGGCAGGGTACGCATCATGACACTGTTTGGGGAGCAGCACGCGCTGGTCATGTGGAAAGATCAAGACATTGTCTGTTGGTTAGACTAATATCAAATAGTATTTCAAACTTGATTAAGTTTTTTTTGTGAGCAGCGAGACTTGATTCCGGTTCATGGTTCGGACTGGTCCTTGATGGCTGTGAACCCTGAACCGAACCGTTGGGGAAATCCGTGGACCGAGCTTAACTGAACCTAAACCACGGGTTCGGTTCAGGGTTCAGACGGTTCGAACCTGTTCCTGGACCGAACTTCGGAGACGCTATCGAGCATGACCACTACCCCAAGCAAAGAGGAGCAGAGATTTGAATTAATACCCAGGTCGAACTTAGGGTTCAACCAACTAATGGTACAACTATTTATACAAGTACCAGCTACACACGGACCACTGTGTCTGTGTGGTCGTGCTAGTGAAGAAAGAGATGTAGTGGTACACTACCAGATACGAAGTGCGCACAGACCCCATTATGTAAGCTACATAATGTTCAACCTGCGGGTGAGCGCTAAGTCAGGTGCCAGTATGGGTGCTAGTAGTACAAGAAATAGAACGGAAAGACAAATGTTTCAGCATGTGATAATAGATTGGAAACTTGTCGTCAGAATTCTGAATGGCCTGCCATTCGGCTTACCGCAAAAACATCATATGCACACATGACACGTTCACTTGCTAGCATCTCATCCATCAACTCCTAGAAAATATGAGGTCATACCGTTTTCACTTCACGTGATTGTCACATGAGTTTTTTTCTTCTTCAAGGTCACGATGGAGAACATGCAACGTCCAACATGCTGTATACAGGTACCTGAGTCATCAATGATACCAAATTTTGTGCCTGCTGGACAAGGAGTGTGAAAGGTGGTGCATCTTGAGCATGTGGGGTTGATTGTGATTGTGAGCGAAGCGAGCATATCTCGGCTAAAGGGGCTGAGGCCAGGCTTTCAGTTGGAACAAACAAGTACAAAGGATACATGCAAGTGCCCGAGGTGTTTTTACGTTGTAAGGACCGAAAGTCACCCCAACATCCTTCAAACTCAGTTATCAAGATCTCAAAACATGCGCAAGATTTCTGGAAATGAGTATATGCAGAAAGAACACCATAAAAGTGAGAATTTGTTGCGAAATAAGCATAACTACACAAAAAGCAATTAGACGCCTGGTCACTGGTGTGGCCTGCTACCATATGTCAAATGTTCTGAAACCTGAGTCCCTTCTCTTGGGAATTTTACTGATTTAGACATAGCTAGATGTCTTATCAATACATTCTCAATGGTGGTACAATGTAGGATTCAGTGCTTTGCGAGCCACTTCCTGTGCAGCAGGTGCATATTTATGTAACTTAGTGCAGAAATGGCAGGGGCTGCTGCCATTCGGACTCGGCGAGTGGAGCCGCCATTATCAGCCAAGTGTTACTTGATTGTATGGATGCTCAGAGATTGCAATATGTGGTAAGGCCTGGTACGGGCATGCAGTACAGCAACATTAATATTCTAATCACAATCACACTGTGTATTGTATGCATTCCGACTTTGTTTGCTGACCAATGCGACACAGGACACAATGTCGTAAGAGTGCACGTTTACCCATCGCACAGATAACAAGACTTTGAAATTCATCACGCATGTCTAGTACAACAACATTGTTTTGTCCTCGGTGTCCCCGCCATCCTTAGTCTTAGCTGGTCTAATGGTTCTTCGTCATTGTCTGGACATTCAAGTCTGAGTCTCCACTATCCAGAGCACTGTCGTCAACAGACTCGCTCATTAATCTCCTGTAAGCAGAACATAATACACTTCCTTCCTTCAACCTAGTCTGAGCCTACGCAGGCTCTGGATATCCATGTAGAAGTCGCTCACACTCGGGGTGTGATCTGCTAGGCATGCCAAATATGCCATCATCTTCTAGTGGCTGTGATGTGAAGAACTGTCGTGGTGTGTGAGTGTCCCACCAGAAAGATGAGTCGCTGACCAGATCTGGACCGCTATAGTCATCTATATGTGGTGATTGCACCTATCATCCACACATCATAGTGGTGCGCAACTTTCAGCTGCTTGATATGTTGACACTGGGGTAAATGTAGTCAGTGAATTGTCGAGTGGAGGCCCAAGATCATTTGGTGAGTCAGACACCCATTATTTTGAAATTTCCTTGGCCAACTGCATTAGGAAAAGTGGAAGTCTGCTGACACTCTGAGACACTCTGAGGTCGCTGATGCGCTGAGTTCAGCACGTCAGCGATTTCAGCTGTTCAGCTGGCTTAGTCACTTCTTTCAGCGGATTCAGCATCTCAGCATGCCTCAGCAGACTGTTATGTATTAGTTACAATGTTACCTAATAAGTTATCTAATTATACGACACCATTAAGCTATTACAGGAACTTGTGTGAATGATAATCTGTATTTATTAACATAGAACCAATTGAATGTGTCTAAAGAGTAAGAGAAATGAAAATTGTGGGGGTATTACAGCGCCACGGAACACCAGCATTAATTGTCACTGCATGTAGAATACAATCTGTATGACCCATACATGCATATACTGAATACCCACCATCGAAACAGGCAATATCGACGATGGTTTTATGAGGTGCACCGACTTTGGTGCAAAGTCCATACGTACATGCAAAGAGGGGGGTGATGAGTAGAACATGGTGGGAGAGTCCACAAATGCAAGCGAGCGTCCACCTACCAAGTACAGGCAGCCAAACAAGCACATCTCGACGTGCGGCCCATGCGTCCTCCTCGCTTCAGCATCTCAACGTCAACCATCGACATTGCACTTGTTCCTTTACCTGCAAACAACCAGTAACTCAGAATAGCTTTCATCAGTGAGTGATTACTTACCTCTGGGCCTTTAATGTGAGATGATGAGCAAGACAACTGTACCAAATGTTTCCATCTACAGCATCAAATACCTCGCACACTGATGCCAGCGCACCAGCTGCTGCTGTCAATCCTGGTGGGGAGTCTCAGCCTCGATACTCACTTTGATCAACAAATGATTCACACCCCACATATATGGCCAGGCTGGGTAAGTCACAGGCCGAGGCCTCTGCAGAAGCCAAGAGGAAGTGCAATGTCAAGGAGGCCATTGCAAAGGAGAGACAAGATGAGTTCTTGAAGTGTCGAGAGGCCATATAGTGTGCGATTGCAGCAGCATATGCTGAGTTCGAACAAGGGCTATGTACTATCTCCGAGTCTGCTTTCTTGGTCGGTTCACTGTCATACATACACATTCTCTCCTCATGTATTATATGCACAAATCTATTCATTTGGGAGTTTTTTTTGATTGTATGGCGAGGAGGTGCTCAATGTGTCGTGCAGGTGGTGCTTGTGCTCAATTGGGAATATGCATTAATTGGCCAGAAATTATATGCCTAGTAAATCTGGGTAATCTAACAAAAAGGCCTTGTCGTACTGAGCTGCGGACTGTGCTGAAGGCACTGAAGCCCACTGACGCACTGACAGAAATTTGCTGAAGCGAGATGACATCAAAACTTTGTTGTTCTGAGTGCTGGAGCGCTGACACGCTGAGAACGCCTGCTGAAGCTGAATGGACGCTCTGGAAGCGCTGACTCAGCATCTCAGAGAACTTCCCATTTCCCTGATGTGCAGATAAAAGAGTGCATATGATCGCATATGAGCACAGCATCCTTGTCGGCCTGAGGTCTTCAAGTTCATTGATCTCACAGAGTCTCACCAGATTCTACTCTTGCTCTAAGTTGGTAAGTTACACCCTTTGCGGAATCCTCCTTCTGGCCATGTCTCATCGGGCTTATGATCTCGCATTCACACCATGGTGTGATTTACAGGCTGCAACTTTGCATAGCTCAGCACAGCTCCAAACTGCTCTAATGGTATAACTGGTAAGTTCATGCTCTCTGTGACCTGAATGTCCTGCTGAT